TGAATCTTCGTCGCTTCGTAGTCTTCCCGGCATGTATTGAACACTTTGAGCTCGGAAAAACTACGATGTCGTTAATAACATTAATAATAACGTTAGGTTAGGAAACTTCGAAGGTCGTAAATTGATGAGTGTAAACAAAACCGCCATGATCAACGTCTTGAAAGATGTACAGGTTTCGCAAGGAGATACGTGAGTGCTTGATGAATCTCGACCCTTGGAGAAGATGAAACTTATAACTGAGAATCTGGATTTAGAGCGGGAATGTCGTATCTAACGATCCTCATACTTTTTGTATATAATTTTAGGACACGGGCGGCCAGGGTGCGACAGGGGTGGCCAGGGTACGACAGGGGTGGCCAGGGTACGACAGGGGTGGCCAGGGTACGACAGGGGTGGCCAGGGTACGACAGGGGCGGCCAGGGTGCGACAGGGGTGGCCAGGGTACGACAGGGGTGGCCAGGGTACGACAGGGGTGGCCAGGGTGCGACAGGGGTGGCCAGGGTACGACAGGGGTGGCCAGGGTACGACAGGGGTGGCCAGGGTACGACAGGGGTGGCCAGGGTACGACACTGGTGGCCAGGGTACGACAGGGGTGGCCAGGGTACGACAGGGGTGGCCAGGGTACGACAGGGGTGGCCAGGGTACGACACTGGTGGCCAGGGTACGACAGGGGTGGCCAGGGTACGACACTGGTGGCCAGGGTACGACAGGGGTGGCCAGGGTACGACAGGGGGGCCAAGGTGCGACAGGGGTGGCCAGGGTACGACAGGGGGGGCCAGGGTACGACAGGGGTGGCCAGGGTACGACGGGGTGGCCAGGGTACGACGGGGTGGCCAGGGTACGACAGGGGTGGCCAGGGTACGACAGGGGTGGCCAGGGTACGACACTGGTGGCCAGGGTATGACACTGGTGGCCAGGGTACGACACTGGTGGCCAGGGTACGACAGGGGTGGCCAGGGTACGACACTAGTGGCCAGGGTACGACACTAGTGGCCAGGGTACGACAGGGGTGGCCAGGGTACGACAGGGGTGGCCTGGGTACGACAGGGGTGGCCAGGGTACGACAGGATGGAGAAGCAAGCAGGTATTACAAGGAAGGTATTTGGCCTCCTACAGACAGGAAGCAGAGAAAGTGAGAGAGGAATGTTTACGACTCGCTCCTTGGACCCTTGACTGACCTACCCGGGCTGGCAAGCCTCGGTACACCTTGCCAGGATTTCGGGGCTCAACGTCCCCGTGGCCCGGTCCCCGACCAGGCCTTCTGGTTGCTGGACTGGTCAACCAGGCTGTTGGACGCGGCTGCTCGCAGTCTGGTTTATCAGGTATCGTTGTTTTTAAGTTGTTTAAATTTCAGCTACTGGGAACTAAAAGTTCCAAGTAGCACGGGCTATGGTGAGCCCGTGATGGACTTACCTGGCACAGGAGCGGGGCTGAAAATTGATCAGGTATTCTTTGGAATTGTTTACCAAGTTCTCTGTTGAACACTGAGGGGTCGGCCAGTTATGCATGCCCCTTATGTGTAGCCAACCCGTTCTCGCACTTTCTTACAGTCAATATTGACTTATTAAATACGTGCGTATGTGACATACTAAACATATTAGTTTACCTTGAAAAACTTCATAGAAAACACCGACCTTACCTAACCTTCTTAGTATGTTAAGATAAGCATCTTATTGCTTCGTAATTAACAATTATTACTTAACCTATACCTATAATAGGTTAAGTAATAATTGTAATTGACTATACGAAAGTGCGAGAACGGGTTGGTGTAGCGGAAGCGTGTTGAACAGTCTCGGGCCTCTGATGTTGATAGAGTTCTCCCCCAGAGTACCTGTTGCACCTCTGCTCTTCAACGGGGTTATTTTGCACATCCTGCCATGCCTCCTGGTCTCATGTGATGTTATTTCTGTGTGCAGGTTTGGGACCAGAGCTTCTAATATTTTCCATGTATAAATTATTATGTATCTCTCCCGCCTGCGCTCAAGAGAATGCAGGTTTAGGGATTATTTTCTATAGTCCATTGAAGGACCTGATCTACATCTGATTGGAGGTTTGCTGTGTCCTCTATTCAGTATGGCAACATTTACAAATTAATCAAAACTAATGAGAAGGGCGAGGACTGAAGAGGATTGGAAGCTATTACAGAAGGATATGAACATGTTGCAGATCTGGACAGACAAGTGGCTATCAGAGTTCAAACCCAGCAAATGTAAAGTAATTTAAATAAGAATAGAAGAATGGGAACCATAAGGGCATTTCAGCAGAAGAGCGAGGTGGTTACAGGAAACAGTCACAGGAAAGGGTATGCACATTACATGGCTGTAATGCTAACTTCATGGCGTCAGAGACGCATTTCAAATAACTTGAGCACATTACAGGACACTCAACCATATAGAATGGCCTAGAACGCATACCATTTCAACCACAATAAATTTGGAAACGGCTGAAGATTTGCAAAATGTTTGCCACCAGAAATAAAGGCCCGGCTATGAAGACAGATTATGGGAGAGAAGAATCATTTGAGATATGATCAGAACGTACAAGATACCTGACGTGATATCCCGTTTTCTATCCGTGGTTGAAATTCTAACCAATGAAGTTAGGTTAAGTTCCCGCAATTTAGTATATCAGATTAGTGACATTGTGAACGCCCGAGAGGACGGACTGCATAAACATCTCTGTTCGTAATTGGAACATCTCAACAAAGACATGTTTAGGAAATCAATCCAACAGAGGAACAAAAAAAGTGTTTAGTTTACGTGTTGTTCCACCTTCACTTTTTGTCCAATATGAATGCCACTTGCCACTAAATAAAAACCATCAACCTGTAAGACAGACTTACAAAAAGTACAAATACAAAAATAAGCTGAGTCAGGAAGCAGGAGTGACGGGTTGTAGTCCTGACCATAAGCTTCAAGGCTTCCTGACACTTCGGTGTGGTGGATGAATGTGCACTTGTTGCGCGGTGGTTGATGAAGATTAAGCCACCCAAAAGGTGGCACGGGCATGAATAGCCCGTAAGTGGTGGCCCTTTTGAGCCATTACCAGTATCAATAGATGATACTGGTGATCTGTGGAGGTGCGACTGCACCCTGCATAACGGGAGATGTCTCCCATGAATGTGTCAATGATGAAGATTAAGCCACCCAAAAGGTGGCACGGGCATGAATAGCCCATAAGTGGTGGCCCTTTTGAGCCATCACCAGTATCAAGAGCTGATACTGGAGATCTGTGGAGGTGCGACTGCACCCTGCGTGACGGGAGATGTCTCCCGTGTTGCGCGGTGGGAACGCACATTAATAAATACAAAGATTGTATTACGGGTTCCAGATCTCTGTTGACCAGACCACACACTAGAAAATGAAGGGACGACGACGTTTCGGTCCGTCCTGGACCATTCTCAAGTCGATCCAGTTACTTTCCAGATCTCTGTCTGGAACCAGCTCCTACGGGTTCCAAGACAGATCGTCTCCGATTTGAGTGTTTATCTACAAGACTCGAGCACAATGTTTATGCGGTTCACGCAGCCGATTCACGAGTTGAAACTTACGATGTTTACAGAGCGGTTACGTGTCCGCTTGAGAGATCTTACCTCTTGCCGCGATCATGACGTTTTAGTCTGTTTTTACTGAACAATTTGAGCTCTGAAGCACTTAAGTGATCGTCCATCCGCCCATAATTGTAATACATAATAACAAGGTTGAATGCAGGTGATGAGTCACAATAACGTGGCTGAAGTTTGTTGACCAATCCACACACTAGAAAATGAAGGGACGACGACGTTTCGGTCCGTCCTGGACCAATCTCAAGTCGATTTGTGAATGGTCCAGAACAAATTGACTTGAAAATGGTCCAGGACGGACCGAAACGTCATCGTCCCTTCATTTTCTAGTGTGTGAATTGGTAAACAACAAGGCTGAAGACGGTTTAGTAGCCATTAGGGGATCCTAAACTGTTTAGTAAATACAAACCAAGCCACCATGATTGAGGTCAGAGTTAAGATCTTGTAAGAAGACACGTAGGTGCTCTGTGAATACCAGTGGGAGCCTCGTCCTTCGCAGCCATTTTGAAAAACAGGATCCAGCAGAATGCCCGTACGTTCGCACCTTCTTTTTTTCCCCCACGCCACAAATAGCAGTCACGACACATCATGCAGCCTTGGGTATGGAGACCAGCTTGTTTTTATTATGGATTTGCCATGTTTTTGAGAGATGTCCTCGATGATTTAATGTCATGCAGGAGAGGATAGTAAGTATAACTTAGAACAATAGAATTACTGTCTACGCCTGTTATACAATAATCGGGGGAAAAAAAGGTTACTGGAGCCAGATTCACGAAGCAGTTACGCAAGCACTTACGAACGTGTACATCTTTCTTCAATCTTTGACGGCTTTGGTTATATTTATTAAATAGTTTACAAGCATGTAAACTTCCCAATCAACTGTTGTTATTCTTATGAACAGCCTCCTGGTGCTTCGTAACTCATTAACTGTTTAACAAGTGTAAACAAAGCCACCAAAGATTGAGAAAAGATGTACAGGTTCGTAAGTGCTGGCGTAACTGCTTCGTGAATCTAGCCCCAGGATTGCAACCAGTCCTCAGGCTATGTTTATTTTATGCAGCGGCCGACCCCCAAGACACATTTTAGCATGATGTTCATTCAAAAACAGGAATTTTCTCAAATTATAAATTAATATGTTTATGTATTAGCATATTTAGTCGTAGGCTAGGTGTTTAGGCTCTGTTGGCAATTATTTGTGTATATAGTACGTGGGTGGAGCATTTACAGCGTTGTGAGTTCGAACAAAAGTCGTCAGCGAAGCACTTGTTCAAGAAGTGTTTGGAGGTCATCAGTTGAGTCTTATGTAAACGGCTTGAGAATGAATCGACTTGAGAATGGTCCAGGATCGACTTGAAGAATGGTCTTCAACAATCGACTTGAGAATGGTTCAGGACGGACCGAAACGTCGTCGTCCTTTCACCTTCTAGTGTGTGGTCTGGTCAACAAACTGGTTTTCATTCATAAACTGTGGGGTTTGGCGGGTGCATGGAATGAACTCTGGCCCTTGTTTATGAGGACGGGCTGGTTGATGATAATGGGCAAGGGTGTTGTTAGCGGCGACCTGAAGGCTCATGTTTCTATTGTGATACGTCATTTGCACATTTCTATTGCACATCGATTGATTTGGTGCATCCTGTTTGAAGCGTGGAGAAGCCAAATGGGAAATGTTTGAAAACTTCACTTCTCAGCCATTGTGCATGAACTGCAGCCAAAACTACACGATGGTGAATATCAGGATGCCTTACTCTTACTGTTGGGTAGATATTAACCTAGCCAGTCAATAGGACGGACGGACACACACACACACACACACACACACACACACACACACACACACACACACACACACACACACACACACACACACACACACACACACAAAGCAAGGTTGTAATATAGCGCCCTAAAGCGTTGTGGTTGACGCCCTCACTCCCTCACCTTGCACCTGACGGTGACCCGAGTTCTAATCCTGGGTCAGATGCCACGATTCTACGGGCTCGCCATAGCCCGTGCTACATGGACACTTCGTTCTGAGTAGCTAAATCTGAAACAAGAAGAAGCCACGATTGGGCTCTATTCCTTCCCTGCTTCCCTCTTCCTCTCCTCAGCTTTCAAAAATATCAAAAGACATTTTGCTAAAAGGGACAAATCCTGTGAGGGGAAAATATAAGAGGTGATTGACCTAACCGGTTCCCATGGTACTGTGATAAGAGGTACGTGAAGTCTTACAAGATGTATGACACCTTGTATACAACACCCAGACTCAGGCTCCATTTGAATGGGGTGAGAATAGCTTGAGCTACCTCATCCCTTTGTGTGTATTTTACCTCAATAAACTTATTTCAATTTCAATTTCAATTTCAGGCTCCACCAGTCTACACTCACCTTGAATTCTGAAGCTACAAGGTGATCTGCTTGTTATAACTCAACACAAAAAGTTGTTTTGAACAACCAGATCACTGCGATAGGGTAAATGTTAATTTTAAAAATAGTGCTAGTCTGTAGCGAGTGAATCTATAATGGAAACACTCAACTGTAATGGTAGTAGAAAACTCGTGATGCAAATAGAACACTATTACGCACATATTCAAGAGAGGGGGGAACATTGAATTCAATTTCTTTCAATTTCTTTATTATGCACCCCATACCCATCCCGTGGGCGGTGGTGTAAATGATTACAGAGGCACATAATCGGTTCAGGAACTGAACCCTCTAGTTCGTTTAGCTAAGCAAATAACAATCACTGAGCGGACTTGCTAGGTAGTGATGATCTGTGGGCGGGGTACTGACGTATAACAACGCCACTAATAATGATAACAGCAACAAAGTCATTATATTTATAGAAGTGGAGAGAGAATCAAGAGCTTCCCAGCCGACGGGTGATGCATATCCTGCACGTGATAAAAAGCCAAGCACTGTTCTAAGGTCAAATGTGAAGGGTCGACTTGACCTTAAGGGCTTAAGCATAGTAGTTTGAGCTCGGTCTTACCATGTGACAAGAGTACGATATATAATTCCCGATATCGGGAACAGGAAACCTGTATAATGACTTCTCCGAGGTCCTAAGCAAACTACTGACCAATGAACAAATCCACAAGGGCCGTGACGAGGATTCGAACCTGCGTCCGGGAGCATCCCAGACACTCCACCTCCAGGATGCAATCCACAACAATTATTTAACTCCATACTATTTTTGACTATTTACATAGCTTATGATACCGTACAAAGTTACAACAGTCTACCAAAGGACTCAGTTTCTCATTAGTCCAAAATAGCGAACATAGGCAATGTTATGAAGGTGTATTTTAAAAAAGCGTCCAGTCTGTGTGTGGGATTATATTGGTTGAAATATGATGCCCCTAAACTCGACGCGGAGATTTATTTATTTATTTATATATATATATATTTATTTATTTATTTATATACAAGAAGGTACATTGGGTTGAGAGAATACATAGCCTAGTATTTACAATCTTGTAAAGCCACTAGTACGCGCAGCGTTTCGGGCAGAAACGTACGAGATTGGTATTGTTATACTGTATCTTAATAGTTGATCCATATGAAAGTGTAGCTATCCACTCAAGTAGTTTAATTATATGATATGTACTCGACCTTACCTTGAGGTGGTTCCGGGGTTCAAGATCCCCCGCGGCCCGGTCCCTGACCAGGCCACATGGTTGATGGCTGCTCGTAGCCGGACGTATGAATCCCAGCCTGGTTGATCAGGTATCCCCTTGAACACTGAGGGGTCGGCCAGTTATGCCCCTTATGTGTAGTGGAAGCGTGCTGAACACTCTCGGGCCTCTGATGTTGATAAGAGTTCTCTCTCAGCGAACCTATTGCACCTCTGCTTTACACCGCGGGTATTCTGCACATCCTGCCATGCCTTCTAGTCTCATGTGGTGTTATTTCTTTGTGGAGATTTGGGACCAGAGCTTCTAATATTTTCCATGTATAAATTATTATGTATCTCTCCCACCTGCGCTACAGAGAATACAGATTTAGGCATTTTAGTCGGTCCCAGTAATTTAAATGGTTTATTGAGTGGATTCTGGCAGTGAAGGATCTCTGTACACTCTCCAGGTCATGAATGTCTCCAGCTTTCACAAACCTTTTGTATGTTTGGTAAATAATGAATATACAAATTGTGAGGACAGGCATTGGGTAAGCTTAGGTTAGCCATTATTTTCTAAGTTGCTCTCTTCCCCTCCCACCCTCTCTCTTGTTCTTTTTAATACACAGCGTTCTGGGGTCGTAAGTCCTAAGGGCCCCAGCTCGATCCCCGGTCAAAGCAGAAACAAATGGGCAGTTTCTTTCACCCGATGCCTCTGTTCATCTAGCAGTAATAGGTACCTGGTAGTTAAACATGTCTCACATCCTGGGAATGTGTGTTCGATAGAAATATGTAGTAGGGATAAGAGGGAAAAATAGGTCAGGGATTCAGAACATTAGACAAACGACGGTTAGAAAGGCGGGGTCCAAGAGCTAACAATTCGATCCTGCAGGGACAAATAACAAATACACACCCGTCCCTCTTTTTGAATACATTGCTAGAGGTGTCCCGATTGCTTAACCTCTCTTTAAATTGGGTAAAGTCTTGTCTCTCTCCTTTTATAACACCGCTACCCGAGCTTGTGTTTAGCACGACCTAGTTTTAATTGAACATCTGAGAAGCTGTAAGTCACTACTGTCATGGTGATGTAAAGCCCAGATGTAAGGAGCGCTGCTGGTGGGTGAAAGTGTCTTGGTGCGACCGTGGGAGGGAAGGGCAAATATATGGGTGTTGATCATAATAATATTAGTATTGATAAAATATACAAAGATGTTAGTGGGTATTTAGTACGTATAGTAATTGTATATTACATGACGCTACTAATAGATAAACATTAATTGGTTGGTTGATGCTTTAATTTTCACATAGTTTTTACTTGACAGTTTAGTGTTAATGGGATGTTTATACGGGTAAAAACACGCAGCTGCCGATGGACTTTATTATACTTTCAGAATGTGGTCAAGTGATTGGGAAGGAAAAGTATAGGTAGGGTTAGGGAGGAAAAGTATAGGTAGGGTTAGTGAAGAAAGGTATAGTGGACCAAACTCGCAAGTCAAGCCTGGCCTCGGGCCGGGCTTGGGGAGTAGATCTTCCAGAACCCTATCAACCAGGCATCAACCAGTGTTGGGGAACAAGTTGAGGGAAGTAGAAGGGAGGGTGATGGAGAGGTATATAAGGGCAAACGGGGCGGGGTGGGGGTAGGGAGTAATCATCAGGTTGGAGGGGATAATTAGGGGGGGGGGTAGGGAGAAGAGACGAGGACAGCTTGTGCCGGGGAGTCCGTTAAAACCGTTAAAACCGTTAAAACCGTTAAGGACCGTTATGACGGTACCGGAGCACCATTAGCGTGCGGCGATGTAAGATTGCAGTTGTTCTCACTCTCTCAGGTGTGTCGCGGGTTTCTGTGTCACAACTACTGCTGTACCGCTTTCGCCGTATCTCGTGAGACGTGGTCCAGTGCCATCCCATTCTTCCCTCCAGGATTGTTTTATTCTTATAGTCCCGAGTTGTATCCTTTCTCCTGCCCGCGTCCTGCTGGTGCCGGCCTATAATAACTCTGGCCTTGAGGATGGCCAGGGATTTTGAGGGTACGTTAGTTACTTTAGTAATTTATTATGCATCCCATACCCATCCCGTGGGCGATGGTGGAGAGGGTTACAGAGGCGCACATGAGAGTTCAGGAACTGACCCCCACAGTTCATTTACCTAATCAAGTTTTTGGTCTTCGGGCGTGCCCGCGAAGTCTAAAACTATAATTATTGTGTTCCTGTGATGCATTTTAATTTGTATTTTGTTGTGTTATACCAAGTTGGATAATGTTTTGGTTAATATAACATAACGATGTGTTTCAGGGTATGGCGTAACATGGCGGACGTTTTGGGCCCACGGGAGGATGTGCGCGGCACACCCGTGGGAGGTGATATTCTCCATCATCACTACCACCGTGGCTATGATCTCCCTCGCTGACTGGTACAAGACGCCCAGCCTTCCTCGCACCCCTCAGGTACCTTATTACACCGCATCCCTCAGGCATCACCCCTTCCTCTCAGGTATTACACCGCATCCCTCAGGCATCACCCCTTCCTCTCAGTTACAAATAAAACGAGATTACTTTATGAATCAACAGTTATAAAACACATTATAGCCTCACTAAAATTAGTGCTACTTGGCCTTCCCGGCTTGGTGCCTTCTTTTGATAATTACTTACTAAAATTAACACTCATCCATAACCTAGGTAAATATGATAAGAGTAACAGCAGACCAGCCAGAGGAATATCCTTACCAAAAACAGAATAAAACACAATATGGTGTATCTGTATGAGTGGTTACATCTGCCTTCCCGGTCTTAGGTACATCCTCTTATCTCTAACTTTTGCATTAGATATTGTTAATGAACAGATCCTCTAATATGTTTCTTAATGGTGTTCGATCCCCAGTTCACTTGCTGGAGACCCACTAGGCTATTAGAAGTACATGCAACATTTTGTTTTACTGCAAACCCAGCATACGGAATAATGAGAGAAGGAAAGGCCTTATATTTATAAAATCCATGCGACCCACCAGTCATGGATCTATGAGGGTATGTTAACAAACAAGAAGCATTGACGAACAAAAAAGAAGGTAGACATTAATGCGAGACAGTTTCATCTAAAATGGTATCTCGGCAGCAATGAACACTTATGCAAAGAAAGTATAAAATGTGCGGTTGTTTGATAATTTTATTGGGGAGGAAAGTTGGAAGCAAAGGGCACAAAATAAAATCCGGGCGATACACCAGCGTCTTTCACAGATAATGGTGTAGATATTTGTGTTGGGTATGTTTATATTCAAATGGCTGAAATTGCTGATTTTCTGAAGTATTAAATTTTACGTTTGTTTAAACAAAAATTTAAGCAACCAGTATATGACATGAAAAGACTCCGGGGACGTTAAAACTATCTTATCAGGTACTATATTTAAGACGTGCAGCAGTAAGAGTGTTAAAGCCAGCGTTTTAATGTACCTTGAACAGTAGCATGTGCCTGCAACATCTCCGACTACTGTGAAAGTTTTCGTGGCTTCATGTTTCTCAAACGCGTACTTTTGCGTAGCGTTATTACAGTGTAGAGACACGTGTGCCGTCACACGTCACTGGGGGTGATGGTGGTGGTCGCTCACGTTGCCCACCCCGCCAGCGTGTTGGTATGAATGAGTGATCTTCAGGCTCTGTAGCCTAGCTTGCCTCTAGGGGCCACACCATCACCCGTCCTCCACACTCGGCCCTCGTATACCTCTTGAAGTTCTTGAACATCATCATGTACGCTGTTGACTTGGAGCAACACTCGTGCACAGCTCTCCACTATTACACTCTTGTTTGGGACACTCACGCACGCTACCCGTGCACATCAACACATTACCTGTGCTCATCACTTCACACTCACGCTACCTGTGCGCTAACACTCACACACTCACTCCCTCTCTCTATCACACACTCACTCCCTCTCTCTATCACACACTCACTCCCTCTCTCTATCACACACTCACTCCCTCTCTCTATCACACACTCACTCCCTCTCTCTATCACACACTCACTCCCTCTATCTATCACACACTCACTCCCTCTCTCTATCACACACTCACTCCCTCTCTCACACACTCACTCCCACTCTCACACACTCACTCCCACTCTCACACACTCACTCCCACTCTCACACACTCACTCTCTCACACACACTCACTCTCTCACACACACTCACTCTCTCACACACACTCACTCTCTCTCACACACACACACACACACACACACACACACACACACACACACACACACACACACACACACACACACACACACACACACACACACACACACACACACACACACACACACACACACACACACACACACACACACACACATATTCTCTCTCAACCTGTGCTCATCACCACACACACACTACCTGTGCTCATCACCCCACACACTACCTGTGCTCATCACCACACACTACCTGTGCTCATCACCACACACTGCCTGTGCTCATCACCATACACACACTACCTGTGCTCATCACCACACACACTACCTGTGCTCATCACCACACACACTACCTGTGCTCATCACCACACACACTACCTGTGCTCATCACCACACACACTACCTGTGCTCATCACCACACACACTGCCTGTGCTCAACACCATACACACACTACCTGTGCTCATCACCACACACACTACCTGTGCTCATCACCACACACTACCTGTGCTCATCACCACACACTACCTGTGCTCATCACCACACACACTGCCTGTGCTCAACACCATACACACACTACCTGTGCTCATCACCACACACACACTCTACCTGTGCACATCACCACACACACACTACCTGTGCTTGCCAACTCGCGCTCCCTTCTCATAAATTGTAAAGTTCTCTTCCTGTGCAGCTCTCCTCCCACTATAACACTGGGGTTCCTGTATGATGTAAAGCTGTCTCTGTAAAGATGGTAGTGCGAGTTTTCTTGCACTTATAATCTACTGCAGCTCCGAGACTATGGTCACGTCCTTGCACTGATGCAGACTTGTGTAATTGACATGCTCGTAACTCATGCCTGCAAACCTAACACACTTAGTGTGTCTCTCTCTGTATTCCTGATGCTGACAGAATTATATAATATAAATATACTTGATGTATAATATATATATAATATAAAATTCATTTTATATATATGTTGGCCTCTGTCTAGTGGCCGTGGGTGGGACAGAAAGGATGTGTGTGTGTGTGTGTGTGTGTGTGTGTGTGTGTGTGTGTGTGTGTGTGTAAGTACACAACACTGTAGTGTGTGTGAAAGTGAAGGTGCATGTGTGTGCGTGGGTTGGGTGGGCACAGGCACAAGGGTATATACCTGCCACGGGGAAAATCCGTCTGTTGGTCTGACCTTGGCTTGCTACACCACAAATTATTGTACCCCCATTTCTCTGCCCTCTTATATGCCTTTCTCCTCTCCCATTTTCATCCTGCTGCTACTATTCTCATTCCTTTATCCTACTTAAGAATAATGGCAGCTGCAGAAGTTGCCATTAAATATTGGCCCAGAGCTCCAATATTTCCTTTCTAATTCTTTCCTGCTACTTTTGTATCATCCTTTTATTTCCTGCTTTCATTCTTATTCCTTCTCTGCCACTTATCTCTTATATTCCTTCCTCTTCTCTCACATCATGTTCCTGCTTTGTTTCCCCCCCTCCCGTTTCTCATTTTTTTCGTCCAGCTGGGCTCCCCCTCTACATATGTATACAGTACTGTAGTGGCCTCGATGGATACAGAAAGCTGGTTGGCTGCTTGTCAATTAATGGTCTTTTCACTTCTCATAAATTATTCATGAGGATTTTTCCAGTTGAATTTAGAAGTGGAGTATTATCTTGGGATTTAGTTGTCTAAGAACCTCCTTTCTAAATTCCTATCTGGTTAATTATTTTTCTCTTCTGGCAACTACCACAGAGCAACTACCATTCAAAGCTTTGGTTATTCTTGCATATGATGTGGTGAGGGGGGAGTGGCTATCTTGAGCTGATTTCAGGGCTTAGTGTCCCCACGGCCCAGTCCTCGACCAAGCCTCCCCCCCCCCCCCCCCAGGAAGCAGCCCATAGCAGCTGTCTAACTCCCAGGTACCTATTTACTGCTAGGTAACAGGGGCATCAGGGTGAAAGAAACATTTTGCCCATTTGTCTCCGCCTCCACCGGGGATCGAACCCAGAACCTCAGGACTAGGAATCTGAAGCGCTGTCCACCCAGCTGTTAGGTGCCCTTCACAGATGTGATTTTCCATGGTCAGGGAGATGAAACATTTCAGGCTTATCAAGGTCCCTCATGGTTAACTTCAACTAACCGTTCCAAGGATGCAACCCACAACACAAGTTTCTCCAACTCCTACGTGGGTACCTATTTACTGCTAGAGGTGAACAGATGCATGAGGTGTATGGAAATATTGTTAAATGTCTTGCCCTGCTTGGAAATTGATATGGGGATCATTTGGTTATCACCTGTCCTACCGACATATTTTAGTAATATTGTTTGCAAGAGTGAGATTGGATTTACTATAATTTAACTTGCCTAGTTAATGAACTAATTAGAAGCCACATACTGTAAAATATTGTACACTGAAAATTTATATTACTTGCAGATTTAAAAATTGTTGTCATGACTATAACATGTGCTCTAACTACACGTACACCAGGGTTCAAGTCTCGTGTGAGCCCAGCATGCGACTGTAACACTACCGACCACCACTATTCACATCATGGGCGTGGAGTATAATAAACTTGTTAAGCTAAAACTGAGCGCAGATAAAAAAAAACCATTCTTACAAATAGAACAAAATGTGATTGGTGTTTGTGTGGTGATTGTTGTTGGCCTGGTTAATTGTTATTTAGCTATGGTGACTAGTTTGTCTGTGGTTTTTGTGTACAGTACTTTTGATCATTGTTGACAATCTGTGATGATTGCTATTCAACAGTTGTGATTGCTATTTACTAGTACTTCCCTATTTGTGTAGATCTGTCTGTTGCCATGAGGTGCGAGATCTAAGGCCTTGCTTCTTCGCTACTGTATTGGGTACTTGATGTGCTCTTTCCTCTTAATGTTCTAGTGTTCATCATGTTTAATTTTAACCCCCAAGTTTCCATTAGGAGGAATAAGAAATTAAAATTTAATTTAAAGACTTTAAAAACAAAAATTTGTAAATTGTAAGATTAAGGAGCATTTATTAAGGTAGTCTGGTTTCATAAATGACAATTCATTAGCAGCACTTTGCACATGGTTGCATCAAGTGGTAGGGTCCTGCCTACCTGATGGGCAGGACCTTACCTGTTCTGGTAGGTGTGACAGTGCTGGTTTTTAATTTTTACTCTTATTTTGTTAGGTTCTGATGCATCCTCATCCCATGAAAGGGCTAAATAGTAGTGATGATCAATTTTGGGAAAGCAAATGAAGTCATGAAGTAGCTTACAGCTACCACATTTACTGAAATATGAAATCTCTTGTTTGTGTGCATACAATGTGTGTTTTTTAATGACACAATTAAATAAAGGTTGTTAATTTCTTTTGGCAGGAGTACCAGGGTCTAGATGTTGTGGTGATGACTGTTTTACGATGCTCAGCACTACTCTACACCTACCACCAGTTCCGTAACCTGCATAGGATTGGCTCCAAGTACATTGTGGGTATGTGCTCCCATGTCTTTGGGTGGTAATGCTGTATTATCTCAGTTGCATCAATAAGATCTTCTCACTTATTTAACTATTTTCTTAATTCAAGTGTTACTCGAATTGAACATTACTGGCCTGTGCTTCTCAGTGTCTTAGTACTTATTTTAAAGCATACAAATTAGCTGCAGTATGCATAATGGGGTTTAGATTGATGGGCAGATATCTTGAGATTATCTTGAGATGATTTCGGGGCTTTAGTGTCCCCGCGGCCCGGTCTTCGACCAGGCCTCCACCCCCAGGAAGCAGCCCGTGACAGCTGACTAACACCCAGGTACCTATTTACTGCTAGGTAACAGGGGCATAGGGTGAAAGAAACTCTGCCCAATGTTTCTCGCCGGCGCCTGGGATCGAACCCAGGACCACAGGATCACAAGTCCCGCGTGCTGTCCGCTCGGCCGACCGGCTCCGTTGACCGGACCAGATAACCTCATGGAAAGATAAAATGGAGGATTATGTGTGGAAAGTGGTGTTGTGATAGTAAATTTAGGAAAGACAGGTTAAGAGCTTGCTAAGGTAGAGTTGTTTGGAGGCCTCTTAATTTGCTCACTGTAATGTGGAAGAATAGGGCATTTAGTGTATAGTTTTACATTGTCACCAAATGCCAAGAAGATCATGGCTTGCAGCTCTTGTGGGATATTTCATATCTGCTGCTGTGGCTTTTAATGACTGTTTTCATTCATATGAGATCTGTTATGTAGGTGTGTAAGGTAGAAATGCCACACCTGTCAATGGTTATGGACCTGTGTGACATTATCTGTTATTCGGAGAGGAAGTATTATTGTATGTAAAGTTATATATATTGTGTGTACTATATAAAATGTGTTACTTTTAAGAGCTTATGAAAAATTCAAGAAATGTTAAGATATTAAGTATTTAAGTATGTAAACTTTACAATTAATGCAGTACTGTATTGCTTTAAAAGTCAATAGACTTTAGAATAACAATAATTCAATAGCGTACAGTTGTCTTCTGTATAAATATTTTATGTGGTTGGTCTGAAAATAATTATGCTTTACAGGGATTGCTGGACTCTTTGTTGTATTTTCAAGCTTTGTGTTTAGCTGTTCGGTCATTAAACTGTTGGATAGTGATGCCTCTGATCTCAAGTGAGTATAATTATTATTTTGTTTTTTATTTATGTATACAAGAAGGTACATTGAATTTATGCGAGTACATAGCATTGATGTTTTACATTCTTAAAAAACCAAGAATTGCCAGAGGGAAGACCTGTCACTTCAAGAAAGCATATTCATTCTATTTACTATTGTTTGTTTAATAATGTAAACAAAAAATATATTTTTTTATCTGCTTAATAAATGTTTGCAATTTCAGAGATGCATTGTTTTTCTTCCTGCTTCTGGTGGACCTTAGTAGAGCTAGCCTTCTGGCTCAGTTTGCCTTGTCATCCTCCAGTCAGGTTGAAGTATACACAAACATTGCATATGGTATGGCTCGTCTTGGACCATCTCTCACTCTTGACACCATTGTTGAGGCCCTGGTCATTGGTGCTGGCACACTTTCAGGTACGTACAGATGTTATTACAAGTAGATAGGTTATTCAGGAACGTACAAGTGTTATTACAAGTTGGTAGGTTATTCAGGGTCATACAAGTGTTATTACAATTTGGTAGGTTATTCAGGAACGTACAAGTGTTATTAAACGTTGGTAGGTTATTCAGGTATGTACAAGTGTTATTACAAGTAGGTAGGTTATTCGGGTACGTACAAGTGACACACTTTTACGTGTTGTAACTAGGGTATAAGAAGAGATGCACAGAATAACGTAATTATGTTTTACATTCTTTTTTTATTTAATTTTATTGATTTGAAAATGGTTATAAGCAGAATGATTCATCATTTACCATGGAAACATTGGAACAGGATTAGCCCTGAAGAATTCTAGTGCAAAATGTTTTACAGATTAAATTCCTTTGTAGCTGTTTCCATTACACATGAGTGCTTTATCCAAGTTACTTTATAAATTAAAATTGATTCAAGGATCATACACAAATGTTGCTTCTTATTTGTGTAATTTGATATAAGATAAAGTTGAACTTCATAGGCCACAAGGATTTATGTGAATACGGTACAGTATTTGTACAATGAAAGGCTACAAGCACTGTCATTATTATTTACAGGTGTGAGCCGTCTGGAGCAGATGTGCGCATTTGCCTGCATGTCTATTGTTGTGAACTACATTGTCTTCATGACGTTCTTCCCCGCCTGCCTCTCTCTTGTCCTTGAGGTGAGAAGGGATTGAGGCTGAGCCACAGGTGTTGGGAGAAACCATCATTTACAGCTTAGTGCAAATATGACAGAGTATGGGAATGTTGAAAGGTATAAATGCCCTTGGTACAATAGCTGTGAGGTTTTTGTTTGTTTGATGAGAAAAGCTTGTACAGAGTCTAAGAATTGTCCAAATGTTTCAGCTGTCAAACAGATGCTCCTCTGGACAACCTCCATGGCAGATGGCAACTCTGGCTCGTGCCATGGTCGAGGAAGAAAAGCCAAATCCTGTTGTCCAGCGAGTCAAGGTACTTACTTTCAAACGCACGTTTACAGGATGCTGTTAAACTTCATTTGATTTATTTAATGAACAAGAGTCAATATTAGCAGTTCGTTAAGAGAGAGAATAGATGATTTAAGTTAATTTTTTTTTGTAATTGTGCAGAATACTTTACAATTGTGCTACGAAATAGCCTGCCATCACATTTCGTGGGATGGCAGACTATTTCATTCTGTTTTTCTCACTGACTAAAACATATTGACGTGATGATGTCTACCAAATGCATTTTTTATATTGCTACATCTTGTCTCAACAGGTGATCATGTCTGCTGGGCTCCTGCTAGTTCATGGCATCACCCGTTGGTCACTCTCCCTGACGTCAAATACTGTTACAATGTTAGAATCAAGTGCTTCTTTCAATTCCTCTACTGATCCACATGTTATTGTCAGGTTTGTATTAAGTTCTCATGTTAGGGGGAAATAAGAAGCCTAAATATCAATATGGAACAATTTTTATGTAAGAATGTATGTTCAGTCACTGTCCAAATGTTCAGTCCACTGTCCAAATGTTCAGTCCACTGTCCAAATGTTCAGTCCACTGTCCACTGGGTTACAGTTTTTATATGGTACAATTTACTGATCATTAACAGCAGCAAATTCTGCTGGTGCTTACTGTCACTCAGTACCTGGACTTAATTTAATGCTCATCTTTGATATTGGGATCATTTTGAATACATTTCATTAAACAGCCAGAAGTCAGGCCTATCACAACTTTCACAAAATCTAAACAAATCATCAAATATTCATGGAGTGAAGCAGTGGATGATCTACTGACATCAGACCTTGGCAACAAGATCACTAGAAACAGTTATTTTTGTAGATTTAGGCCAAATTGGTATCGCTAAATATTATTAAACTAATTACTTAACCTCATTTGATTGTATGATTGATGTGATTGGTCAGTAACATTAGTATACAAGTTGTATTGGTTTTGACATATCCTTCCACATACATACCAGTACAATTTATCATTAGAAGCAAGGAATAGAAAACAAAAGAAACCCCTATCCGAGTTAAGTTTTGTGTAGCTATTGTAACGTGTTCTTTTGAGCATATTTCAAGGTGACAGATAACATTGTTACCCAGATATAATGTGTATTTCTAAAAGCAGCAGAAAGCATTGTTTCTTGTTCAGAAATAACTACTGGTCAGATTGAATCAGGGTTAGCATGAAAGGGCATTGCACTCTGGGTGTGTTTTTTTTGTTACCTATTGTGTAGCAAATGTGTATATTTGGCTTTGCTTTCTCGCTACCTTTGTGGTGGAAATAGATAGGGTGGAATCCATATGTACCAGAAAGCATTTAAAAAGATGGCCTCAACACTGAACATACTTAGTATCTAGCTAGTGGTGGTGACACTTGCACGACCAACTCTGAGGTGCAGAGTTATACCCTATAGGCTCCTCCATCCAAATATTGTTAATATATGTACAATATTGTAACAGCTCTCAGAAAAAGAAGATTGAGTTTATTGCATTAATGTGTATATCACACATTATGATGTGCATGTGTGTGTGTGTAAAATGCAAAATGAAATGTGTTAAAAAGAAATTATTTAATTTTTGTTGTCGCCAGGTTGCTGGATGCAGGACTGGACCACATTGTGTTTACGGTGATTCTTGTTGCCCTGATTGTCAAATACGTGCTGTTTGAGTCACAAGGTCAGTTAGAGGAAAATCTCATCAATGATAGTCTTCAGACCTCTCAGGATTCCCTCGATAGCTCTGGTCTCTCTGGCAAAGGTAAGTGCATCAAGGTTTTATTTTTTATTTTTTTTTATTTTTGTTAAAAAGGGCAAAAATGTTAAATTACTTCAGAATATGAGAGTAGTGATGGAAATAAGTACAAAGAAGTGATGTGGATTTAGAACTTTGGTTATTGTAGTGTGAACCTATGTCCAGGTAGAGTAGGGTGGGCACATATGTACAATATTTGCTTTGAAGGATTATTATAAATGTTACTTGGTCTTTTAAATTGGGAATAAACATAAGATAAATTATGATAATATAAGTGGAATTAACTGGCTGATAAGATGGATTCCTATAGGTTTGTTACTGTTTGTCTTGAGAAGGCCCTTTGGTGTTGTTGAGGCCTCTAACAGAAAGAGGGAGGTGGGAAGTGGGAAAGAGGGAGACTATAGTGGGAAGACTATAGTCTTTGCATGCAATAACAAGAAAAAAACTCATAGTTTTCTTGTAGATTTCCATCATTACACATGTGTTTGTTGCCATATGTATGTATTTGTTTAATATATATATATATACAGTGTTAGAAAAAATATTTGAATGCATCGTCATATTGCAGATTGCTATGTATTATAAGACTTGAATAATCCAACAATTATCATATTCTCCATATAATTTTATCCTTATCTTAAGCTTGGTATCACATCTTTCTTATTTCTGTTTACTCACTTTTCTTATAAATTATGGTAGTTATTTTCACATTCTTACTCTTAAATACAAACACATGGCAGTTACGTCACACATGTTACTGTATATAGAAAACAACGTGCATGGTTATACAGCAAATGTCTCGAGCCCGGCAGAAATGTTATTGACATATAAACGTGAAGTGTTTAATGAATGTTTTAAGGAAACATGATTTTGCCTGCATCACCTTGCTTTGACTATTGTAAGATGGTGGCTTAGTATAGAAAATAGTTACACAATAAATTTATTATTTTATTACTGAAAAGTACCCAGACAGTACTAGTACATTTCAGTAACCTTGAAGACTTATGGTAAGTTATACATCGCCTATAAACTAGATTATAGGTAGAAACAAACCACATACAGAACTTTCCCAAGTAGTATACAGTTGTCATAGTATACAGTTTCTTGTGTATCCGGGGTAATTGGTTCCAGAGGTGTCTTGGTATGTATTAATGTTGTTTATATACTATATGTATGGAGACAGTAAATATAAACTATTCTCTTAGCAGTATGAATGTACTGTAAATATAATGCATTTATGTGAATGGTTCTGTGTACAGTATGCATGTGTGAAAATACATGTATACAATATGTGTGAAGATAACTGTATACTGTATAAATATTGAGACAAATGCCAGTCACAGCTTCAAGAGCATGTATGACAGTATTGGAGGGTGGGGAGTTATAAATGCACCAGACACAATAAGTGAGGCAGGGCTGTAGAGCTGGAGCTTTCTCTCTGTAGCGACAACTGGGTAAGCCCCCCCTTGTGTAAACATGTGCACTACATGTATGAACAAAAGCAGAACCAGTACATAAATGCAGAAAAATAGGCTTTCAGGAAAAAAGTCGATGCATATACATTTCTAGAGTTAACAATATTAGTATTTAACCCTGTACTGCATAATTAGATTTCAGTTGAGTGATTAATTTGGAAGAAGTGTATCTTGAACATTGGAAGTGAGGGAAGCTTATTTCAAGATGGCTTGGACGTCATTAATTATAAGTCATGTGTACCGAACACTTCCTTTCTATCAGAAGGAAAGATTATTGCATGGAATTGATTTTTGCACTTTGGTTTGAAGAGTTTGCAAACAGGACTGCTGCCAACCACTGCTCACCAGCAGCTAAATAATAATAGTACAATACTATTTTTTGTTTAACTAGGTGCAAAATCCTCCCACCCATTGACCATTCACATTGTCTTAACTCAGCGTGAGACGTCTCAAGCTCTCCTGGATGTAACTCGGTGTAGCAGATATCACTGTTCAAGCCTTGAGAGTTGCTCACAACTAGTTCAATTAATAAATTACCAGAATTGGCTATAACCACTGTCTTGGATAATCATGACTTGGCTGTACATTCATGGGTTCATTGTAAACAAAGATTTAGTTATCTAGGAAGATTTACTTTCTGTACAACTTATTGCCATCATCTAATTTCTACCATTCATAGAGTGGGAGGAGACACTTACCTTAAAAGACGTTCAAAACTGTTACCATAGAACAAGCAAAATATCCACACCAGTATCTTTGCGGTTTCATCAGCAAATTAATTGTTAAGTCATTATTCATTTGTACCTGTAAAATTACTTGCTCTTGAATCTTTTCATTATACCACTTTTCATGCATTATTCATGTCTAGCATATTTCTTAAGTTATTCAAATGATTTACGAGTTCAGTCATTAAATAAAATATTCTTCTTGGCAGGAATTTTGCGCCAGCGCACTAGAACCCACACTGTCAGTTTTACTAGCCAGTGGGAGGAGGCTGCAATGGCAGTTTCTAAGGAGGATCGTAGCACACAGACAGAAACCTTCAGGAATCATCTTAACGAGCACTGGGATGAGGATGAGGACAAGCCTCCTAGACCAATAGAGGAGTGTGTAGCTGTGATGAACTCCGAGGTAGGTCCCTTTGCATTGTATTCAGTATCAAAGGTAATATTAGGTACATCATGAAATAATAAGTTGCACTTTGTGCTGTGCCTCCTGTAATTATGTAATTTATTTTGTATTTAAGCATAAAAACATTCAGAATCTTGCTAAACGTTTTTGTTACTGTCTATTTTAATGTGCGTATATCATCACTATTACTGTATCTGTCAAAGTTCCTGATGCTATCTCTATTTAATATATAGACATCCTTGTATAAAGTTTCTCTCAGTACTATAAACTATATTATTAATTTGTTACTTTAATTCAGATTTTTCAGTCTTTGGCTTAGTCTTCATCTGCTCTTTAACAATCACACAAATGTATAATGTGTATCCATCCTCTTTTTACACAAATATTACTTCACTAACTTAATTTTGTAGATAGTTATCTTGAGATCTTGAGAGGATTTCGGGGCTTAGCGTCCCCGTCCTTGACCAGGCCTCCTGGTCAAGGAGTTATGTGACAATATATTAACAAAATACTTTTGATCTCCTTTAATTTGATACATATATATATATACCTTTCAATTGTTTTGTTTACTCCATTATTTTGGGGCTATAGTTCCTTGATAGTAGATTTGGGAATTTACATTTTTTCTTGTTTGCAAAGATGGACTTGATGTCAAACTGAGTACTTGATACAACACTCTTGGTCTATGTAGCTTCTGGCTGACAGTATTTGTGCTTTATATTTTAATAGGTTTTATCTAATTAGTATCATGTGTGTTGCTTGGGATTTTTACCCTGATTCTTGGGATTATGTTGGATTTTGTCATATTTAATCTAAGATTTGATGGAAGGGGACAATCATTGTTTTCTCTCAGCATATCAGTCATTCTTGAACACATCATATGATGTATTTTATTGTTTGAGATCTGATTTTTCATAGATGGACTAATCATAAGTTCTGAACAATATATTGAGTAAGTTTGTAGGCGATGAGTCACAGTAATGTGGCTGAAGTATGTTGACCAGACCACACACTAGAAGGTGAAGGGACGACAACGTTTCGGTCCATCCTGGACCATTCTCAAGTTGATTGTGTATTCCTGGACACAGCAGAATCGACTTGAGAATGGTCCAGGACTGACTGAAATATCGTCGTCCCTTCATCTTCTAGTGTGTGGTCTGGTCAACATTGAGTAAGTTTCTTCTAAATTAATTAATATTTCAAACATAAGCAACTTGCATTGTGAAATGTGCTTTTTTTTTCCTTCTAGTGTTTGTCAGTCACCACATCTTGATGAACCAAGTTGCTGCTCTCACTTTTGTTTTCCCTAAAAATACTGCATCTGGATATCATTTTCAATGTTTGTTTACACAACTTTCCTTCTTACACAATGATATTCCTGTTATATTTTTGCATCGCTTCTTGTAATGACATAAATAAAAACACATTAAAGAGTGGCAGTCATTTTAACAGTATCCTGACCGCATAAAAATATTCAAATGTGGTTTCATTCGTCTGGTTATCCCATCTTTTTTATGATCGGAATAATATTTTTAAAAGTGTCATTTTAGGTATCTTTATTCTTTATAATCCATTATACCAATTTATTGTCCAATGAATATTTACTTTATATTACATTTTATTTTAATTGTGATCATTTCTTTTTAATAGGCAGGGGTCAAATCTTTAACAAACCAAGAAATTGTGAAAATGGTGGAGAAGAAACATGTTCCAAGCTACAAATTAGAGACGATTTTGGGTAGTCCATTGAGAGCTGTTGGTATTCGTAGAACAGTGGTGGCACCGCACACAGCCAACCACCGCTCCATGGATGCTCTGCCATATGACCACTATGATTACTCCAAGGTCAGAAAAATGTTTGCAAATTGTTAGGATATTAATATTGGCATTATCATAGTTGATAACTTTAGTTGATAGAGAAATTGGAAAGGTACAGTATTTGATAAAACAATATTAATATCAGATAACATGTTTTTAAGCACTTTGAAAACATAATTTTGGGTTGTAAATTTTAGTTTTTGTAATGAATTAAAAGCAAATTTTAAAGTTTAATTTCTGTTACAAAGGTAATCCCTTGAAGAGAACAATTACTGTTTAAATATCACCACAACATTTAATTTACACATCTTTGTTGCCCACCTTTTAAGATAATTCTTCAATAAACGAGCATGGAACTTTTATTTTCTGAGTTAATGTCCCTAAAATGCTCTGAGTCAAAACATTTATGGTTTACCCATGATTCCTAACTTCCACCAAGCTCTTATAAATTAAATCCTATCATGACAAGTTTCCTGGAACCCCCTGCTAGTGCTAGTATGGCTATCAGCCAAGCACATTCATTGGGGGTCAAAATATACAGAGGCACACCCCAGAAAACTGGACACGGCAGAATGAGGCCCCATACTAGATACGATTTCCATACCCCTTTCTCCAACCATGAGGTATATAACCATAAAGAAAATGAGGTATATAACCATAAAGAAAATGAGGTATATAACCATAAAGCATTGAAGCCAAACCAACAAAACTGGATGACACCTGTCAGGTAGGAGGCCATCCATGAGAAAAGTGTACTCAGCAAACCCTACATCTAAGATAACGGCTAAAGCAGGTACAGCCAGAGACTCGATAAAATGAAGACAAAAGCCAGTCGCTTCAACACATCTCAAGCGATCACCCAGCTAAAGATGTTGGCAACACTCGTCCAAATATGATTCCGTGCAGAAACTGGTCATGTATGGTGGAAGCAAACAAGCCCAGTACCAAGGCTTCAGCCTATAAACAAAGTAATAAAAGCACTGCCAAGGTAGTGACCCATCTTAGGAGGAGCTTGACCACACAACCTGAAGAGGAGGTTAGTTGTTGGCTGTCAACACTCGGGAACAGGAAAGATAATGCTGAAAGTATGCTGAAATGGATAGAAAGTTCTTATATGCAAAACAAATGGGCTCTATGCTGAAAGAGAACACTAAATAGAGGTCAATTTAGATAATTGACTTTTCTTTGAAAAAGTCATCTAAATTGACCTCTGCAGAGCAAAGTAAGGGGAGGGTGATGGCTACTCAAGTCTTGCCCACAACACTAAATACTCTTGCACATGTAAAAACTTTACAATATATATATCAGCAATCTTCACTCATCCATGTTCAGTTAAACAAATAGTTTATTGGTTTAAATATTGGTATAACATTCACCATCATAGTCATGTTGAAATCAAACTTACTTATAAATGTGTAGCACATTCTACACTGTATTTAGTTTAAAGTACTGTAGTAAAATTGTTTCACAATTCTTCAGGTGATGGGTGTGTGCTGTGAAAATGTAATTGGCTATGTTCCTGTACCAGTGGGTGTTGTTGGTCCTCTGCTTATGAACGGGAAAAAGTATATGGTTCCCATGGCAACTACTGAAGGGTGTTTAGTTGCTTCCACGAATCGTGGTTGTCGTGCCTTGGTTAATGGAGTTAGGTGCATAGTAATTCGAGATGGTATGACCAGAGCACCTAGTGTTCGGCTTCCTACTGCTGCACAAGCTACGTGAGTATTTGGTAAATCTGATAATAGGCTACCAAATTATACATTTGTTGAGATTTAACAAGAAATTTTTGAAATAAAATGCTGCAAGAAGGATTATGTAGGACCTGTATAAAAGTAAAAGAATAAAACTTGCTGTGAGGGTATTTGAATAATCAGGTAAAAAGTTTTTTGTCCATCATTGAAGCGGATGTAAGTATAATTACATACTAATTTGAGGTTGTGTTTTTTAAACATATAAAATGGATTATAATTCAATCTCCTCATTCCGATGCTCAATCATTTTTATTATTGTATATTTAATAACAGTGAGGTGTTCATATGGGCCAGAAAGAAAGAGAACTTTGCCATCATCAAAGAAGCCTTTGATTCGACCAGTCGCTTTGCTCGTCTACAGGAGTTGCTTGTGGCCATTGCTGGACGATTACTTTACATGCGCTTTGTTGCCCAGACTGGGGATGCTATGGGGATGAACATGGTATCCAAGGTATGAGGTTTATATTATTAGATAATGGAGGTATAAAGTTCATACAGGCAAATAAAGCTTGTTGATAAATATGTTGAACATGCTCTGAGTAGTATAGATACTTACTCTAGCTTAGTAAGGTTATACTGGCAGTCATTAATCTTAACCACTTAATTGCACAGAGCACTTTAAGGCTGAGGGCTGTGCGATTTTTTTTTAATTAGGCCATATTTTAATGTTTTTTAATGGTTTTCATAGCTCTTTGTGATTTGAAATTAAAATGGTTGAGTTTGGAAACATTTTGACATTAACATTAGCTGAACATTTATAAAAACATTAAAAATATGTCCTTAACAACTGCACCATGAAATATTTGCCAAAAACAGGTGCGCAGTGCAGGGGTTAATAACTTTACCCCAACAATCTAAACAGTTCAAATTGGTGATGCATATTTCCTGTTGGAATTAACCACTTAAGAACCATCACATCTTGGTATGATATGGTTGGGAGAGCAGAGCTTTGTTCTTTAGCAGTCTCACTTCTAAATTCAATTCACTTCAAGATTACATTAATAAATGGTTGTATATTTATAATATTGTTTAAAAATGAAAACATGATGATGCATTTACAAAAAAATAAATAATAATAATTTTAATTATACAGTACACTGTACTTGTATATCAAAAGTAATAGCAAAACAAGAAACATGAAATTGATAAATAATGGTAATTGCATAATTGACAAGTACACAATCATAATTACTGAATACGTTGTATGTCGTAAAAAATTAATCCCCCTCCCCTCCCATTAAGACATGACCACATTATGGTACATTATTGACAAGTCACCATCAACATACAGTACAAAGTACCCCCCCCATTAAATGCTAAATTCCCTGTCTTAACCAAGGAATAAGATGGCATTTATAAAATTTTACAACTTTAATAACTTTATACAAATAATTTGAGCTTATAATTTTAACATTGACTAATCACAGACATTCTTACCATTCTAGCATGACTACCATGTTGAATGTTATTACTTATAACACATCACTAAATATTTAGTTTAGTTAACTTATTATACACCCCATACCCATCTTGTGGGCGGTAGTGGAAAGGGTTACAGAGGCACATAATGGGCTCAGGGACTGAACCCCCACAATTCATTTAGCTAAGCAAGGTACAATCTTGATGAGATAGTTACAAAATTCAATGCACATCGTCACATCGACAATGGACTTACAAGGTACACTGTTGTCCCTTTATTTGATGCCAGAAGGTATTTTTTTTTTTTTTTTTTTTATTATTTTCTACCACAGACGTGGCCACACATTTACAATGCTAACCAGCATATATATATTTTTTTCTGTCCTCCATGGACAGGGTTAGAGAAGTGTTAAACATACAGTTCAAGGGTTTATTGAACAATCAACCACAGAAGGTGATTCGGTGCTTTTAAAATGCTAAGCTAACCTACATACGTAAATACATAGATACACAGATTTACGTATGCCCTACATAAAGTATTAGATGTGTCTTTTACATAGTGTCATTAATGTACATTCACAAAGGTGAAATGTAATTCTGATCAGCTTCCATATATGCTTTATACCCATACATATACATACACACACACATATACACATACATATATACACACACACATGCATTCACATACATTTGTCTCATTGTATGATTGATATATTACATGGTCAATTTTGGATACAAGTCCAATACAGTATATCTTCAAGTGTTCCAGTACTCATATAGTAACTACAGAGTTCAGCATACCTTAACCCAGGAGGGCGAAAGTCAGTCAGTATGGGACATTCTACAATATAATGTTCAAGAGAGTGCATGTTTTCTCTTTCACAAAAGAAGGTACTGTATATGTTGACAGTGTGACAAATGAGGCATATTTGTAATTAATGAATCTTAATTAAGAGGCCTGACAACTGAGTGGACAGCACTTCGTATTTGTAGTCCTGAGGTTCCGGGTTCGATTCCTGGTGGAGGGGATCGAACAAAATGGGCAGAGTTTCTTTCACTCTGATGCCCTTGTTACCTATCAATAAATAGGTACCTGGGAGTTAGACAGCTGCTACAGGCTGCTTTCTGAGGGTGTGTAACAAAAAGGAGGCCCGGTCGAGGACCGGGCCGCGGGGATGCTAAGCCCCGAAATCATTTCAAGATAACCTCAAGATAAGAATCTTTAAAGTAAACACTTGTTTTCTATTATGTGGATTATTTATGCAGTTGTATTTTTTTTTTTTTTAAAGGGTACAGAGGCAGGACTTAAGGCCCTGAAGAAACACTTCCCGGACCTCGAGGTTTTGAGTGTTAGTGGCAACTATTGTGTGGATAAAAAACCATCGGCCATTAATTGGTAAGTTGAATGTGGGGTCATCATATAAAATTAATTACATTGTATTTAAAACACGTATACACAGGTGTGTTGAATGCAATAGTTTGTTTTATATAATAGATGTGGCAAAATATATCTATTAAAGTGTTTGTAAAAAAATATAGGTAATTTTTTATTAGATTTAATAATGACTTAGTAGATGTAATGATAAAATAATCAACAATAACAAACTTTTACATTAGGTTAATAAATTAAACTTGCTCCAGGATTCAAGGTCGGGGCAAATCTGTTGTGTGTGAAGGTATCGTACCTGCAAAAGTAGTCTCGTCAATATTGAAAACTACAGTGGCGGCTCTTGTCGAAGCCAATATTACTAAGAATTTGGTTGGATCTTCATTAGCTGGTTCAATAGGAGGCAACAATGCCCATGCAGCCAACATTGTAGCAGCAGTATACATTGCATGTGGTCAGGTAAGTCTGGTTTACACAGGACTTGTGTTTCTTGCAGAATTTATTGAACGTAGCTCAGTTTGTGAGGCTTAGAGATAGCTATTATGACAAGATTGCCCCTTGTGCTTACTGCTTCTTAAGTTTTATTCTTTGATCATTTGGATCTGTGTGATTCACCTTTATTCATTTATCATTCCATGCATCAAAGTACAATCATATTAAAGATAGTAATTTATTTTGACCAATATTGATTATAGGAAATTTTTGATGTAATGAAAGATAACATATTCATTATACAATTCTCAGGACAGTAATTTTTTGCCTTACCCATTGAACATATGCCAAGTACATATCCAGACATGTGAAACATGGACAGGTTGAACAAATAAAATCAAGGAGGGAAATTGTTTTGGAAGGAAATATATTTTGATGCTTGAGATTTTTTCAGGATCCTGCACAAGTAGTTGGGAGCAGTAACTGTATGACTCTGATGGAAGCGTGGGGTGAGAAAGGAGAGGACCTACACATAACGGTCACAATGCCTTCTCTAGAAGTGGGCACTGTTGGAGGGGGCACTGGTCTGGCACCACAATCTGCCTGCCTCACCATGCTTGGGGTCAAAGGTCAGTACTCAACCAAATTATCAAAAGCTTATATCCATTTTTCCTTTCAATAATGTCATGCAGGTGGATCTCAATTTGTGCTGGGGTTATGTTCCTGTAAAAAAAAGTGTAAATTAAACTTGAAGGTGTAGTACATGGGAAAAAAATAGGTCTAAGAGATCAACTAAAGTCCATTTTTTCCAATCTTTAGAAGATCTATTTGAATTTTATTTAGTGTATGACTCAGGATGAAGGGTAAGGTGACCCTATGTGACCCGAGCTCACCTGGTGGTGGTATCCAAGGCCAACTATCAGTTGACATTTAAAATGGTTTTTGTTGTCTCACAACACTGGATTGTTCAGGTGAAGCTTTAACCTTTTGTGGTCCCTTTTGTGTAGGTTGTTTTTCATATGTTTATTTTACATTTAAATATAAGTACTGGACAGTTTTAAATCATTTGTGCTTATGCAGTATATATAATCATGTAATTTTGTCTTAAAAGAAGTTTAGCTTTATACAATATAATAATCTTGAATATTTTATGGGTTGTATTTTATATAAATATAGCGAGAAAAGCTTGAGTTTTTCATTCTCTTTTTACATTCGTTTTTCAGGGGCACACCAAGAGAGCCCAGGTGAGAACGCATGTCAATTTGCCAAGATTGTGGCTGGGACAGTATTGGCTGGAGAGCTGTCTCTGATGTCTGCATTGGCTGCAGGACACCTGGTCAAAAGTCACATGGCTCACAACAGAGTAAAAAATGGAAATAGTTCTCCATCATCTACTACCAGTGGTGGTGCTGAAACTACCACTGCCTCTACCATGGCAACTGATACTAATTCTTCCTCCAAGTCTAGTAATAATGCATTTGACAAAACAGCAGCTGTTGATATAGGGCCGGTTACAAGTTGTATGAAAGGGGGCAGTGGAGCAGGTGACAAGGACATTGGCCAGAAAATTATTTTACCATCGCAGGATCCAGTGATTGGTGGTAAACAAGGAGACAATGGTATAAGCAAAAAGGATGTCATTTCAAATATTGTTATGCCACTTTGTAAGGATCCAGCGAATATTTCGGTTCCACATTTGAGTGACGGGTAAAGAAAGAAGTCGTTGCTAAGGATAATCTCTTAATAGTTAAATAGCATTACATTGATGGTGCTGGCAGGGCTTCCTGCACTCATTCTAATATAAAACATTATAATTTAAAAGAGTGCCATTCTTTTTTATTATTTTGTGTCAACTATGTGGTTAGGCGAACCTTTCCATGGTTATTCAGGTTTGCATTTTATTTAGACTGTACTGAAAGGACTGTAGCAGCACGCAGTGCCCTGTGAATGTTACTGTATTGTCAGGAATGCTGGATTGTTCCTCAATTTATTTTAACCATATATTTATTGATTTATTTTTGTAATTAAAAGGTTGTGACATAAATATAAGGTGTTATGCATTTATACTATGTAATAGTGAAATTTATTACAGACTTTAAATTTATAAAAACTTTTTCATCATGTGAATTTTGATAAACATTAACTTAAGAGTACTAAAATCTTTTTTCAAAAGTTTCTTCTTCTAATTGGAATAAGTTTCCCAGCAATGTGATTGGTGGTGACAATACTGTGAAGGCGACTACAGGTGTCCTAAGGTAATACAATATTATGTTTATTGCTATTACAATTGTACAAGTAACCAATTTTGTCAGTTTGTCACTTCTGGGTATGCAATACAACTAAGGGGAAGGCATCTTAAGCTGTATTATGCATGCATTGCATTAGATTTTTACTTGTGCAATTGTGATTGAAGTTCATACTCTCATTTTGCTTGCAGTGTATCTTAAACCGAAAGGTAAATGAAACATTTTCACACAGCCCTACTATACCTCACTTGCCATGTGCAATGTAGCCTGTATTACACACACTGTATATATATACATACATACTATTTTATGTTTATACTGTACATACAAATACCAATACATAACTCTTGTATTATACTTTGCACTATCTTCAGAATGCATTTTACTACTTCACAATTTTATTTTGTCATACCAAATGTTTCTTTGGGCAGTTTTGGCTGCATGCTTATATCAGGGTTGTGCTTTTTGTAAAACCCTCCAATGAGACATTTAGAATTGTTCTAAATATGTCATAATGCATAATGACACTGAATAACATGTAATATTACTGTACTCGAATTATGTTCCAAAGTTTGTTTATTTTATATGTAGGATGATCATGCAGGGAAAATATCAAAATATTCAACAGTATACTAGTAAGTATAGCATTTCAAGATATTTTAGTATTTGACCTTTTCACTGAGCCAATGATAGAACTACCGACTTCAAATAAGTTCTTATAATATCAACATATTTGTCAAATTTTAGCGTAGTATTTAAAGTTTGACGTGGGGAAAATTGGTGGCTATAAAATCCTCTAATAGGGCAGCATTACAGAAACCTTAGATAAAATATTAGGTATGTTGAAGTTTTTCAAGTGGACGTTGAAAAGTGGCGACGAACACACATTAAAATCTGTCTTACGCATGTAATGAGTGAGATGAGAAATGAGTGAAATGAATGAGTGAGATGAGATGATTTGAAGTACAGTAGGCTCACATATTGTGAGAGATGCTCTGGGAAAACCTTGTCCGGTAAAATAATGCTCTGTAAAGTTAATATTTGCCGAGAAAAATAGATCTATATTACATATCTCCCAAACATTTTATCCCTCTTTAGGTAGGCATGTCATTAAATAAAAATTAGTAATTTAAAGAATGTACACTTATCAGTAATGTAGATGAATCAATACCTTTATTCTATATGGACATTTCAGCGTGCAACAGTCACAGAATGTTTGGAAGAGGCCATGAATAGCGCATTGCACTCGTCCAAAAAAATTGTAAACCCTATGAAAAAAAGTGTGTACTGTATGTGCTTTGCCATGTTTTGGCAATTTAGTGGCTTTCTGGGAATTTTTAATTGTTATTCCTGTGTTAGGCAAAATTATTCTCATGGTTGGGGAGGGTGGTGGTGTCAGTGATGAGTTCTTTCAGACTATCTCCTAGAATGGTTAATCTTCTTTTAGTAAACACATCTTCATGGACACTTAATTTACAGCAATTATAATGCATAAAGTTCAGTTACTGTAGATGTTGAGTCACAATAACTTGGCTGAAGATATGATATCCAAACCATGCATCAGAACTGAAGAGGAGACAACATTTCGGTCAATCTTGGACCTTTATCACGTTGCATAATTGTGATGATGTACATTATTCAGGATGAACTGAAACATCGTTTCTGTGTTTTCTGATCTGTGGTTTGGATATAAGTTTAGTTACTCAAGCTTTTTTATTTAGATGTCATAATTTGTTCGAATGTTGGTTAATGTTGTACGTTTACAGTGCTATGTACTAGGGCATTTCCATTCATTACCATTGATAATTGCTTTATGTACAGAACTTTTTGGCTATTTTGAATTTCTACATTGTAGTAGAAGGAAAAAAATTAATTCAGTGAACATTCTGGTATGTATTTGAACAAATAATTCCAGTCATCAAACAGTTTGAGAGTAGTAGTCATGCGAGTCGTTTAATGCCGCACTATGATGGGGGATGATGCTCTGTAAAAATTTTCCCTTGCATCTCTCTCTCCTTTCATGTGTTAAGGATTTTTGAGAAATAATTTTGCACCATAGTCTGGTTATCTAGTAATGCGTTGACACAGTATTGTAATATTAGACAAGATCTATAATTATAATCTTCAAAGATTAAAGCTTACCTTGTCAATTGCACATAAATAAGAAAATAGAGGCGAGAGAGAGAGAGAAATGCATACATAATTTTTTATGTATTGTATTGGTTATTAATGCCACACTGTTCTCTGCAACCCTTTTTAATACGGGATTAAAAAAAAATTATCTGCACTGACAAATGGCACCAACCCAGTTGTTTGCAGTACTGTAGTACTTCCATAGGCAACTGAAGCCAACTAGTCTTATTATCTCACTTTCCTGTTTTCTAACGCTTTGGGTGAGAGCGCCGCACCACCCCAAGGTGTGCTTGCCATTCCATGGGAATGCGCGATAATGCTGAAAAGTGTATACAGTACTTTTCAACTTTGTCATCTCAATTCTTGTCCTAGGTTTTTAAATTTGGTATGAATGTGTTCACAATAGAATTCTCTACAGGACTAAAGGCATATAAAGTCCAAAAGTCAACAAACAAACAAAGTGAGTGAGAGCATGTTACCTGGGAGCGTGCAAGAGCAATAAAATGTGTACTCTCTCTTCACATTGGTCAACCTCAATTCTCATCCTAGGTCTTTCATTTTTGGTATCATTGTGTTCGCAATAGAATTCCCCACAGGAGTATATGCATATAAAGTCCAAAAGCCAGGCGTACCACCCACAGCAAACAGAGAAAGTGACAGGGTGTTACCCCAGTGAGTGTTCAAGAGCAATAAGATGTGTATACTCTTTTTCAACTTTGTTACCTCAATTCTCGTCCTAGGTCTTTCATTTTGGTATAAATGTGTTGGCATTAAAATTCCCTATGCGAATTTATGCATATAATGTCCAAAACCGCGGCGCGCCCTATCAAGTTGGCCAAGCCGAAAGCAGGCCAACTTTTTTTTTTTGACACTATACTGCGTCAATAACGAGTGAAAGCACTAATATTTCCCCTGTGACATGTACATATGATGCATTTACTAACATATCTGGCTTAGCACCATAAATATAAATGCAGTCAGTGTTGCTACTTTTAAAAATGCCAAATCTTGGTAACCAGAAATGCTTTCCTGGTGATTTTTTTTCTAACTGTACATAACTCAATGTAATTATTTCATATTAGCATACATAAATTGATGAAACTTAAAAGGCATGTTGCAATGGGGTCTGCAATTGGAGAAAAATGCAGTCAGTGAGAGCACACCCGACTTGATGATAATACCTTAACTATTCAAGATGGTGCAAGCATTATTTATTTATTTTTAGGTCAAGAACAATTATATAGCAAGAAAGAGGAAAAAAATAACATCCTGTATAGAAGGTAGTCATTTATTATAATCCAGTAGGTTCACCTCTGAACTTGGACCTCTTTCAATATCTGCAGATTTACGTTAAGAAAAAGGTGCTGGAACTATTGCGTGTGTTGGGTTGGTATGTGACAGGAGGGCATACAAGTCTTTGGGTTTATGTTTAAGCTTTTGAGGTGCAGGACACTTGGGAGTATGAAACTCTGGAGAAATTTAATTTTGATGGCAAGAAAATGCCAAATAACCCTGTTTGTAGTTCAGATGGTAAAACTAGTATTATGCTGTGGCAAAATAGAGGGTTGGGTAATACATTAGTACACTTTTTTGGCTAAAGTAGCACCTAGCTGGGCATGTTAATGAATGCCTCGTATATCGCACGTTAGTTCTGTAAAAAAAAAAAAAAAAAAAAATGAATTTGTACAGGTATCAGAGTTAGTGCATCATTAACCCTTAAAATGCAGTTATCGTCTTACATTTATTTAAACTACAGTATTATTGTTTGGGTTTTACATGAATGATGCTAACATGGATATACAGTAGTGGAGTTTATTTTGACACATGGAAAAATCCAGGTATTGTTTCAAGATTGCTTATTGTGGAAATATCGTCGCTAATGTTATGTGAACTTTGTAATTGACATGGTATAAAATTTCCTTATAATTATGTACGCATACCGATTCTGTTCCTATGGCTTTCGCAACTCTATATGGTTGTAACAAAGTATACCGGGTCAACCAACCATCATAAAGGAACTACAGAAGCCCTATTGGCTCATATGAAGCTGCTAATGTTTATATCATTCATATACAGTAGTAAATAGCTGCTTTGAATGGCCCAATAGGACTTCTGCAATTTCCTTAGTTTGTACTGATATGTACATACATTCATTGATACATATGATAATCTAGACTTCCAAGGTCAACACTGAGTGTGGCTTAGGCAGTGTTTTGCTGACAAAGCTCTGGCATAGAGATATGGGGGTTGGGCTACCATACATCACCACTCAATCAATTCAGTGCATGTAACTGCCTACAATGTAGGTATTTAGTTTATTTCCACTTTTCCATTCATTTTGCATCCAAATTAATCATTTTATGAGAAAATATTTTTTGGATTTTCTTTGTGCATAGGTGGACATGCATCTGGGTGTGGATATCTAAACTGATAGCTGCCATGTTAGGGAGTTAAACTACGAAGTTTTTTCCTACAAGGCTTATTGGCAACATCTACACAGTGATCAGTCACATTTTATGGTCAAGTGCATAAATATTGTACACATTTGTATTGATATACATTATTGTATAAAGCTTTCACAGAAATTGTGGTAGCCATGTAAATCAAGTTCATACTCTATTACCTTCATTTACTATTCCTAAATTTATCCAACATTTATCTTAAAATCTGAAGAACAAAGGTATCTTTTTCTTTGCTAAATGTAGTTTTCATTAAAGACTTCAAATTTCTTATTATCAGATACCAGGAGAGTTGTTTATAAACATGTAAATGAAGTCTTGATGTATTCCTTCACTTTACTACTTTTTTGCGTGTATGCACTCACTAGTAAATGGGGGGGGGGGCCCTCTCTCTCCCATTCTTGAATTTTTTGGGATAATTTATATGTACAGCAAACAAATACTGTAGACTGTCTTACACATAAAACTTAGACCTTTTTGTTGTTTAGTGATGAACACGGTGAAATTGTCAAAATTATGCCTTTCTTGTGTTAAGGTGGTGCAGTTGGTAACTGTCAAAACACTGCTAATGACACACATGTAGTCTTCCAATAGACTTAGCTGCATTAAGACTTTTCTTAAACAATACTTCCTCCATATTACATATTTAACTTGCAAAGGCATTATGTTAAGTTTTATAAGTTGCTCTTATAAAGAAAATTATTATTTTAAAGTTTTGCTATTTATTCTGTTGAAGTATTAGTTTAGGTGATGAATATAACTGGTAAATATCAAAGGATTAAATTCAGAACAGAATGCAGTTCAAAATGTTTTAACGTATGAGAAAAATAAGTAGCTGATCCATGACTACATTAAATGTAATACTGTATTATATATATATTATTCATTTTCTAATGGATATTTTCCATTCTACATAAATACCTTAATCTTAATTTAAACATCAAATTACTTAATCTTTCCATTTTAGTCAAACTTCCATCAGCAATGTGACATCTTCAGGACTACACACTGCACTTGGACACAGGTATACTAAACTTACATGCAGAAGCAAACCTTTATAGTGTGGGTCCACCTCAACCTACGATTTACTTAACTTTCTTAATCGTACAGAGCTCCAAAGAATAAGGCGAAATAATTGCTGCCTAACTCCATCAATTAGTCGTCTCCTGCATCTGTTATCTTCCCTCTGGATCATTGGAGGGCCATAAAATAACCGTATGCTCGAAGTCGAATTCACTTGAATGTTGATTACTGATGTCAGCTCCTAAATCAACATGGCCTCAAGTATATGGAGCCTCCTACGATCATAGGTGCATGTGATTATTGTGGTGTCCTTCACTGTCCTGGCAATTTATGATGGTGTTGTGGTGTTCAGAGTGATATTGCTTAATGCCTCCAGGAAGTATTAAGCAACTTCATTCTCAACACATTATCATCTTGAATTGCCAGGACATAAATGAAGGACACCACAATAATCATACACACCAACGATCATTGGAGGCTCCATATACTTTAAGTTCATTCAGGAGCCGACACCAGTAATTAATATTCAAGCGAATTCGACTTTTGTGCATATAGTTCCTTGATAACCCTCCAATGAATCAGAGGGAAGATAGCAAACTCAAGAGACACCCAATTGATGGAGTTAGGCAGTAATCACCTTGGCCCCCATTCCTCGGGGCTCTCTACGATTAAGGAAGACAAAGAAATGCAGAGTAAGATGAACCCACACCCATAAAGGTCTGCTTCTGCATGTAAGTTTGGTATATCTGTGTTTAGTGCATTGTTTATTCCTAAAGATGTCACGTTGCTGATGAAGTTTTGAATAAAACGGAAAGATAATGATTTAGTGCTTCTTCAACCCCTGGAATCTAGATGGTAGAAGGTATTTACATAGTGGAAAATATCCATGAGCAAATTAACAATAGTAAAAAATGATGTTTAATTTCATGTGTGTATATAATACACACACACATGGATCAGCGCTTGGGGTTCAAAGTGCTAATGACCTGGGTTCGATTCCTGGCGGAGGCGGAAAAAAATGGACAGTTTCTTTCACCCTGATGTTCACCTAGCAGTAAATAGGTACTTGCAAATTAGACAGCTGCTACAGGCAGCTTCCTGGAGATGTGTGCACGTGTGTTTGAGAGAAATATATGTATTGGATAAAAATAAGAAAAAAATTAATTGTTAGGAAGGTGGGGGTCCAAGAATTTAAGTACTGTACAAGACTTTGAATCTGCAAACAAAAATAGTAAATACACACACACACATATGAAATTGGTGCATTTTCATTAAAAGACCATTAGAGGTATTTTAATTGCATCTTAAAATTTCTATAAAAATTAGTAGTACTGTATTTGAGGTAAAAAAAATAGTAAATGTGAATGGTATTATAGCATATTAACAATGATTAAAATATGTCAGTATCAATCTGTTCAGTTAATTAAAAATTTTGTGAGCATTTTGTCAATTCGTTGACTGGAATATAGGCGAGGTGAAATTCTTGCTAGGTGAACAAAATGTAAAACTTGAAGGATGCCTTAGCATTATATTTTATCAAAATAACTTTACTGAAGCAATGAGTCAAAGTGCAGTGTATTGAGAGGGATAGATAAAAATTGTATTTTATATAATATATATATATAATATAGAGGGGGTACCACCTCTGGTGCAAGTGTAGGGACCCATAGCCTCGGAGAAAAAAAATAAAAAGTACTCAGAGAAGACCTTGTGGATCCTCACTGAAAACTTTGATTATAGATAGACAGATATAGATAAATTATGATATTGGGCAATAGTGAAATAGCACAAATATTATAATGGATCAAATATCTCAATGGAAGAACATCTAAAGAAAAAAAAAGTTCATGACAATAATACACCGAATAGTGCTTACTTAATCATATTCTGGATAATGAAAAAAGTAAAGATCTTTCACCTCGGTAATAATAGCCTATTGATGGCGAATAGTTTAAAGATAACCTGATAATCAAACAAGATCTTATGTTTGCTTTCTTTTACAGTTTCATTCTGTAGAATGTTTTATCTTGCCTCTGAGAGGTAATACTGGTGTGCTGTAATTGGTTTTATATTTTTACTTTGCAGTAAAATTCTTTCTTCGAAACATTGTTCATTATCCTACTAGTGTTGAATTATAGTTCTGGAGTACGAGAGTCCTTGTATCCACTGTACGTGAAGTAACTCCCAAGGCTGATGATGCCACACACTGGGACTTAAGGTAAAGTTGCCTGTCTTGCCACCCATAAATGTGTTCAAATTAGATACAAATAAGAGCTTGGGAAAAAACATACGATAATGAAAAAAAAGAGCAATTTATAAATTAAACCAAAATCTAATCTGGAAATAACCAACCACAGGTCAGAGAATTACTTAAATTCTGTACTCATTCTTTGCTCAACCAGCAGACAACAGTTAACTAGGACCAAAAATATTCTAAATCTGCTTTTTACTAACAATGAAGAAATAATCAGTGATATTACAATCTCAGATACCACATTCATATCAAAAGCTCATTGAAGTGCAAACCAACCAATACTCAAAATGTTATTCAATAAATTCTATTTTTTATTAAAATTGATTGGGAAAAATAAACATGGAACTTTCAGTGGGGAAACTGTTCCAAGTACAGTAATTATAATCCCACATAAGGAATAAAAAACTGTTAAAGCATATAAAGTCTGTCAGAGACATGTTCCTTTGCAGAAAGTCAGAAAGAGGACCAGTGTTGAAAGAATGCAGATGGCACTACAGAAGGAAAAAATTAATGCTTAAGCAGACACAGCTCCCTCTACAAAGAATGAATAAATTAAACAGAGATGGAAGAAATAGAACCGAGACTGAAGCAATCATGTCAGATTGAAGAAATGCAATTAGAACAATGCCACACAAGAGATAAAAAAGAATCCAAAGTATTTCTTCACATACGTAAAATCAAAATAAGAAAACCTCAGTACTGGACCTATGCTTACTATGAAAATTCACACACACACAAGACTACAAAGAAGAAATATAACAGATTTTTAGTTAAATCCTAAAAATGCAGAGCATGTTCAGCACCTCAATAAACAGAAAGAAAGTGGAAGATCCAGACAGCAACATGATATCCAAACCCCTGAAAATATAACTGATATCAACAAATTCTGCAGATTTTTTTTTTAGAGATATTGACATGCCCACACACTGGGCCCACACACTGGGCCCAGGGTGCAGACTCTTGGAATTCGATACAGGAGTATTTATATAAAAAACTGAGTACTTGTGCTACTGGCACTAAAGTGTAGTGTGGACTAATATCTTTGAAACCAGGGAGATACCAAAATCACTTAATAGATATAGCTCCCCTACACATGGGAAAGAGCAAAGCATTGACTACGAATTATAGACCAATTGCACTTACGTCCCACATAATAATAGTTGATCAATGACCTTAACCCAGGTCAACATGGATTTACAGTGGGAAGATTATGCCTTTTGCAGATGCTTGACCACTATGACAAAATCACTGATGCATGAGAAGAAAAACAGAATGCAGATGTGGTATACGTGAACTTTGCAAAGGCATATGATAAATGTGACCATGGAGTCATGGCCCACAAAATGAGATCAGTAGAAATAACAGATAATGTAGGGCGATGAATATTAAATCTTGTCAAACTGAATGCAAAGAATATTAGCCAACCAAATAAAACAAGAGTCCAAGCACAGTTAAAAGCTCTGTACTTCAGAGCACAGCCCTTGCACCACTGCTTCTCCTTATTCTCATATCCAATACAGACAAAAATACAAGTCACAGCTTAATGCCATCTTTTACAGATGACAAAAACCAGCATGAAAATTACTTGTGTATAAGACATTGAAAAACTACAAGCTGATACAAATATAAATTTTTCGATTGGGCAGCAGAAAATAACAAGATGTTTAACAGTGAATTCCAGGTGTTTAACAGTATGGTAAAAATTAAGACAAACAAAATACAGGGTACAAAACCCAATCAAATCTGCTCATAATAGGAAAGCAACATATAAAGGCTCTGGAATAATGACGTCTGATATATTAACGTTTAGAGAGTATAACCAAGCAAATAAAGAATCGGCTAGAAAAATGATAGGATGGATTACAAGAACCTACAAATCCTGGGATCTCATCACATTGCTCATACTAATCAAATCACTGATGCTGTCCCACCTTGAGTACTGCTCGATACTTACTTTCCCCTTCAGAGCAAGAGAGTGCTGAAATATGGGAATACAATATATGGCATGCACAGACACGATAAAGCACCCTAAATTATAAGGCTCGTCTCAAAGCTATCAAAATGTGCTCTCTAGAAAGGAGACAAGAGACGTATAAAATAATATACAGTATACTGTACACAGAAGGTACTGGAGGGCCAGGTCTCAAATTTGCACAGTAAAATAAACATACTGGAGTGAACAATATGGAAGGAAATGCAGAACAGAGCCAGTGAAGAGTAGAGGTGAAATAAATGCCAACCCATGGTGGGTAGGCCACCGAACTTTCAAGCCTCCTCTCTTCACACCCAAATCCTCTTCCAAGAATTTTATCGCCTCATCCCTCTTCCTCCTACATCTTTTCCAAGCCCTTTGGACATCAAATCGAAAGCAGAGGTACCATACACACAATCAGGGAACACTGTATGAACATCAGAAGTCCATGGTGGTTCAATATCCTGCCAGCAAGTGTAAGAAATATTGCCAGAACAAAATTGGAAGTCTTCAAGAAAAACTGGACAGTTTTCTACAAGAAGTGCTGGACCAGCCGGGCTGTAGTGGATATGCGAGTCTGCGGGCCGCTCCAAGCAACAGCCTGTTGGACCAAGGTCCCACAAGTCAAGCCTGGCCCTGGGCCAGGCTTGGGGAGTAGAACAACTCTCAGAATCTCACATTCAGGTACAATCCAAGTTAGCGAGATATTATTAAAACATGCAAATTTACTAAACTTTCAGCACTTTAGAAGCATTCAAGTAGGACTTTACACTGCCCACCTGTAAAGAAGGCTCACTATTATAAGTAATGAATGAGAAAAAATACAATGATAAAACATTGCTTTCTTGCAATTTGGTTTATAATAGCCGATGCTGCAATATGAAAATAAGAATATGGCCAATTTTATATCAATTACCGCTCAACCCAATTACCTGTAGTTACGTCCTACACAGGACATGAAAATGTGGTTTTTAAGCAACTTATACTGTAAAGGTGGAAATATATGCAATATATTAAAGTTTTATTAGATAATTATACATATATCAGAACTATTTATAAGATTTATCAATTTACATTTTACTCACAACCTATCCATGGGTCCATTCTATTTTTCCTCATGACAAACTGAATCTTCCTGTTCATGTCTTCATTATAAATACCCTTGGCCTTTTCAAAGTTAATGCGGCGTCGAGTCTACGGAGATAAAAGCATAATTAACATAACCAAGAAATACAATTCTTAACAGGATGACATACAAACATTTGTGAAAATATATTTATACAGTATATACATATACAGTAGAACCTTGATTTTTGAATGTACCCTTTTTCAAATTTTTTGGTTCTTGAGCCCAAGAATGAATTTGACTTGGTATTCGTGGGTTGCCTCGGTGCCCGAGTTTGTTGATATACATATGGGCTGACCGAGCACGTGGCGCACTTCAGTTTAAGAGTATCTACCACCTAGTGACGACCGCTTGATTTTTTTGTGAAGAATTTCATTGTTTTTGTGCTTTTTTGGTTTCTGAACATAGAAGTTCTTATTATATACATATATATACTGTATATATATACTTAATATTGTTTATTAAAATGAGTGCATTGCTGGTATTGCTGAACTTATAGTATAAGCTTTCTATGCTTCTATTTTCTTAGTGTCAGTATTAAGAAAAGCAATCAAGTTACTAAAAATTCATGGCCAAGAAACTAGTATTATTGAAGGATTTACTTTCTACGACATTTCGTTCCACTCTAGAACATCTTCAGATAAAGAATGAGTACATTAGGTGCAGTTTTGGGTTAAACACACATGTGGATGGGGTGAAGTTGTGTGGGGTGAGGTGAAGGGTCGAAGGATTATGGGGACAATCAAACATACAGTAAGAAATAAGAGAATAAGGTAGGAATAAGGGGAAAGGGACAATTAAACATTGGGTAAGGCATTGCTTGAAATTGTGGTACTCTCGGTGGGAGGGGAGAACTTGGCAGAGAGGTCGCCATTTCCTGATATTCACATCTTTACCGAGCCAAACCATGAAGACCATGTAAAACTGTGTGTTGTGGGATATTTAAAAGGTACTAAACATCACTCAAGATACCATTATAGGAACAAGGTGACAAAAGGTAAGCGACATCAAGGGTATCTGATTCACCAAGGCTTCTCTTTAGGGACAAGTGACCCGGAATGATATTCTGTAAATTGGGACACTCCACAAGGAGGTGCATGACTAAGTGGGACAATGCCGAGCAAAAGGAGCTGAATGTTGTCCCATCAAATGTTCACAAGAGAACATAAATAAGCCAAATAAATAAACAACCACCTAAATAAGTAGGTGTGACCAACATGCAACCTAGCCAAAGCCATTTCCATTGTCTATTATGTAGCTATACCACAAAATATAGTATAAATTATGTTCCTTGCTAAATTTTTCTATTACACGTGTACATGTAACTTTTATGATTTTGAGTAAATAGCATTATAATAATTTAGAATAAATTAACATTCATTCATTATCATTACCCCATTCCCACCTTAATGTGGAGATCATCAGTGATAGATCAATGACACTGTAATTTACACGTTTATATAAAAGTCAAGCTGAATAATGATAATTTTTAATTATATTGAAAATTTAAATGCAAGCTTTTATAGCAAGATAACCAACTAAAGCAGCAATTTTTATAGAACACTGAACAATGACAACTGTAATACAGCATTCAACTTACCTGAAATGGTTTTTCATAATACCTTGTCAGCCTATAACGTTCAAAAAGACCTTCTTTGCCCATGATCCTGAAAAGCAAAATTATGCAGTATTTAGTGACTGCTTTGGTGACAGTTATATGCTGTACTGTAACAGAAGGGAAGGTTTGGCCTATATTAATATTAATGAATATCTGAGGGGGGGCTGAACAATCTGCGGTAAGGGTCATATTTCAAGAACAAAGGATCCATGTGGGACCATCTGGGAGTTTGATCGTTTCTCTCTCAAAAATGAAAAGCAGAATCTGAGATTATGGATTAGTGTGTTCTCTGTGGTGGAGAACAGAGATGAATAATGATTGTAATAGGATGAATACCATCATCATATTATAGTCATTACCTCTTATTTTGATGTAAGTACATATTTCGGCGACGGTGTACTTGAACCCAAATAAAGTCTTTGAGCAAACTTATTGTAATCCTGCCTGGTACCATGAGTGTGTTGGCAAGTGCTAGGAGACATCAGTGTTAGATCCTTCCTCTTTTTATTTAATTGTCTGAACTAATACATGGTCAACTTACTCTTCATGAATATTAGAGGATTATCAGAACTCCCTTCAAGTGATGAATACATTACACAAGTGTCTAAAGGACAGAGACTGGAACATGCAGTCCTACCCATTGTACCACCTGTCCCTCCTGGGGAAAACCCAGAGGTGGCCCATGGTTGTTGTCAATGAGTGTTAAAGCCAGGTTTTCAAAGGAAAACCGAGAAAGCAATTTTCCAGTAATTCTGAACATCAGCACATTCTATGAAGAGATAAGTGAGAGTTAGAAAAATTGTGCAGTCTTGATGGCAAGATGCAAGTCTCAGTCCCATTAAGTGCCCATGAGTTAATCACATTTAGATAATACGTAATCACTCTTGTTACAGTGACAGGCTGTGAGCAGCTTCATACAACAGCTTGGCTGACCAGACCACCAACCAGGAAGCCTAAGACCAGGCTGCAGGGACTTTGGTCCTCAGAATCGACAGGTAAGGCTATGGGAATAGGTCACCACTTGATACAATTGCACATATTTTGTTATTAGGAATACCTAACCATCTCTCTCTCTCCAACAGCTACCAATCCAATTATGAATGATGGTAACAATTTAAGGAATTTAAGAGATGAAATAAGCACAAATGGTTTCCATAGCAGTAGTGTTTGCAAGATCATTGGGCACTATCAGCACGGCTGGAAACCCAATAAAACTCAACTGTTAAATCCACTCAAGATGTGGTATACCCAATGTTTGATCTTGACCATTCAAGGATGAGAAGAGATTCATAGACCATGAGAGTACTGGGAGAATCAACCACATTAATGAGTGTTGGTACATAGTAAGCAACTACTGTATTTTAAAGCATATATAATTGGAGAAAAGCATTACAAATGTTTATAATATATAACCCACCAAATGACCCATTGACCCGCCTACCTGCCAAAACCATAAATACCAAGCACTCCATTATGATTCGTAAATCCATGTAAGCAGCTTGTGAAAAGTTCATCAATTTGGAGGATTTTTTCCCAGCCGATTAAAAAACAAATATTCTGACTTTACAGCTTCGCCAAGTAGGTGAACACAACTATACACAATATGCTTCACACATTATGTATAAAATAGGTCAGGTTAGGCTGTCTACATAAAAGCTGTGTTTAGTACGGTGACCTGACGAGCCAAGATGCATTACACACTTTAGTGAACCTAACCAATTAAAAAATAAAAATAAATGTACCTGTTTATTACTCTCATTCCTTCGTCTACATTATTATTCTTCAACAGCACTGTCCTGGCCACGAACTGAATATGTTTGTGTCCCATAGGCATGTCGGCGACGTTTTTCCTCCTCTCCTTTACGATACACAAAGTTTGCGTGAAGTCTTCTCCTCCCAACGACTACACCAACACTCACAGTCGCATACACGACCCTTTCCTGTGACACAGAAACGTTTGTCTGCTACAAGCCGGTCCTGGAGCAGTTTGTTGTGTTGATTTAGGGGCGACGACGATGGACAGTTTGTTGTGGTGTGGAGGAGTGAGGAGCCAGAGCCGACACTCGGACCACTGTGTTGTGACGCTCTCCCTGGTTCTGCCACCTGGCGGCCGCACCACATCTTACACTACAGAAAATGGTCCCTCACGCTAAACTATACAATATTACGCGCTGGCGTTACACACAGAAATCACAATTTTATTTTATTTTATTTATTTATATATATACAAGAAGGTACATTGGGTTTGTGAGAATACATTGGATAGTACAGTATATACATTCTTGTAAAGCCACTAGTACGCACAGCGTTTCGGGCAGACGTGATATGTCATTTGATACATCACACAATAGCGTGATGTATCAAATGAACAAATCCATAAGGGCCGTGACAAGGGTTCGAACCTAATAATAATAGTAATAATAATAATAATTATTATTATTATTATTTATAAGAAGGTACAATGGGCTGGTGAGATTATATTTGAATTTAAATTGAATTTGATATTAGAGAGATATTTTTACATTTTTGCCAAAGCCACTAACTTGCATAGCGTTTCAGACTACTATATATATATATATATATATATATATATATATATATATATATATATATATATATATATATATATATATATGTATATGAATAAACTATACTGTTTCATATTATTCTACATTGTGTTTAGGTTATTTAATGTTAAGTGTCTTACAGTAAAAGTAAGTATCTTAAGGATCTCGGTACCAAGCTATTCTAAACAACAATTAAGAGACCATTGAACGGCGAGCTTTGTATTCCAGCATCTCAGTGTAGCGATCCAGAGGGGGAATGCCCCCTGCTTCCTTGGTTCCTGCCCGGCGTCGGAGGAGTTCCAAGAAATCTACAGCCTCTTGGAAACAAACTTCCCTTTATTTCCTCTTAATATCCACATTTTGTACTCAACTATGTAACTGTGTATCCTTGTAAAATAAAGTGTACAACAACAATAATAACATAAAAGGGGTTGGTAGCAGTAAATACTCATACGTATTTTGAGTGAAACGGCAAGTTTTTATCAGTGTTCTTTATTCCCTTCTCCGAGGCTAAGGGTCTCTACTTATTCGCAATTATGCTAGCGAGTGTATGAGGGTGCTATAATCACTAAACCATAGGGATATAAATTAACCCAAAACACCTACAACTATAGTATTATATCTAAACTATAGTCAGTAAAATTAAAATCAAGGAAAGGATTACAACATATAAGGCCTTAATTCAGCCTAGCACCAAAATCAACTATGCATGAGTGATTGTTGTTGAACCTGTCGTCTCGAATAATACATTGCATTTGGCTCTAAAACACCTTACGGACAAAATATGAAGTACTATAAATCATACAGAGGCTCACAAACAACTATAAGTTTTCTGTGCATGGCTATTTTTTAGGCTAAGGCAATTTAATACATAATTTTTGTGACGTAATAACTGGAGAGGACGGGCTGGCATGTGACGTATAGGAAACCACTTGCAGTATGTGCATGGTCGTAGCCCAGGCTATATCCGAACGCATGCACCAATGTGATTATATACCCGACCACCCGGAGCCGCACGGCCGGCTGCCAGTCACAGTGACTCCCGAGAACCCGCACGGCCGGCTACCAGTCACAGTGACTCCTGAGAACCAGTACCTGCTTATTCTCTCACAAGCACCACACGTCGCCTCTGATATTATATTACAAAGTTAACCCTCGTGTCAACAACAACAACTTCGTGTCACTAAGGTTCGACGTGTTTGTTAGTCACTTTATTGTGTGTGTTACTGATAGCTTTCTAGTGCAAGATGTAAATAATACTTATTTAAATATTATCTATATAATAATCCTCTGTATCATGGGTTCGATTTCCGGGTGACAGAAATAATTGGGCACCACCTAGTGCCTCTGTTTACCTGACAGCAACACAGCGAGCACAATATCCACAAAGGGTTTGGCGCGACGTTGATACAGTGTTCAGTTTGAGTTATTATAATTATAGTTGGTTACTATTGGATATTGTGGCCGCTAAGTGGGATATGGGCACAAATTAGGCCACTGTTAAGTTAATGTGGGTTGTAACCTGGGGAATTGCAGAATTTTTAGAATTGCTTGGGTGGTTGCTCTTGCCTGCATTTACCAAGATTTTCCTAAGGATGTTACTGTACTGACCACAGCCCAATCCAGCATTCATATATGAACATTAATTATTGAGCCTGCTGTCCAGCTTTTAAAGTTTCTAATTTTAAATTATTAACATTCACGTGTATTGCTCCAACTGGTCTGCCAAATAAAGTGTCAAGCGTTCAGACACAACAATGTACGAGTAAGTGTTGTATTTAAAGGAGTATACTGTATTGTCAGAATCTCTTTAATGTGGTAATGTATTGGGAAAAGTCGCCCCATTTGACACTTCTTCCCACTACCCAGTGGACACAACATCAAAGAGCGACGACAGTTCAATGCCGAATCAACGTTGTCGATCCAAGCTGAATTAACGTTGGCAATGTTCATTCAACATCGAACCAACGCCACTCCTGGATATCGGAATAGTAATGCTTTTCTAGATGTAAAGTTAGGTTACACTCACCTGGGCTCTAGTTGACTTGAACCGCGGACCTCACGCGGTTGACTTGAACCGCGGACATGTTGGTCAAGACCTTTTCTTGACGTTGGAAAACCTTAGGAGGACGGGCTGGGTCAAGTGGTCATAGTACCAGGCTAGCAAACATGTGATACAGGGTTGGAATCTTGCAGAGGAAGGCAATGCTAGCATTTATTAAATGTTTAACTTTTATAATATAACACTTATACAGGACTTGTTTAGAAGAGCAATTACGTGATCCAAAAATATAATTAGAAATCAGGCAGCTATATAACTACTATCTCATTTAGTATGTTAATTGTTGTCTGAAAGACACTGAAAAAGTACTGGGAAAAGTAATTCACCTTATGTATTGCAGCCCATCTCATTCCAAGTATCAAAAGAATTCAGAAACCCGAGCCTCATTTCAGTCCAAACTCCACCAAGTTTTCCCGTTGTCGGGGAAAGGAAGTTCAGTACGTAAGCTGAGAGCAGTAACCTGACGCTCAATGAATCCAAATCTGTAAAATTAGTCCATTCGATTAACGTTCTCGGCTATTGTATAGGGAGTTGTACTATAAACCCTGACACAGAGGATGTGCCCGTTTCAAGAATTACCACCACCTATATATGAATGAAGGAGTTTTGAGGGCACTGGGAATGTTCGCTTAATATGCCAAATGGATCCCCCAATTATTCAGACATCATTCAACCTTTTGTAAAAAGTATGACGTTTTCACGTGGTGAAGCAACCTTAACAGCATCCGTAAGTCTTACAAAACAAAAATACTGAGGATACAACTTTAGAATCCGTAGATGAAGACCTGCCATTTTGTACTTTGAATTATATCGAGGTTCACCCTATGCCAACTACGGTACTGACCATTCCCAGGATGCAACACACAACAATTGTCTGACTCCCGAGTACCTATTTACTGTTAGGTGAACAAAGGCATCAAGTGAAAGGAAACGTGCCCAACCATTTCCGTCCTGCACGGGACCCTCCTTTGCGAATCGACAACGTAGGTCACTGTACAACAGGACTAATATGGCATAGTGAGGCTCCATGAGGTACATAATTATCAATGCTCACAACACATTACTAACACTAGATTATTGCTTTATTTGTATGTTAATTTTCCTCAATAACTCTGAATCTTGTACCCAGCAGGATAGCAAAGCACAACTTACATTGACTGATGCATTTATCTCTCTCCCAAACTATTAATAACCAACTGCCTGCATATCAACAATTTTATATAGATTAAAGATAAGCAGTGGTCATAACTACCTACTACATAACATAACTACACGTTCTGAAGCACTAATTCAGGGTACTATGCCACTATGGAGAAGAGGTCATAGTTTTAAACTTTGAACAAGATTTGTACTATAGTATAAGGCTAAATGCAGAAATTTAATGGCAACAGAAAAGGTGAATTTCACAGCCAGTTGTCATATAGTTTGAATGAAAAGATTTGGCGTTTCATCTCAAGAGCTTAAAAAGTTAATACAAATACAGAATATGATTTTTTTCACATACAGTATATATTAACCTATATTAATACCCTATAAGGCTCTATTTCACTATCACTAATGTAACTTTTACAGGAGTATTTAACTTGTAATTTCTTTAACTGTATTCTTAAATAGAAAGAGTCCTGTCTAGTCTTATGAGTTAGATTGAGTATGTGAGATACAATATATGGTGGTTATTTGAGGGTCCCGGTAATAGTCGGGTTCGTTCTCGACTCACAATCGGGAGTGGGGAGGGGAGAATCTCGACATATGCCTAACATAGTTATATACTATATGTATAAACTGGCTATCTGTCTCCCGACACTGAATTATTATTACTTTTATTATATACAGCATAGCGCTACTGTTGCAATATGGAACGTTGGACTGGTCGCGTTGCCTTGGTGACGGGAGCGAGCACAGGTATTGGGGCAGGCATCAGCAGGAGGCTTGTGGAGGCCGGCATGAAAGTTGTCGGAGCTGCACGAAATGAGGAGAGGCTTCAGGTGAGTCAATACCTTAATGTGCTGTACTTAACTTTACGTATTCAACATGGCCTTTAAATACTTAACATTTACTTCTTATTTTATATTATTCAATATACATCAGGATGAAATTATGAGGCAAGACAACAAAGATGTTTCCATATAGGAAATAAGAAAGGATATAAAGGTCGCATGTTTTTCAGAGTTGTCCAAGGTATTTAATTTTTATTTTTTTAGTTTCTCATATTTCTTTTAACTTAAAATTGCCCTATATTTGTTTTTGCACGGCTTACTTTGTTTCATATACTCTTTATAAGAAAAATCTTGAAGAATTTACTTGATACAGTAAGATATATGTATAACTAATAGTATACGGTGTCCCTACATATTAAGTCTGGGATGTTATTTGCATAATCACGTATTTAATGTCACTGCCTTGGCATGAATGTCACTGGCCTGCCATGTATGTCACTAATGATTTTCAAGACTTGTTCCTTTGTACTTATTTAACATGATTTATTTGCAAAATTAAATTATACAAAACATATTGAAAAAATGAAATTGAAAAATGTTATGATAGGCCAGCTTGTGGGATAGGTGGCCATAACAGGTGCAATATTTATATAAATAAAAATGTAAATGTTCGTTTTGCTCAAAATCGCTAATCTCCAAAAGTTTTTCAACGATTGCTTTGAAATGTTGACACAACGTTCCATCCTAATAAACGCGTGTTTTTATATATATCTACTACATAGATGCCTCACCTGTGACAGGTAAAAACATTTTTTTTAATCAGTGGCATCTGTTGGACATAAAAGCAACACATGCTGTGTGTTTTTCACGTGAGGGAAATCTCCGAAAGTTCTTCACTGATTGTTCTGAAATTTTGACACACCTTTGCATTTGAATACGCATGTGTTTTATATACCTACTATATAGATGTCAAACCTGTGACAGGTAAAACCATGTTTTTTTTTTAACTGTGTTTTTCATGAGGGAATGGTGGGGGGGATGGGGGAGGGGGAAATGGTGGGGAGGACGAGGGGACGGGGGAGGGGGAAATGGTGGGGAGGACTAGGGGACTGGAAAATGGTGGAGAAGATGAGGGGACGGGGGCAGTGGGGAATGGTTGGGAGGACGAGGGGACGAGGAAATGGTGGGGAAGATGAGGGGACGGGGAAGTAAGGAATGGTGGGGAGGATTGCTTGCATCCAGCAACGCATGGACGGGTACAGCTAGTATGTAATACAAAGATCTCTTAAATCCACATTTGACTATCTGTGTGTGCAAGGTCATTTCATTATACTCTCTACTTTTCCAGGCCCTTGAGAGAGAGCTGGCCAACAAACCCGGGTCCTTTACCCCAGTGAAATGTGATATCTCCAAAGATGATGATGTTCTTAATCTGTTTGCCACCATTAAGCAGAAATTTGGAGGTGTTGATGTGTGCATCAACAATGCTGGCATGACTCACGGCCATTCTCTTTTGGGTTCGTATTTCCAATAACAGAGTACGTTTCACATTTTATATTTACACAAATTAGCCCAAAATGGAAACAAATAAAAAAGACTGTGACAAGCGAAGTGCGTGTTCTTTCGCTTAATGTTGGTTTACTGTGGCTAGTAATAAATAATTACCTATTAAGATTAACATAAGTGAATTTTTAATGGATTAAAAAAATTAATGAAGTTTCTGATTATGTTACGCCTATATCTTATATTTCCATATACAAATAATATCGTTTCACTGTTGTCCACAGAGGGAACAACAGAGGAGTGGCGGGAGATGCTGGATATCAATGTGGTGGGCTTGTGTCTGTGTACACGTGAAGCTGTGGCATCCATGCGTGCACGCAACGTTGACGATGGCCAAATCATTCATATCATCAGGTCAAAATATTTTTTAATACTGAAGTATTTGTAACGTGACTATAGTTCTGTAGAATTATCAAATTAGGCAATGATTATTGCAGTCATATATATATAATCTTGAGGTTATCTTGAGATTATTTTGGATCTAATCGTCCCCGCGGCCCGGTCCTCGACCAGGCCTCCTTTTTGTTACCGCCCCTTCCCCCAGGAAGCAGCCTGTAGCAGCTGTCTAACTCCCAGGTACCTATTTACTGCTAGATAACGGGCTTCAGGGTGAAAGAAACTCTGCCCATTTGTTTCTGCCTCCACCGGGGATCGAATCTATAACCTCAGGATTACGAATCGAAGCGCTGTCCACTTAGCTGTCAGGTCCTATATATACACACACATTTTAAATAGATATTGGTCTTTACCAAATACAAACCTGACAATTTGCCCAAGTTGAATGACTTTAGAAGTGTAAACAAAAAGCTAAGTAATAACTTGTGAAGGAGTTAGTAAACAAATGGAGATGCAAAAGGCAAACAAGTTCCCAATACCAAATAAGATATTTTCCAGGGTCTTCAAGGAAAATATATGTATTTGTTTTATTTAGCGGCATGCTAGGCAACATTGGAAACTTGCGTTGCAGTACAGTGGTTTAAACTGTATTTGTATCATTATCACGTTAGTTCATCCAACTTAGTAAGTAGATGTTTCGGGGTACTCGCAGGGCAAATGTACATTTTGATGGCTGTTTTCAAACAGGATAAACAAGCTTAGGCAGATAGATGAATTTTTTATTTGTGATTGTAGTAGGATCCAGGGTCTAACCTCCAGGCAGGACTGTAATGGTTTGGTTTCACCTGATACATCTGTTCACCTTGCAGTAAATAGGAACCCGTAGATATTGGCAAATTGTGGACTGCTTCCTATGGAATATCAGTAGTTGATTCAGGGGTACTTCGATATGCTTATGTATAAGTTTCCTATCCCCAACGATGGGAATTATATGCTGTATAGGCACAGAGCCTCTGTTACTTGTGACAAACTTTTACGTTTGTTCAGAAAAATCTGTATACTGAAATCTTATTGTTTTTTCAAACACTGACAGTACGTCGGGTCATCGTGTGGCGCAAGTTCCAGCAGGTCATTTCTACGCTGGCACCAAGTTTGCTGTGACAGCCCTTCTTGAAGGGTTGAGGCAGGAACTCAGAGATGCAAAGTCACACATTCGAATTGCGGTAAGAAGTTACTGAAATTGTAACTGTGGTAGAGTAATGTAATGCTTTGATGGATTTGATGCTTCGGTAATGTGACTATTTGATTTGTAGTTTAGGAGCGTTTGACGAGTACAGACAATGTGTATAACTACCTACGATCACCTAATTGTTATTTTTTTTTCAGACATCACATTAGTTTGTCCCCCTACGATAAGCATCCACTATGTGTGTTATAAGACCAAAATCATGTACAGTTAGGCAGGATATTCTGGCACTAATGCCACACCGAACTTGCGAAACTTCCCCGTAGGGCCATTAAAAGGCTAGTCAATGGAGAATACAGTACACTACTCCAGCCCAGAATGACCAACAGAGATGCATTGAGCAGTATCAGGCAGTAGCAACGCACTACTTTACATCCTTTGTGTCCATTGTTTTCAGTTTTGGATTTGTTCATCTTTTTCTAGTGGTTAAGCTTGAAAGTGATACCTAGTAATTATTTCAGGTTATTTTATGTCCATGATTATTTTTCTGTTACTCTCCATTCTTTCCTGATTACCACACAGATTGCCTTTGGTCAAGTTGGATTTTGTTTTCAATGTGTGCCACTGGCCTATCAATCTACAACCCTTTGGGGTGATGTTCTGACAAACACCCAGGGTCGCCTGCTTGAACCGTTTATCCTCTCTTCTTCCCTGTCTCTTCTGAATTCTGGTGAGCCCACTCATTTGGACTCTCGGACTCGCACCCCTTTCCTGTCTTGATCTTTCTCTCTGCTCGTCGTCTCTTTACTTGGATTTCATGTGGCGAGTTCTTGATGACCTCCATGGCAGTGACCATTTCCCCATTCTTGTTACCTATTCCTCTTTTCACCCTCCCCTCTCCTTCCCTAGGTGGCAGTTTGCTAAGACAGACTGGAACCTATTTACCCTCACTGCTGCTCTCTCAGACCTCTCCCTTCTGCCTCTCCCTCGCTTTCCCCTCCTTTTTCATGACACCATCTTCGACGCTGCCCTTTGCTCTATTCCTCGCTCTTCCTCTCGGGGACCACGGAAGTGTGTTCCCTGGTGGTATGCAGACTGTGCTCGGGCTGTCCGCTGTAAGCGTGCAGCCTGGAAGAGACACCGCCGCCGGCAGACGGCCGATTCTTTTCTTTTGTTTCGGAAGGCGAGTGCGGTGACCAGTAATGCCATCCGTATGGCTTAACGTATATGTTGGATGTCTTATGTCTCCACCATTACGTCCGAAACTCCTCTGCCGCAGATCTGGAAGCTTATCCGCAAGATGTGGGTAAGTTCGTTCCCGATGTCTCGCCGGTCCTTCACCTCCTTGGTACTCTTGTGGCAGACCCGTTGCAGATCGCTACCGAACTGGGTTCCCACTTTTCTTCTGTTAGCTCTGGTTCTCATCTTCCTCAATCTTTCCTTCTTCGTAAACCTGTCCTTGAATCTCGTCCTTTAGATTTCTGCACTCATCTCCGACTTCCCTATAACAATCCCTTCTCTCTCTCTGAACTTTGATCTGCCCTGGCCCTCTGCGGTTCTACGGCGGCGGGCTCCGATGGCATTCATTATGAGATGCTTCGCCATCTCCCTTCGTGCACGTCTCAGTAAGTACCGAGTCTGTATAATCGGATCTGAGAGTCGTCGTCAGTCCCTGAGGACTGGCTCGATGCTGTTCTCCTCCCTGTTCGAAAACGAGGGTCTGGGGACTTCCCCTAAGGACTTTCGCCCTCACGAGTTGTGTCTGCAAACTCTTTGAATGTATGGTTAACGATCGTCTGATGTGATTCTTAGAACACTATCACCACCTCTCCCCATCTCAATTTGGTTTATGCAAGTGATGCAGCACAACAGATGTCTTGGTGAACTTAGAGGTCTATATTTGTACTGCTTTTGCTTCGAAGACCTCCGTTGTTACTGTCCTTTTTAACCCGGAAAAAGTTTACGAGACCACTTGGCGATATCATATTCTGTCCCAACTTCATACTTTTGGCCTTAGTGGTAATCTCTCTCTCTCTCTCTCTCTCTCTCCAAAGCTTCCTCTCTCGTCGTTCCTTTCAGGTGAGGCTTGGTGCTGCTCTCTGCCTCTTTTCAGCAATACGAAGGTGTGCCCCAAGGTAGTGTTCAGAGCACTACTCTTTTTCTGGTTGCCCTCAATGGTCTTTTTTCCTCTCTTCATTCTGGCGTCTTCTCCGCTCTCTATGTCGACGATCTTACCCTTTGCTTTTGGGGGGATGATCCGCCTCTCCTTCAACGGCGGCTTCAACTTGCGATTGATGCCGTGTCGTCTTGGGCCACCAATCATGGCTTCAGGTTCTTTGTCTAAGGCTTGTGCTATGACTTTTACTCAGAAGCGTGTCGTTCTTCGTCCTTCTTTGTCACTTTATGGTCACCCCCATTGTGTACAAGGATTCCGCTAAGCTTTTGGGGTTGATTTTTAACACTCGTTTGTCTTGGTCGCCCCATATCTCTTACCTCCGAGTTGAATGCTCTAAGGCCCTTACCCTCCTTCAGGTGTTGTCCCATACTTCTTGGGGGAGCGAATAGGCGCACTCTTCTCACTTTACATTCCTTTCTCGTCCTGTCTAAAACTCGATTATGGTTGCCCTGCTTACTAGTCTGCTTCTCCTCCTACTCTTCACCGTCTTGATGCTTTGCACCATACTGAGTTATGCCTCAGTTCTGGTGCCTTTCGTTCGACTCCCGTCCTCAGCTTGTATGTTGACACTGGCTTCCTATCTCTCATGGACCGCCGTGATTGCTACTGTCTTCGCTCTCTTGTGCGGTCCATGCAACAGCCTTCCCCTCGCCTCTGTCGTGCTTTAACTTTTACCCCTCCTGTGGTTCCTGTTCCTCTTCACCACCTCCCTCTTTCTGTCCGGTTATCTCATTTACAGGATTCTCTTTCAGTTCGTATTTCTAATATTTCTCCTCATGTTGTTCCTTCTTTGCCCCCGCGGAGAGTCCACCTTCCGCAGTTTTGTACATCCTTAACCCGCATCACTAAAGCTTTTACCCCTCCTACGGTTCTGAAACGGAAGCTGTCTGCTCTTGTCCCATCTCTCGTAACAGTATTCCTTATTCCGACTTTTACCCAGTCATTCATTCCTCCATCCTTACCCGTTGGCAGGCTTTTTGATCTTCTGTTACTGGTAACAAACTGCGTACTCTTAAAGAGTTGTGTGTCCCCATGGCCGTCCTCCTACCACCGTAACCGGCGATGGGAAACGGCTCGGGCGAGGTTGCATATTAACCATAAACGCTTAACTCATGGTCACTTAACGGAGCGCCGCCCCACTTCTTATTTTCCAAATTGCATTGTCCCTCTTACGGTCGTGCATATCCTTATTGAATGTCCTGACTTCCAGGACGAGCGTATGTCTTGTTTTCCAACTGTCCCCCGCGGTCGCTTGTCCCTTGATGGAATTCTTGGCGAATCAGATACTTTTGATATCGTTCGCCCTATGCGTTTCTGTTCTCGTACTGGCATCCTTGATGATATTTAGCACCCTCTGGTTATTCCGCACATTTGATGGTGCTACATAGCCTTCCCGGTTTGGTGCCTTCTTTTGATAATTACTTTCTATATAACTTGAAGCCTGATTTTTTAAACAGCTGTGCATATTAAAATCTTGAATTTTTATGCATTTAATAATTATCTTTATGTTCTTAGGGCATTAGCCCTGGCTTGGTGGAAACTGAATTTGCTTCAAGACTGTTTAAGGATGATGCAGAAGCAAAGAAAGTGTTCTCAAGCATAAAGGGCCTGCAAGCAGATGACGTTGCTTCCTCAGTAATTCATGTGTTGTCTGCTCCACCACATGTCCAGGTAAGCTTATTGTGTGTTCAAACATACCTGTATTAACGTACAGTCGGGTTCGTTCTCGACTCACAATCGGGAATTCTGGGTTCGAATCCTGGGCGGGACAGACACAGTTGGGTGCGGCAGTAAACAGATACCCAAGAGTTAGTCAGCTTGTTGTGGGGTTGTATCCTGGGGTCAGTAATTCGACCTTATGAGGACATTGGGAGAACCTCGATACAAGTCTAACATGTTTATATATATGCACTGGCTGCCTGTCTCCCCGACACAATAATTTATTATATCACTTTAACCAAATAAGATTAAATTACATTGCTAAAATTTTTACTTCATAATTCTTTACATTTTCCAGAAAATGATTTAGTTTAGTGTGAGGGTATTGAACGTGGCCATGTTTAAGCACATTGCAGCCACGGAGATAGTAGCAATTATTTTTTTATTGTATGTTTAGCCATTTACAGGGGTGACCTACAAGAATAGTGCTATGCTTATCATGGGAAATATAATATACATATATATATGTGTTATATATCACACAATTAGTAGACAATAAGATACAATTTTGATTGGTTGCATTCGGACAGGCCAACGTAGTTAATTTTTTTTCTTCCTCAGATTCATGACATCATTGTCCGGCCAACAGAACAGATTTCGTAAGTCGTGTGAGAAAAACTGTGAACATAACACCTACTGTATTTGTCCCAAGACTCTCAAGATGACTTTTAGGAAGCCAGTCAAGCAAAACTGTCAAATTTGCAAATTATGATTCTTATACTGTATTACATTCATGAACTTTTATATACTGTACCACTTGGTGATCTTAAACTTGTCTGCCTTGGTACATATATATTATTGTATGGCTTAAGCCTGGATAGAGTTCCTCTTGTACAAGAGGTGCACAAAACTGTTGGGTGGAATATTTGGAAAGTTGTCTTTATTCCGGATTAAAATAATAATAACAGTATATGTTTTGAAAGATAAGCTTCAAATTACTTTTATTATTATTAAATTGTCAGGTATAATTTGATTGAATTAGTATTGAATTTACGAACTCATAAAAGTGGTCTTTGTCGTTTCCCCTATTCTCATTTTGTACAATTAACAATTCCTTTATGATTGTGTAGAGCTAAAGTTAATAGGTAAAAAAAAATTGGTAAGTACCTAATTATGTCATAGCTGCAAGGTGCATGCTACTTACATACTGAATTAAGTAATTATCAAAAGAAGGCACCAAATACTGCATTAAGAAACCGTTCATTTAAGATCCTTTTAACATTTTCATTTAACATTAGGAGCTTCTGTAAAAGGAATTTTAGTTCCCTGATCAAAACCCGAATTCAAACAAAAATTGATCTTTATGCTATTACAGTATTAGCTCGAATATAACACATTGCCCAACAACTGTATAAATAGCAAAATAACTCATTCATTGTTATACACTTGCCTGTATTTTTCTCAAGATTTGCGAAGCAGATTATTCATAATTTATAAACTTGAGAACTATATGTAATCAACTTAAATAATTTAAAAGAGACATCTCTAAAATGAGACTGTCAGTTTAAATGTCCTGCTTACGATTGAATGCTGGTACAGATTTATCATGTATACATTGTAAGTAATTACCAATAGAAGGCACCAAGCCGGGAAGGCAATGTGGCACCATCAAATGTGAGGGATAATTAGAGGGCGCTAAATATCACCAAGGCTGCCAATATGAGAACAGAAATGCATAAGGCGAATGATATCAAAAGTATCTGATTCACCAAGAATTCTATCGAGAGACAAGTGACCGCGAGGGACGGTAGGAAAGCAAGACACACCCTCGTCCTGGAAGTCAGGACATTCAACAAGGATATGCACGACAGTAAGCGGGACAATGAGGAGCAGGTCGGCGCTCCATTAAGTTCCCGTGAGTTAAACATGTATGACCAATATGTAACCTTGCCAGAGCCATTTGCCACCGCCGGTTACAGTGGTAGGAGGAAGGCCATGGGTACACGCTAACCTTAAGAGCACGCAGTTTGTTACTAGTAACAGAACACCAAGGACCTCTGCCAATGGGCAAGGATTGAGGAATGAATAACCGAGTAGAAGTCGGAACACTTTTATGGGATGTGGTGCAAGTGCGGATAGCCTCCTTAGTGGAAGAGTCTGCACTCTCATTTGACACAGCAATATGGCTGGAAACCCAGAAAATCTCCACTGTCTTAAATCTGCTGGAGATAAGAAACGACCAATGTTTACTTTCTACTACCACAGGATGTACTGAATTAAAGGACTCCAGAGCCACGAGGGCACTGCGATAGTCGACAACAACAACAAAGGAGGTTTGACAGTGAGAGAGCAGTTTATGAAGAGCGTACAAAATAGCATAAAATTCTGCTGTGAAAATGCTAGTCTCCGGAGGCGGGCGACACATATAGGTGTGGTCAGGGAAAACAACAGAATAGCCTACACCGTCTGCATACTCAGACCCATCCGTGAGGACGGAAATGGAGCGAGAGTGTGAGGAAAAGTGCTCAAGGAAAAAGCGTTTCAGAACTGTAGACGGGTGAAAAGCTTTAGTCACGTGGGTCAAGGTTTTACAAATCTTAGGAAGGAAGACCTTTCACGAAGGCAAGAACGGAACGACACGAGAAACATTGGTAACACTAAACGAGAGAGAGAACCTTGCAAGACAACCATACGGAGAGGGTCAAGGTGGTGAAGGGGAACAGGGACCATAGAAAGGGTAAAGATCAAAGTACGACATAAGCGGGAGTGAGGGTGTTGTAAGGACCGCTCAAGGTAGCGAAGACAGATCCTATAGAGACAAGACGCCAGTTTCAACATACAGGCTTAGGGTAGGAGTCAAACGAAAGGCACCTGAGCTGAAGCCTAACCCAGTATGGTGCAGAACGTCAAGACGGCGAAGAGTAGAGGGAGAGGCAGATCGAGTAAGTAGGACAACGGTAATCGAGTTACCGTTGTCGGCAATTGTGAAAGGTATAGTGTAAACTTGTTAAGACTAGACTCGCTGGGACCAGATCGATCCCATACTTTTTTGTGTACTGTTCTGTCAAGGTTTTAGTTTATTTTCTATTTAATACAAATTGTGTGGGCGTTTTATTATTACAAATTATGTATTGTATCATGCTGCATTTTACACAAAAAAAATCAATATAATTTGAGCACATGAGCATCTTTCTATAAATCTTTGCCACCAGAACTTTGTTTTATGGTAATGAACTAAAGAGTGCCAATAAACAAGTCGTTTCTCTAGAAGAAGTGGTCATCCATCAAAACAAATGACAAGTGTGTGCCTTCATTTGAACATCTCCAGGCACGAGACGTCACTGATGAACATCTCCAGGCACGAGACGTCACTGATGAACATCTCCAGGCACGAGACGTCACTGATGAACATCTCCAGGCACGAGACGTCACTGATGAACATCTCCAGGCACGAGACGTCACTGATGAACATCTCCAGGCACGAGACTTCACTGATGAATACATACAACTGCACTGGAATAGGTTCAGTGCAGTGACGAAAATTATCCCAAAACTAAGTTGACTTATACCAGGAAAGGTTGAAATCCTAAGGGTTAACAAGACACAATGTGAGATTTTTCTATATTTACCTTCTCTCTCTTGGGAAGGTTGGCCTCAAGCAGAAAGGACCACTTAAGAGCAGCTTTTACTTTAGGTGAAAGACCATAGACAGGTGGGAACAATCACCAGGACCTCAAAGATGTTGACGTCTCTATCCACTGAGTAGTCAGGCTCCTTATATGCCGTAGCACTAGTAAGGGTAACCCACAGGTTCTCACTTCAATATTTTATTGATGTGTGGCGCTATGAATCGGGTTAGAATCCAGAAGCAGGCCTTCAGATGAAATTCACATGAACAGTTGCAGTAATAAATGTGGGAGCAATAATGTTGTAGGGTTGACAATGACCGTTCTCAACAATCAACAAGTTTATTAAAACAGAGACTAAAGTACTTCAACGATTTTACGTTGCGTTAATGTCTCTCAATGGCACGTCAAATAAAGCTAATTAACAACCAAGTATAGCAACGACGTCTGTCAATTGCCGCAAGGCTGAACTGAACTAACTTGAACAATTCGGAGAGCTCACTGACGATGCAACAGTGCAATCAATATTATTCGCAGCCCTCTGCAACATAAATCTATAATCACAACTTGCTAGGACAACTCGTGCAGCCCCCGGCACTGAGATGGTAACGACTAGGAGGTTAAATGACAACACAAGTAACTACCTATCAATTTTAGGTTAACACGTGTCTCAAGATACAAATATCATGAAAATTGCACTAATTAAAAACAAACAAATTTACCTCCTGTCACCCACACAGTCGGGTCCTTCCCTTGACTTGTAAATGACATTAATCCTGGTGATCTCACGTGTCAGCATTTCCACTCACCTCACAGGTGTTCATGAACAGTTGCAATGACGGATCCCTGGCATCGAAGCCAGTTTCTGAGAATATTCACCAAAACAAAACAGGGTACTTACTCTTACTAGACCGGGCTCAACACATTAACACTTCCAACATTCATGCCACTTGTCTGAAGCACTGAAGCTGAAGGTCACGACCCTACACGTCGCTGCACCATGGATGATGGTGGCAGCGAGGCGGTCTTAGTGTGTGTGGGGTGAAGCGAAATTACGAAACGGATGATGAAAAATTACTGTCATGCCCCAGTGGCACATCAGAACACACCGAGACCCGCCAAATCACGGCTTGGCTGTGGTCCTGGAGCAGGTTGTTGTGTTGTGAGGGTAGAAATAGCCTAAGCTTCTCTATCCCTGTATTTTATTGTTTCCGTAAACTTGAACGTGGAAGAAGAGCCAGAGCCGACACTCGGACCACTGTGTTGTGACGCTCTCCCTGGTGCTGCCACCTGGCGGCCGCACCACATCTTACACTACAGAAAATGGTCCCTCACGCTAAACCACACTATTGCACGTTGGCATTACTATAATAATAAATAAAAATAATAATAACAATAATAATAATAATAATAATAATATTTTATTTACAAGACGGTAAAATGGGTTGGTGAGATTATATTAGAGTGATATTTTCACATTCTTCAAAGCCACTAACACGCATAGCGTTTCGGACTATTATATATATATATATATGAACAAATTTTCCAGTTTTATATTATTCTACATTGCGTTTAGTTTATTTAATGTTAAGTGTCTTTAAGTGCAAAGAAGTTCCTTAAGGATCTCGGTTTCAGGCTATTTTAAACAACAATTAAGAGACCATAGAACGGCGAGCTTCGTATTCCAGCGCCTCAATGTAGCGATCCAAAGGGGGAATGCCCACTGCATCCTCGGTTCCTGCCCGGCATCGGAGGAGTTCCAAGAAATATACAGCCTCTTGGAAACAAACTTCCCTTTATTTCCTTTTAATATCCATATTATGAATTCAATCAGCTATGTAACCGTGAATTCTTGTAAAATAAAGTGTACAGCAATAATAATAACAAAGGCGTGGTAGTAGTAAATACTCATACGTATTTTGAGTCAAACGGCAAGTTTTTATTAGTGCTCGTTATTCCCTTCTGCGAGGCTTCTACTGGTTCGCAATTATGCTAACGAGTGTATGAGGGTGCTATAATCACTAAACCATTGGGATATAAATTAACCCATGCACCTGCAACTGTAGTTCAAATTCAAGTTCAAGTATGTTTATTGAGATAAGAAAGAAATACATCTCAAAGGGATAGAGTAGCTTAGGCTATTTCTACCCCCACCCCCGCAACTGTAGTCTTATAACTAAACTATAGTCAGTAATATTAAAATCAAGGTAGGGATTGCAGCATATAAGGCCTTAATTCAGCCTAGCACCAAATTAAACTATGCATGAGTGATTGTTGTTGAACCTGTCGTCTCGAATAATACATTGCATTTGGCTCTAAAATACTTTACGGACAAAATATGAAGCACTATAAATCATACAGAGGCTCACAAACATCTATAAGTTTTCTGTGCATGGCTCTATGGGTAGGTTAGGTTTGGGTAATTTAGTACATAATTTTTGTGACGTGACAACAGGAGAGAACGGGCTGGCATGTGACGTACAGATCACTTTCAGTATGTGCATGGTCGTAGCCCAGGCTATATCCGAACGCATGCACCAACGTGATTACCCGACCACCCGGAGCCGCACGGCCGGCTGCCAGTCACAGTGACTCCCGAGAACCCCGCACGGCCGGCTACCAGTCACAGTGACTCCTGACAACCAGTACCTACTTATTCTCTCACCAGCACCACACGTCGTCTCTGATAATATATTACAAAGTTAACCCTCGTGTCAACAACAACTTCGTGTCACTAAGGTTGGACGTGTTTGTTAGTCATTATATTATGTGTGTTATTGATAGCTTTCTAGTGCAAGATGTAAATATCACTTATTTAAATATTACTTATATAATAAGCCTCTGGATCCTGGGTTCAACTTCCGAGTGACAGAAATGGTTGGGCACCACCTACAGTGCCTCTGTTTACCTGGCAGCAACACAGCGAGCACAATATCCACAAGGGGTTTGGCTCGACGTAGATAAGGCGTTCAGTTTGAGTTACTATAATTATAGTTAGTTACTATTGGATATTGTGGCCGCTAAATGGGATATGGGCACAAATTAGGCCACTGTTAAGTTAATGTGGGTTGTAACCTGGGTAGATCAGAATTGCAGAATTTTTAGAACTGCCTGGGAGGTTGCTACATTGCCATTTACCAAGATTTTCCTAGGAATGTTGCTGTACTGACCACAGCACAATCAAGCATTCATATAAGTACATTAATTATTGAGCCTGCTGTCCAGCTTTTAAAGTTTCTAATTTTAAATTTTTAACATTTACGTGTATTGCTCCAACTGGTCTGCCAAATAAAAGTGTCAAGCGATCAGACACAACAATGTACGAGTAAGTGTTGTATTTAAAGGAGTATACTGTATTGTCAGAATCTCTTTAGTGTAGTAATGTATTGGGAAAACTCGCCTATTTCTGACACTTCTTCCCACTACCCAGTGGATAGAACATCAAAGAGCGACGACAGTTCAATGCAGAATCAACGTTGTCGAGCCAAGCTGAATTAAAGTTGTCGATCAAAGCCGAATTAACGTTGGCAACGTTCATTCAACATCAAAACAACGCCACTCCTGGATATCGGGATAGTAATGATCTTGTAGATGTAAAGTTAGGTTACATTCACTTGGGCTCTAGGAGACTTGAACTGCGGACCTCACGCCTGTCAGGCCGAAACTCCATCGACCGAGAGCTTTTAAGGTTAGATTAGTTTATTTTAAGAGTAAATAGTATTAAAAATTACAGGTGATACAACTATAAAGGAGATCTAGAGGTGGGTATAAATATTTTATATAAAGCCAATAATCACACGTATACAGTATAGTCTATTGGTTATACTTAGTATATTGGTGAGAACTTCACAGCCTAAACCTGTTCCGCTTAATTATGCTGTTAAATGAACAAAGGCATCAAGTGAAAGGAAACGTGCCCAACCATTTCCGTCCTGCACGGGACCCTCCATTGCGAATCGACAACGTAGGCCACTGTACAACAGGACTAATATGGCATAGTGAGGCTCCTCGAGGTATATAATTATCAATGCTCACAACACATTACTAACACTAGATTATTGCTTAATTTGTATGTTAATTTTCCTCAATAACTCTGAACCTTGTACCCAGCAGGATAGCAAAGCACAACTTACATTGACTGATACATTTATCTCTCTCCCAAACTATTAATAACCAACTGCCTGCATATCAACAATTTTATATAGATTAAAGATAAGCAGAGGTCATAACTACCTGACACTGTACACGTTCTGAAGCACTGATTCAGGGTACTATGCCACTATGGAGAAAAGGTCATAGCTTTAAACTTTGAACAAGATTTTTGCTTAGTATAAGGCTAAATGAAGAAATTTAATGGCAACAGAAAAGTTGAATTTCACAGCCAGTTGTCATATAGTTTGAATGAAAAGATTGGAGTTTATTCTCAAGAGCTTAAAAAAGTTAATAAAAATACAGAATATGAATTTGTTTCAAGTACAGTATATATTTACCTATATTAATTCCATATAAGGTTGTATTTCACTATCACTAATGTAACTTTTACAGGAGTATTTAACTTGTAATTTCTTTAACTGTATTCTTAAATAGAAAGTCTTGTCTAGTCTTATGAGTTATATTGAGTATCTGAGATACAATATATGGTGGTTATGTGAGGGTCCCGGTAATAGTAGAGTTCGTTCTCGACGCGCAATCAGTTACATCCTGGGGGAGGGGGCGGATCTCGACATAAGCCAAACATATACTATATGTATAAACTGACTACCTGTTCCCCGACACTGAATTATTACACTTTTATTATATACAGCATAGCCCTACTGTTGCAATATGGAACGTTGGATTGGTCGCGTTGCCTTGGTGACGGGAGCGAGCACAGGTATTGGGGCAGGCATCAGCAGGAGGCTTGTGGAGGCCGGCATGAAAGTTGTCGGAGCTGCACGAAATGAGGAGAGGCTTCAGGTGAGTCAATACCTTAATGTGCTGTACCTAACTTTACGTATTCAACATGGCCTTTAAATACTTAACATTTACATCTTATTTTATATTATTCAATGTACATCAGGCTGAAATTATGATCCAAAACAAGGATGTTTCCACATAGGAAATAAGAAAGGGTATAAAGGTCGTATGCTTTTTTTCAGAAGATTCATCCAAGGGACTTAAGAATTTTCTTAGTTTCTCATTTTTCTTTTAATTTAAAAATTGCCCTATATTTATTTTTGCACTGCTTACTTTGTTTCTTATACTCTTTATAAGAAAAACCTAGATACACATATATCTTACTCTATCAAGTAAAAGTAATAGTATACAGTATGTCCCTGCATATTATGTACCTAAGCCATTCAACTTTACCATTGTAATCATTGCTATCATCTTATATCATGGTTGATATATTGAACGCATATTTTACTGTATTATACCTTGAAATAATCCTCAAATTATGCTACAATGTACGTGTTGATAACCCTCAAATTTTACTTTAATGTACCTACTAAAGTTTGTCAAATTTTCTTAGTGTACCTGATAACTTTTTTATTATTATTGCTAGAAATTACCTACTTAAAATCATCTGTTAGATTAAGGACCTGCCCGAAACGCTATGCGTGGTAATGGCTTTAAAAGATTGTTAAAACATCAAATGCTATGTACTCTCATAAACCTAATGTACCTTTTTGTGTGTGTATATGTCATTTATATAATCACTGTTATATAGGGAAGTGATACATCACTGCTCAGGCATGAATGTCATTAATGATTTTTAGGACTTGTTCCTTCGTATACTTATTTAACATTATTTATTTGCAAAATTATATTATACAAAACATATTGGAAAAAATTTAATTTAAGGGTATGTGATAATAGGCTAGCTTATGGAAGTGGCGATAACAGGTGCAGCGTATGTAATCCAAAGATATTTTGAAATCCACATTTGACTGGCTGTGTGTAGGTCATTTCATGACAATATAGTATATATACTATTTCAGGCCCTTAAGAGAGAGCTGGCCAACAAACCCGGGTCCTTCACCCCAGTGAAATGTGATATCTCCAAAGATGATGATATTCTCAGTCTGTTTGCCACCATTAAGAAAGAATTTGGAGGTGTTGATGTGTGCATCAACAATGCTGGCATGTCTCATGGCCATTCTCTTTTGGGTTTGTATTTCCAATAACAGTACGTTTCACATTTCATATTTACACAAATTGGCCCGTCATTGTAGGGGGGGGGGCGACTATAACAAGCGAAGTGCGTGTTCTTTTGCTTAATGTTGGTTTACTGTGGCTAGTAATAAATAATTACCTCTTAGGATTAACATAATTTTTAATGGATTAAAAAAATTAATTAACTTAAAGAAGTTTCTGATTATTTTAAGCCTATATTTTATATTTGCATATACAAATATTATCGTTTCACTGTTGTCCACAGAGGGAACAACAGAGGAGTGGCGGGAGATGCTGGATATTAATGTGGTGGGCTTGTGTCTGTGTACACGTGAAGCTGTGGCATCCATGCGTGCACGCAACGTTGACGATGGCCAAATCATTCATATCAGCAGGTCAAAATATTTTTAATACTTGAGTATTTGTAACGTGAATATAGTTCTGTAGAATTATCAAATGAGGCAATGAATATTGTAGTTTATACTGTATATATAATATATATATAACATATGCAATTGACGATCGCGAAACACTGATCATTTCTATGCGGAAAATCAACAGAGAAAGAGAAATGAGAATGGGAGATGAATGTTTCGGCCGATCAAGGCCGTTGTCAACACCAGTCTGGCGTTGAGATAGATGTTTTGGGGTACTCACAGGGTGAATGTGCATTTTGATGGCTGTTTTCAAACAAGATAAACAAGCCTAGGTAGATAGAGTATTATTTTTCTTCTTGGTTGTAGTAGGATTCAGGGTCTAATCTGCAGGCAGGACAGTAATGGCTTGGCACATTTCCTTTCACCTGATACATCTGTTCACCTAGCAGTAAATAGGAACCCGTACAGTTAAGCAATTGTGGGTTGCCTCCTACCGATTATCAGTAGATGATCCTGGGGTACCTCGATATGCCCAAGTACAAGCTTCCTATACCCAACGATGGGAATTATATGCTGTATAGGCACAGAGCCTCTGTTAATTGTGACAAACCTTAACGTTTGCTCATAAAAATCTGTATACTGAAACCTAATTGTTTCTTCAAACACAGTATGTCGGGTCATCGTGTGACGCCACTTCCAGCAGGTCATTTCTACACTGCCACCAAGTTTGCTGTGACAGCCCTTCTTGAAGGGTTGAGGCAGGAACTCAGAGGTGCAAAGTCACACATTCGAATTGCGGTAAGAAGTTACTGAAATTGTAACTGTAGTAGAGTAATGTAATGCTTTGATGGATTTGAATGAAAAAGACTATTTGATTTGTAGTTTAGGAGAGTTTGATGTGTACAGACAATGTGTATAATTACCTATGGTCACCTAATTGTTTTTGTTTTCAGACATCACATTAGTTTGTCCCCCTATCATAAGCATCCACCATGTGTTAAAAGACCAAAATCATGTACAGTTAGGCAGGATATTCTGCCACCAATGCCACACCGAACTTACGAAACTTTCCCGTAGGGCCATTAAAAGGCTGAGTCGATTGAGAATACAGTAATGTACTCCATACAGTGTAATGTACAGTAATACAGTACTCCATCCCAGAATGACCAACATACACACATTGAGCAGTATCAGGCAGTAGCAACGCGCTACCTTATCTTTTGTGTCCATTGTTTTTAGTTTTGGATTTGTTTTTTAGTGGTTAAGCTTGAAAGTGATAAAATAACCTGAAATAATTTTTGTATGTCCATAATTATTTGTTGTTACTCTTCATTCTCTCGTGATTGTCATACAGATTAAGCCTTTGGTCAAGTTGGATTTTGTTATTAATGTGTGCCACTTGCCTTTCCCTGTCTACAAGCTGATATAGTTTAATACGTCTCTTGAAGATCTTGAGTCATGGGTGAACTAAACTCCTAATTCAAACTGTGGCAAGATGTTGCCGACCAAGTGATCCGTCATAAGTCTTGTAAACCTCGCATTATGCATATATAATGAATCATACACGACCTGCAAAATCCTGCCGTATAGCATTTATAGACTGATGGACATCCTTATAGGCCTTGAAAACCTTGTAAGGTAACGCATTCTTGGTAGTTCTAGTGGAATAACAAGGTGACTTTTCAATACGTGCTAGGTCGCTTGCCTTGCGTTATTTGGCCCACTGGTTGAGGGGTCACTGGAGTTTTCTTTACTATTGCTTTGGCAACTCCCACCTCGTCTTACCGAGGTTTATCACATTAGATTAGACTTGATATTGCGACGAGGCGACTTAATAGTGGTTCAGGGGAAATTTCCTTGATCATTAGTGTCCAAAGGACAATTAGGCAGGATGATACTCTGGCACGGACTTTAAATGGAACTTTTCAAGTATTTCTTGTAAGGTTTGCAAAGTCCTTGCACACAATTCGCCATTCTCTATGGTGCCAAAGGATTACTGGAGAATGTTCACTGCAGCTCAAGATAATTAACAAAAGATAATTCAAGAACTCTTAGCCTTTCAAAAACCTCTCCAGTTATGTTGAACCTGTTACCACTGTTCCGGATATTTGTCTCCTGTGCTTATGGTCCAGTTCATGAAGCTGCAATTTGAGTATTTAGAGACGTTTTTGTATTTCCCAAAATCTTTCTGCACTCTGCTTCATTCAAAGGTTCAGTGATGATAGTACTCTTAAGTGGATTAGAGCTTCCAGCTTGACTACAGAATTGAACTCAAGTTCTTTGTAGCGTCAGATGAAAACAACAATGTTTGTTATGCTCTGGATTCATTTGTGAGCCCTTTTGTTTATATTGTCATAGGCATCTGTAACCTGTGTGTTAGTTCAGCCTATCCTCTCCAGTTGTCACGCCACAAATTATGTACTAAATTGCCCAAACCTAACCTAACTGATGGACCCACGCACAGAAAACGTAGTCGTGTGTGAGCTGCTATGATTTATAATACACATCTTGTCCATTGGGGATACTGATGCCAAAATTATTAGAGGGGGACAAATTGGTCAGTTGACATTAAGAGATTGTCAAGAACTATCATGAATTGATATCCTTGTTACTTTTCTTTAGTCTTTCCCACCTTGTTTTGCATCCCAGTGCTTGGCAAGTAGGGCTAAGCCCCCTGGAGATCTGTTAAACTGCTTAGGGCAGCATAAATGCTGTAGGATTTACTAGATCTTGCTTTGTCTCTTAGCAAGTCTACTGATTTCTTTTTTGGAAGATTCTTTTGTATTGGAAAATTACCTTAGGGAACAACAGAATGAGAGCTTAGAAATCTGGTTTAGAAATGCACCCAGTGTATGAAAATTGCTTTTCTGAGTGGAGCACTTAATCCCACTATTTCTGCCTCTTCTCCCCTATGCTGAGAATTGGGCTGTTCATGAAGTATATGGGACGGTATGTGGGAATGTATGAGAGGTTGTGTGTGGCTTTGAGTTTTATAAATGATCCTCACTGGTCATTCTGGGCTAGACTTTGTTTCAAATGACGTCCTAGCTCCCTAGCAAACGATTCACCATGCAAGTATAGATTAAAGTTTCTTTTGACTAAGTCGTATGGTGTCCTTCCTGTTGTTCATAATCATGTCCTTAGGGCACAAGCACTTTCTATATAACTTGAAGCCTGATTTTCCAAACAGCTGTGAACATTATAATCTTTCATGTTTATGAATTTAATAATTATTTTGTTTTAGGGCATAAGCCCTGGTTTTGTGGAAACTGAATTTGCTTCAAGAATGTTTAAGGACAAGGAAGAAGCAAAGAAAGCGTTCTCGAACTTACAGGGCCTGCAAGCAGATGATATTGCTTCCTCAGTAATTCATGTGTTGTCTGCTCCACAACATGTCCAGGTAAGCTTATTCTCTGTTCAAACATACCTGTATTCCCAACCTGTCCTCGACTCAAGTCCATTACATCCAGCGGTCGACCCCACAGACGCATTCATAATTTTGTTTGTATGCTGTTCATTCAAAACGAGAATTTTCTCAAATATAAATTAATATATTAGCATATTGTGCATATATATAGGCATAGGTTAGGTTAGGTGTTTAGGTTCTGTTGGTGATTATTTGTATTTGTAGTACGTGGGTGAAGCATTTATAGCGTTGTGGTTCCAACAAAATTTGTCAGTGAAGCACTTGTTCTGGAAGTGTTCGAACGAAATCAATTGCGAGTCGTGTGTAAACAGCTTTTCATTCATAAACGGGGGGTTTGACGGGTGCATGGAATCAAAATGGACTGAGTTGAGGACGGGTTGCATCCTGGGAAGGGTCAGTAATTCGACCTTGGGAGGACCTCGATACAAGTCTAACATGTTTATATATATATGCAATGGCTGCCTGTCCCTCGACACAATGATTTATTCTTATATTACTATAACCAAATAAGATACAATTACAGTGCCAAAATTTATACTTCATATTTCTTTACATTTTCCAGAAAACGATTTTGTTTAGTGTGAGGGTATTGAACGTGGCCTTTAAGCGCAATGCAACCACGGCAATAAAAAATTGTATTTCATATTTAGCCACTTACATGGGTGACCTACAAAGAATAGTGCTATGCTTATCATGCCCTAAACCTAAGTACAATATATAATTATATATATACACGTACACAATCAGTAGTAAATAAGATATATTCGTGATTAATTGCATTTGGACAGGCCAACATACAGTAGTTACTCATTTTTGTCTTCCCCAGATTCATGACATCCTCATCAGGCCAACAGAGCAGGTTTCCTAAGTCGTGTGAGAAAAATTGTGAGCATAACATCTACTGTATTTGTCCCAAGACTCAAGATGACTTTTTGGGAACCAGTCAAGAAGGAAAACTGCCAAATTTGCAAATTAAGATTCTTACTGTACCAGATTCATGAACTTTTATACACCACTTTGTGATCTTAAACTTGTCTGCATTGATACCTATATATTATTGTGTATGGCTTAACGCTCATCTTGTATAAGAGGTGGACAAATCTGTTGGTGGAATATTTAAAGTTTTCTTTATTCCGAATTAAAATAAACATAGACTGTTAAGATAATAAAAGTAATTTGAAGCTTATTAAATTGTCAGATATAATTTGATTGAATTAGTATTGAATTTATGAACCCATAAAAGTGGTCTTTGCACAATAATCAATTTCTTTATGAACGTGTCGAGTTAAAATTATGTGCATACAATTTTTTTATATAGCTATTATGTCATAGCTGCAAGGTGCATACCACTTCCGTATTACATTAATAAACCGTTCATTTAAGATGCTTTAAATATTTTCATTTAACATTAGCAGGTTACGTAAAAGGAATTTTATTTTCCAGAACAAAACCCGAATTAAAATAAAAATTGATCTTAATGCTATTACGGGATTAACTCGAATATAATACATTGCCCAACGACTGTAAAAATAACAAAATATCTCATTGTTATACACTTGCATGTATTTTTCTCAAGATTTGTGATGCAGATCATTCCTAATTTAGAAATTTGAGAACTACATGTAATCAACTTAAATGATTTAGAAGAGACTTCTCCAAAATGAGACGGTGTCAGTTTAATTGTCCTGTTTATAATTGAATGCTGGTAAAAATTTATCATGTATACAGTGTAAGTAATTATCAAAAGAAGGCACCAAGCCGGGACGGCTATATAGTACTAGAAGTCAGGACAGTCAACAAGGATATGCACGACTGTAGAGGGACAATGCTGTTTGGACAAAATGGAGGGCCGCCCAGCTCCTTAAAGTGCCCGGGAGTTAAACGTGTACGACCAATACGAAACCTTACCAGAGCAGTTTCCCATCGCGGGTTACGGTGGTAGAAGGCCATGGGGTGACACTACCCCTAAGAGCACGCAGTTTGTTACCAGTAACAGAAGACCAATGACTCTGCCAATGAGTAAGGATTCAGGAATAAACATTTGGGTAGAAGTAGTAATAAGGAACACCTTTACGGGAGATGGGGTAAGTGCGGATAGCTTCCTTAGAAACAGCGTCCACACGCTTATTTGACACATCAATATGGCTGGGAACCCAGCAAAATTCTACTGTCTTAAATCTGCTATAAATAAGAAACGACCAAGGTTGAATTTCGACTACCACAGGATATACTGGATTAAAGGACTCCAGAGCCACGAGGGCACTGCGAACTACAACAACAAAGGAGGATTGACAATGAGAAAGCAGTTGACGAAGGGCATACAAAATAACATTTTTTTATTAACACATTTAGGTACATCTGCATTTGTGCAGCTACCCTAGACTATATGAGGGGGGATTAAAGTTCTGCCGTGAAGATGTCATTCTCCGGAGGCAGGCGACACATATAGGTGTGATCAGGGAAAAACAACAGAGTAGCCTACACCGTCTGCATACTTACACCCATCGGTGAAGGCTGAAATGGAGCGGGAGTGTGAAGAAAAGTGTTCAAGGAAAAAGCGTTTCAGAACTGTAGACGGGTGAAAAGCTGTAGTCACGTGGGTCAAGGTTTTACAAAACTTAGGAAGGAGGACCTTCCACGAAGGCAAGAACGGACCGACACGAGGAGAAACATTGGTAAAGCTAACAGAGAGAACCTTGCAAGCAAGACAACCGTATGGAGAGGGGAAGGTGAAGGGAAACAGGGACCACAGGAAGGATAAAGTTCAAAGTATGATATAAGCGAGAGTGAGGGTGTTGTAAGCACCGCACCAGGTATCAAAGACAATAGCGATCACGGCGATCCCGTAGACAGGTCACCAGTTTCAACATACAGGCTTAGGGTAGGAGTCAAACGAAAGGCACCTGAGCTGAGGCTTAACCCAGTATGGTGCAGAGCATCAAGACGGCGAAGAGTAGGAGAGGCAGACGAGTAAGCAGGAGAGCGATAAGCGAGTTTAGACAGTACGAGAGAGGAATGTAATGAGAGGAGCATGCGTCTATCAGCTCCCCAAGAAGTAAGGGATAAGACCTTAAGTACGTTCAGGGCCTTAGAGCATTCTACTCGGCGGTAAGAGATAAGGGGTTCAAATTAATCCGAAAAGCTTAGCAGAATCTTTGTACAAAAGTGGATGACCAAGAGCAACAAGGGAGAACGAACAACTTGCTTCCGAGTAAAAGTCATAGCACAAGTTTTAGTTGTAGATAACATGAAGCCATGATTGGTGGCCCAAGACGACACGATCAATCGCAAGTTAAAGCCACTGTTGAAGGGGAGGCGAATCATCACCTCGACAGCAAAGGGTAAGATCGTCGACAGAGAGAGCTGAGAAGATGCCAGAAGGGAGGAAAGAAGACATTGAGGAATAACAAGGAAAAGAGTAGTGCTCAGAACACTACCTTGGGGTACACCTTCGTATTGCCGGAAAGAGGCAGAAAGTGGTACCAAGTCTCACTCTAAAGGAACGACTAGAGAGGAAGTTTTGTAGGAAGAGTGGGAGGAGGCCACGAAGGCCAAAAGAACGGAGTTGGGACAGAATATGGTATCTCCAAGTAGTGTAGTGTGTTTTCCAGGTCAAAAAGGACAGCAACAACAGAGGTCTTCAGAGCAAAAGCAGTACGAATATATAGACCTCCAAGTTCACCAAGACATCAGTCGTGCTGCGGCATTTGTGAAAGGTATACAGTGTAAACTTGTTAAGACTGGACTCGCTGGGACCAGATCGATCCCATACTTTTTTGTGTACTGTTCTGTCAAGGGTTTTAGTTTATTTTCTATTCAATACAAAATGTGTGGGTGTTTTATTATTACAAATAATGTATTCTATCAGTTGCTTTTTACAACAAAGTCTATATAATTTGAGCACCTCAGCTTTTTTCTATAAATCTTTGCCACCAGAACTTCGTTTTATGGCAATGAACTAGAGTGCCAATAAACAAACCGTTTACGTCTAGAAGTAGTCATCCATCAGAACAAATGACAGGTGTGCCACTTCATCTGGACTTCTGCATCCAGGCACGAGACTTTACTGATGAATACATACAACTGCACCGGAATAGGTTCAGTGCAGTGACGACAATTATCCCAAAACTAAAGTTGAAAATAAAGCCAACATTATTTTCATTTCGCAATTCTTATTGCAGTTCGAGGATCCCCCAAAGGTATCGAACTTCTGACCTTTCCCAGGATACAACCTCTCAACAGTTGACTAGCTCCCGAGTACCAATTTGAACAGAGGAATTAGGTGAAAGGAAACCTGCCCAACCATTCAACTGTCCCACCCGGGATTCCCGATTGAAAGTCGATAACGACCCCAACCACCCATAATTCACGTCGTCATAAATCCAAAAAGCCACATCATATAGAGTTATATATCTGAACTCTAACGTCACAGAGCACCCAGTATAGGGATTACAAGGCACGGACTTCAGCCCACTACGCCAAACTAACCATGCAAGGTCTCTGTAGTACAGCAAGTACAGTCGGGTTTGTTCTCGAGTCGCAATCTGGAATTCCGGCTTCGAATCCCGAGAGAGACAGAAATGGTTGGGTGCGTTTTCTAGCACCTGATTGACCTCATGCTACTCAACTAGCAGTAAATAGATACCCAGGAGTTAGTCATCTTGTTGAGGGGTGGCATCCTGGGGGAGGGTCAGTAGTTTGACTTTGGAGGTGACCTCAATATGAGCACAATATAACTGAAAACTCACACCCTAGAAGTGACTCGAACCCATACTGCCAGGAGCACTCTGTAACTGGTGTACAGGACCCCTTAACCACTCGACTGTCACGACCGGACAAAAGATGATGGTAGCCGAGACAAATTCCCCATCATCCCGCCGGCACTCTGATGGTAATCTTGGGCATGGTATTTTATCAAATCACCTCATTCGTTCGCATATATTATATATAATATTACATATTATATATAATATTACATATTATATATAATATTACATACTATATATTAAGGAAATTGCAGTATGTGGTCGTAGCCCAGGCTATATCCGAACACCGGTACCAGGGTGGTGATATCTGAACACCCAGAGTCGTGGGTGCCAGTCACTGGGAGATTTCCTACCAGGCGGCACCATATTTCCTTACTTGCGCGGTCTCTAGTTGAAACTATTTAAGTTGTGTCACCTTAACCTTCGTGTTACTACGGTGGGAAGTGTTTTATAATCACTAGTGTGTGTCATTAACAGCTTGTAAATGTAAAATGCAAACATATTGCTTAGCAAATAGGTGGTATGTGAATATATTATAAAATTATATTATATATATATATATATATATATATATATATATATATATATATATATATATATATATAAACAAACGCATACATGTATGTCAACATTTGGGCTAATGTGATAGCCGTGGGCGGCAAGAACAAAAAAACTGATAAACACAAAAGCAGTTGTCAAAGAAAACAGATTTGGGGCCCTCACATTTATTGTGCCTAAACTGTTTTAAAGTTTGTTGGGTGGATGTTTGCCGCACAGTATACCTCCACAACGCGCCTTTTATTGGTTTAACCTGACACGATACCTTAATTTACCCGAGGGTGACCAATACTAGTGGCCTCGATTAGGACAGGATGCCGGCGGCTTGTCAAAGGCCCCCCCTCTCCCCATTTGTCCTGACGATCTTTTCCAGCTGAATTTTAAAACCCAGCAGTTTTTTTGGCATTTACGGCTTTGGCGGGTAGGTGGTTCTAGGGGTTTACAACTCTATCGGTGAAAAAGCATCTCCTGTTTTCTGTCCTACATTGTGGTTTGTTGAGCTTGAACCCGTTCGTGTTATATTTGACCTTTTGAAGAAATTGACCAGATCGACATCCTCCAAATTGTTCAGTATTTTGAAGGTTTCGATGAGATCTGCCCTGTCATGCCTGGTTTGCAGTGTTGTGAGCCCAGTGGCCCTCAACCATCCCTGATACGAGAGATGACTAAGCTCTGGTATGATTTTTGTTGTCCGGTGTTGCACCTTCTCCAGAGTAGCTATGTCTTTCTGAAGATGAGGTTTCCATGCCTGGATACAATAATTCGGGTGGTGGCACACCAGAGACTTACACAATTGAACGACTACTTTATTTTCCTTGAAGGTAAAGGTATACTTGATTATTCCCAGGGATACATAACCAATTCCCCAAGGAAGAGATCAGCTGAAGGGAATAAATTGGGAAGGACTACATAATTAGTGCTATTATCAACTCTATCCATTGTTAGGGTAGGTTAGGTTAAGGTTAAGTTTGGTTATGTTAATATGGTGTATTATTGATAATAATGTGAAATATGAAATTTAAAACTATTTTAGTGTACCCAAGAATTTAATTTATAGAAAACCAAATTCTTCAAAGAAAACATTTTCACCATATGCTATATTGTACTATAAATCATTGGTTTAGAATATAAAGTTAAAATTTTTTTTTTTTGGCAGTACCAAAAATCATCATGGGAGTGAGTGTGACTGGCATGTTGTTCTCTCTTGAATTCTTGTGACCCTGACCAGCATATCTGTGGCGTAGTGGTCAAGATGCTTGCCTGGCGTTTCACGAGCGCTTTGTCCTGGGTTCGTATCCTCACCGAGGAGGATTTACTGGGCGCAAATCCTAAACTGTAGCCTCTGTTTAACTCTACAGTAAAATGGGTACTTGGTTGTTAAATGATTTTTTGCGGGGGTCGTATTCCAGGGAACATAGGATTAAGGACTTGCCGAAACGCTACACGTACTAGTGGCTGTACAAGAATGTAAGAACTCGTGTGTGTGTGTGTGTGTGTATGTATATATATATGTATGTATGTATATATATATATATATATATATATATATATATATATATATATATATATGTAGATTTAACAAAAAATAATTGAAAATTAGATGAGAGTATATAGCTGAGAGAGAGAATGTCCAAAGTTGGAGGCCAGATGCTTGAGGCTAGCCTTGTCCATCTTTGCAGGAGGAATGATCTGGGGTGTGGGACAGACATATGTTTGTTTATTTTTATATATATATATATATATATATATATATATATATATATATATATATATATATATATATATATATATATATATATATATATATATATATATATATATATATATATATATATATATATATATATAAATAAAAAATAAACAAACATATGTCTGTCCCACACCCCAGATCATTCCTCCTGCAAAGATGGACAAGGCTAGCCTCAAGCATCTGGCCTCCAACTTTGGACATTCTCTCTCTCAGCTATATACTCTCATCTAATTTTCAATTATTTTTTGTTAAATCTACTTAATCAAAATGCTCTGCTAAAAGGAAGTGATCAAGCACAGAAGTGTACAAGTAGTTATTGTATTTAAAGTAGTGTACAGTACTGTATTTTCAAAATACAGTATGATTAATGTGCTGCTGTATATAAAGTCGTCACACTTCTAACAAACATCTTCCCACTAGCAGTGCTTTTCTAGGCGAGTTAAATTAGCAAAGGTTCAAGTTGGTTAGCTGAATGGAATGGCCAATAATTACATATTTCCAAAAATAAGAGGGGAGCAGCTTAATAATTTCAAAGTAATACTGTACTTACAGGTATATTATATACATCATAGCGCTACTGTTGCAATATGGAACGTTGGATTGGTCGCGTTGTCCTGGTGACGGGAGCCAGTGCAGGTATTGGAGCAGCCATCAGCAGAAGGCTTGTGGAGGCCGGCATGAAAGTTGTTGGAGCTGCACGAAATGAGGAGAGGCTTCAGGTGTGTCAATACCTTAATGTGCTGTACCTTTAAATACAGATTATTCTGTATATTAAAGGCAGACATTGCAACATAGCACTTAAAACTGCCCGCCATTTATTGCTTTTGTATGATAACTTTGCACTTCTCTTATTTTAAGAAAGCTTTTAAGGATTTATATAATATATGCAAATGAGATTATTTCCACATATCCATGAATGCTAGATCTTAGATGTCATACATAATCATGTATTTGTCTTGCCCTGCCAAGTAAATAATTTACAAATGGTTTATAGCACTTTTTCATATACTTATTTAACATGATTTATTTGCAAAATTATATACTGTAACACAAAAAACATATTGGACAATAAAAAGAGCATTTGTAAAGATATGTCATGATAGGTCAGCTTGGTGGAAACATTGCAATATACATTTTGAAAAAATACAAAATCTGAAATACATACACCCAGTACCCATTTGACTTGATACATGTAGAAAGTCTTTTCTTATTGTATCCTTTTCCAGGCCCTTGCAAGAGAACTGGCCAACAAACCTGGGTCCTTCACCCCAGTGAAATGTGATATCTCCAAAGATGATGATGTTCTCAGTCTATTTGCCACCATTAAGCAGAAATTTGGAGGTGTTGATGTGTGCATCAACAATGCCGGCATGTCTCACAACCACTCTCTTTTGGGTTTGTATTTCAAATAACCAGTATATGTATATACTTCACACTTCATATATTTTCAAATTGGCATATCATGAAAAAACGACTGGGACAAATTAAAAAAAATGTGCCATTTCTCCTTATGTTAATCACACTGTGGCCATAGTGATGAAAAATGGTCTCTTCAGCTTTACATTATTTCTTTTTTACAGTCCATTAAATAATTAAAGTTCTGATTATGTTCAGCCTATTATTTTATATTTCCTTAAAAAACCTGTGATATCACTGTTGTCCACAGAAGGAACAACAGAGGAGTGGCGAGAGATGCTGGATATCAATGTGGTGGGCTTGTGTCTGTGTACACGTGAATCTGTGGCATCCATGCGTGCACGCCAGGTTGATGATGGTCAAATCATTCATATCAGCAGGTCAAAAATATTTTTTAATTTGGGAAGATTTGAAATATGAATACAAGTCTGTATAGTTGACAAATAATGTAACACTGTAGTGTATTCAATTTTTTTTAACTAATTAAATTATTTTTGTATCATATATATTACCTGTCTTCTGTTTCCTTTATCTTTAGCACAGGGTAAATCACAGTGTAACAACTACTGTTCTTTTCATCCAGTTCATGTGTAAATTAAAATTAGCTAAAAATGTTTAGTCATGTATACATTATTCAGATAAGATTAAGTAACTGTCAAAGAAATCTGAAAGAATATAATCAAATAGAAACAAGCTGATAAACAGGCAGATGAAAAATATTATCTTCTTTCTTCTTGGCTGTAGCAGTGATAATAGGAGTCTATATTTATATACTGTATAGGCATAGAGCTTCTATTACCTGCAACAAATCCAAATGTTTGCTTAAAAGAATTTATAAACTAAATTCTCATTATTTCATCAAACTCCTGACAGTATATTAGGTCATCGTGTCTCATCAAATCCAGGAAATCACTTCTACACTGCCACCAAGTTTGCTGTGACGGCCCTTCTTGAAGGAATGCGGCAGGAGCTCAGAGATGCAAAGTCTCACATTCGAATTGCGGTAAGTTACAGTAAAAGTGTGTAGTAAACACTTCTTGCACCAAACATGCACCAGGCAAGTCCAGACTTGTCTGATAATTGTCTTTCTTTGTGTACTTCTCAGCAGGGTTGACATTTTAGCTCCTCAAGCATATTTTTTTTTTTTTTTTAGATTTAGGTTTAGTTTCACATCTACCTCCTAATTTACTATCAAATTCTCTGTACAGTTATCAAAAGTGACATAAAATCTGACATATGAATGGTGGTTGTATGTTCAGTCGAACTAAGCTTGAACTTTTAAATTTTATGCATTTTTTTTATCCTAGTAGTAGGCATCCATCAGTCTCAGGCGACTATGAGTTGCATTCTGGTTGTCGGTCTGGTGAGTGGCCTCTCCATGGCACAAAGCCAGGGTAGGTTAATACAGGGTGGAAGCTGACACCCATGCAGCCGGTGCCAACCTCTCCACAGCCCGAAAATCTCAAATAGAACGGCAAACACCAATATGATTAATTCCAGCACCATTGCAAGAACTGTCAGAACTGTTCCTAACAAATTTAATGCATTTTGTTGATTTTCATTTGGCATCACAGCTTCTCTGCCTTGCTAGAGCTTCTGTGGTGTGGACAAATGGTGCTAGGGATTGGTATGGTATACGGTACCTGGACAGATGCATCTGTAATGGTGAGAACGTGATAGTGTGGCAATAGGTAAGTACATACAGACAATGCTGCAACTCATTTGATATTGAAGGGCACTGTATCAGTAGCAAACAATTTAGGAAACTTTTCACTATTCTGGATCTTTGAATATTTTTCTCAGTGCTAAGCTTAAAAATGATACCTAGTGTTTATTTCCAGTTTATCACTGTCCTTTATTTTCCTCCTACTCTTTTTCTTTCATCAATACTATACAGATTAAGCCTTGGTAAAGTTGGATTTTTTGTTTACTGTAGGTCATTTCCTATCCATAGGCTGACATGATTTAACAAATCCACAAGGGCAGTGACGAGGATTCGAACCTGCGTCTGGGAGCATCCCAGACACTGCCTTAATCGACTAAGCTACGTCTGGGATGCTCCCAGATGCAGGTTCGAATCCTCGTCACTGCCCTTGTGGATTTGTTCATTTGATGCATCACGTTAGTGTGATCTCTGTGTGTGCTGACATGATTTAGTTAGGGTATCTTTAGGCTCTTGAGCCATAAGTGTATTAGGCTTCTTCCTCACACTATATTAAGGCACTGCAGACCAGATGATCTGGCACAAGTCTTGTAAATCTTACAATGTGCCTTGGTATTTGGCATATACTGTACAGTGAAGTACACACAACCTGCAATATCCTACTAAGTGGCATTTACAGACTGATGACCATCCTTATCTGTCTTGAAAAACATTGTTTAGTGATCCATTCTTGGTAGCTATTGTCGAGTAACAAAGTGACTAAGAGTTTTGCTAGGTCTCTTGTCCTGTGTGTTCATGCCACAGGTTCAAAATCACTTCCATTTTCTTTACTAGTACTTTGGTAGTTTTTTAAGAGACAGACGTCTTGTTTCCCGAGTTATCATATACATTTTGGCCTGAGCCAAAGAACCACCAAGCCGTCAATGAGATGGCTTGGTGGTTCTTTGGAACTTTCCAAAAGGATCATGCAGTCAGGCAGAATGATATCTTAACAGACTTCATATCGAAAAATATTACCTGGTGTGATGTCCAAGATTCTGTATGGCTTTGAGTTTTATGAATGACCCTCAACTTGTCATTCTGGGCTGGATTGGTTTATGCTCAGGTGATGCCCCAGCTCATTATTCACAAATGCTCATTAATACACCCACCAAACCCTGTTTATGAATGAAAAATACTTTACAAATGACAACTGATGACACATGTAATTTTCTTGATAGTACTTTATTAGTATTCTCAGCTTGAATCACACCTCTAAATGCTTCATCCGTGCACTGCATATACCAATAATTGCCATCAGAGCCCAGCCACCAAAGTTAGGCCTATATAACTATTGTGTTATATAGTAATAATATTAACAGAGAAAATATATATTTTGAATATGCTGTATGTTAAAATTAATAATTGCATCTTTGGGGTTGACCACTGGCTGGACGAGCCTAGCCTGAGGACAGGTTGTCACCATGCACACACAAATTGAAAAGTTTTTTGTGGCACCATGCAACATGTTGACCTGCCTGACAATATATGCTCATGTCTTAAGGGCACAGCCACTTTCATATAACACAGAAGCCCGATTCTGTGCATATTTTGGAAACAAGGTTGTTGAATTATGGAACAAATTCCTAGGTCACATGATAGATAGGTGACCGATGGATTGTTTCAAGCATATTTTAGACATATGCACATATGAATGGCCATGGGTGGTCAGAAACATATGCCTCATATGGGACAATAGGCCTTCTGCAGTTCCCTTCTTATGTTCTTATTAAACAAAAACCTTTTATATTTATATACAGTATATTGAATAATTTTTATTGCAAAGTATATACTGTACAGTACTCTTAATTTTTTAGGCCATTAGCCCGGGCATTGTGGAGACTGAATTTGCCCCAAGAATGCTTAAGAGTGAGGAAGCAGGAAAGAAAATTTACATGAACCGTATGTGCCTAAAAGCAGACGACATTGCTTCCTCAGTGATTCATGTGTTGTCTGCTCCACCACATGTCCAAGTAAGTTTTGTGTGTTTAAACATACCTTTATTCATAACTTAATCAAAATAAGATTAAATTATAATTGTCATAACTCATACTTATCAATGCTTTACATTTCTAAAAGAGAAAATAGAGTACATTGACTGTTTAATGTGAAGATATTTAATATGGCCTTGTGTAAGTACAATGTAGTCATGGAGATAATATTTGGTAACTTTGTGAGTTGCTGTAATTTAGCGATGTACAAATGTGATCAGTGGGCACCATATATACAATTTGAGGGTGTGAAAATTCTAATCTTGAGGTTATCTCGAGATGATTTCGGGGCTTAGCGTCCCTGCGGCCCAGTCCTCGACCAGGCTTCCTTTTTGTTACACACTCCCCAAGAAGCAGCCCGTAGCAGCTGTAACTCCCAGGTACCTATTTACTACTAGATAACAGGGGCATCAGGGTGAAAGAAACATTTTGCCCATTTGTCTCTGCCTCCACCGGGGATCGAACCCGGAACCTCAGGACTACGAGTCCAAAGCGCTGTCCACTCAGCTGTCATATAGCAAAATTATGTCATGTGTGTAAAAAATGAAGGAAGAGTGGAGATTGTGACAGCTGGCTGGCACTGGCCCTGCCACTATTGAGTCAGTATGGCACTGCATCATATATATATATATACATTGATATTAAGAGTTGCTAGGAAAGATAATGTGTTGAATGTGTGAATAAATTGGAGGATAAGAAAATAAAAAGGGGCTTGGAATAAACTTTAGGTATTGTAAGGCTTAAGCTGCTTATATAAATATAAGCTTTATAAATATTTGATAATACTGTATATATATATATATATATATATATATATATATATATATATATATATATATATATATATATATATATATATATATATATATATATATATACAGTATATATATATAAAATGGAGCATAAGCATAGCACTATTCTTTTAGCTACAGAGGAAATCACATGTACATACAGAATATGAGTACAGCTCAACTCCCACAACTATCAATAGACAATTAGAGCATTTTTTAATTTTTGCATTCAGGTTAACAAGCAGTTGGCTAACATGCATGTTTAATTTTTCTCCAGATTCATGACATCCTTATCCAGCCAACGGAACAGGTTTAGCAAGTCTTGTGAGATTCAAACTGTGAACACAGCACCCACTGTATTTTTTTCACAAGCTCTCAAAATGACTTTTGGGAGCCAGTCAAGCAAAATTGGCCAATTTGGAAATATAGATTCTTATACTCAATCATAACTTTTATACATTTTGTAGCTCTCAAGCTAGTCTGCACTTATATTGTATATTATTCTGTACAGGGTTTACCTGAATAAAGCTCATCTTGTACACAAGGCACATAAAACTGTTGGGTAGAACAATTAGAAAGTTATAATATTCAGGATTTAAAACTGAAGTCATACAGAATATACATTTTTAAATGACAACAATAAAAATAATTTTAAACTTGTTAAAATTGTCAAATTGTCAGTTATGATTTGTGATGGAAATACTGTAGTATTGAATTTATGAGCACTTGCAAAAGGGGGCTTTATCATTTCTTATATTGTTTTGTACAATTATCAATTCCTATATGATTGTAAAGCAAAAGTTGATAGCAGTAGAAAAATTTGGGTACCTATATACATAATACCTAATTATATACCAATAAATATACCTAATTATTTGATACATAGCTAGCTGGAATGTACATGCCACATACTGTACTAATAAATTGTGCATTTACGATTCTTGAAACTTTTCCATTTAACATTAGAAGTTTCTTTAAAATGTCTTATTTTCTTGATCAAAAAGCAAATTTCAAACAATTTAATCTTTATGCCATTACGGGATTAGCTCAAATATAACACACTGTTCAACGACTTAAAAATTTTAAATTCTAAAATATTCATTCTGGTAAGATATACACTTTCAAGTACAGTACAGTGTTCTAAATTTATGACTGTGTGCTTCAAGATGTGCATTAGAGAGAAAGTGCTGCTGTGACCAGCACAAGTTTACAATATTATACTAGTAAGATACAGAACTGAACTATAGTCTCCCCTTGTGTTACCTTCGCTCTCCAATATGTGGAACTGGCCTAGTTGCTGAAAGAAGTGGTGTGGATGGTGCTATGAGGGGGGCCCACCTCAGTTGCGTGGCATTTACCTCAGTTTTCTCTTCTTACCACAGAAGTCAGCAATAAGCAGATGATGAGTCACAATAATGTGACTTGAAGATATGAGAACTAAATCACACACCAGAGGATAAAGAGATGATGATGTTTCGGTCAGTCTTGGACCATTATCGAGTCGATTGTGATAATGGTCCATAATCGACTTATAATGATCCAGGATGGCCGAAACATCGTCGTCTCCTCATTTTCTGGTGAGTGGTTTAGTTCTCTAGTTGGTAATAATTTTAGGCAAGTGATAAATGTACCTATTCTGGCATTATTGTTTTCTCTCATACATTAAAAAAAAAGTTTGTAATACACATCTTAAAACTGCAGTTTGTATCCTCATTTCAAAATGATTGTGTAGCCTAATGGTTAACATTTTTATTTTGTGTGTCAGTTTTTCCTGTGTATTGAATATTATTTATTTTAATTGAATCTTATAAATTTATTGCATCATTATTTTAATTCCTACCCCATGGGTCTCTGTAGTACATTTGGGTTTGTTTTTGGCTCATTCGGAAATTCTGGGCAGGACAGATATGGTTGAGCATGTTTCCTACCACCTAATGTCCTGTTCACCTAGCAGTAAATAGGTACCCAGGAGTTAGTCAGCTTGTTGTGGTGTTGAATCTGGAGGAGGGTCAGTAGTTTGACCTTAGAGGGGCCCTTGATATAGGTCTGATATAAATATACACAAACTACCTGTCCCTAACAAAATTAATTAATATCATAAAACTAATTTCCCTCCTTTTCCATTACTGTATACAAGTGCTTCCATTTACATCACATTACAAAATACTGTAAATGCATTTTCAATATAAACAATAAAAAATACTTTGTCACCTTTCTAGAGATTATCCTTATCTTGGTAAATCACCTAAAGTGATCAATTTAATTTACTTAATTTTAATTTATGTAATTAACTCAATTGTGGGAATAAAATCTAGAAAAAAGGAAGTAGTCATCTATCAGAACAAATGACAGATGTGTGCCTTCATCTTGTAACACTGTAAAAGTGTTTGGGTTAGGTTATTTAAAATATATATAGAGTACATGAGTCACAGACAAGGATCTGAGAGGCGCCAGTTGTCTGCCTGAGATCTCACACCTCAAAGCGTTAATGACCTCAAGTGACCTGAGGTCAGATCATGAGAATTTCACCTTGCTTCCGCTAAGCTCTTAATTGTAGTCTGGTAGCCTTCAAACAAGCCGACGTTTAAGGAGTGGCTTGGTAGTGCCGGAGGCTATCTATTTGTGGGCGGAGTTAGCTACTAGGTTCCCCAATATAAACTCGGAGAGCTATCCAGAAAGAGCATGAACAGACAGAGCAGCAGACGAGCCAGGAGAGCAGAGAGAAGACAGCCCTACCAGGGAGGCTGTCGGCCGGCAGGGCGGGAGTCTCTGTCAACTACAGACCCCCCCCCCTCTCTATTCAACTTAGACTCAGTCCTCGGTGAGTGAACATTAAGGTGACTTGGTCGTGTTTACATATGTTGTGTGATGATCAGGGGCAGTCAAGTTGTAGGGTTCTCGAATTCTTGGATGATGACTCACTTTGCATATTAAACTGGAACATTTTAATTGAATTGTTAAATTATGATACTTCATGGGAAATATAATTATGAATTTATTATTTAAATTGTGTTTAACTTTGTTCCCTAGAGCTTTGAGTTGAGGTGAGAAAGCCTCTGTGGTTACTGGTTTCATGGTGTAGAATGAGTACATGATAAAGATGGGAACTACTAATAATGATCTCTTGATAACATCATTTGAGAATTTTGTGATACAGACAAGTTCCATTCCTTGTCTTGTATGTAATGATCATGAATGGATGGTGGCAGCATTTCGTCTTCTACTATCTACTCTTCTACTTCTACTATCTACTCTTTTACTTCTACCTATCTACACCTCTCCCTCCAGCCTTCTCTAAACTCTCACTTTCAACTAATGACCCTTCTCGCTCCTCCCACCTCTCTGCCTCTCACCCCAAACCCTCACTAATTACTTCACTATTCATTTCTTTCCTTTCGTTTTCACTTATACGTTTGTGGCAATGATTCGGTATTCTAGAGTTCTCTCTAGAGTTTCGGGTAACTGATCAAGTGACGGCGCCTTGTAGTCTTAGCACCTAGGTAGTCAAATACCTAGGTTACAAGGTGTTGAACGAGAGAGGTTGCCTTAGGAACTCTGGAGGTGCTCTAGAATAGTTAGCTAACTGTGGACGGGATAACGGACTAGAGAGAGCTGTTTCCCCCGGCTTCGTTAGTTAACTGGGGGGTGGAATAATGGACAAGATAGAGCTATTTCCCCCCACCCCCCGTTACAATGATGGCAGCGGTGTTGAACAATGTTTAAGGTATTGGTGTTCTTTTGAACATTGTTCAGTCCCACGTGTCTTTTTGCCGCTCAGGCGCTATCAGGGAGATCTTGACAGGTGTTTTACTTTCGCAATTTAGCGAGTTTTTTTCAGGCTAGGAGATAGTGATTCTCTAGTGTTGTGGTTTAGTGATTTTGTGAGTTTTGTGGTGTTCATGGAATGTTCACCAGAACTTGCGTGTGTAGTGATTAATGTTAGTGATAAGATTTGGTGATTTGGGAACTTAGCGGTGTTGGTAGTGGAGCTCACCTGAGTGTGACAGGTGACCTCGCATGTCCCACGGGGACACCCAGCCACCGCTGGTCTCCAGGTCAGTGGGGAGTGGCAGGTGTAGTTCTTAAGTAGTTTAAGTGGTGGTTCTGCTCAGATTATTGCGATCGACTGTTTTACTCCATTTGAACGCAATAACCCGAGGTGTACTGGTCTTGTACAGCATGCTAGGGGGAGGCTTAGTATGTCAGTAGACTTCACGTTGGGGACGCTCGACGTTAGATAGTCTGGTCACAGGGGTGGCAACAGTTTGGAGTTGTTGACCGGCGGAGATGCTAGGGAGACACTCTGGGTCACGTAGGTGGCTGTAGGTTAAGGGTGGGAGTAACGGTTAATTATGTACTTAAGATTAGGAACGGTACAGTTAAGTTAGGCTAGCGTTTTGTCTATTAGTGTTGATTTTTTTTTTGTGTGACAAGTTAAAAGTAGTGATGACCTTATTCTCTCTTCTCTAACTTTACTCTGTTACTGTTTTATGTTCCACCAAGTCAATATCATTCAGAGTTAATTGGATTATTAAAATTTAAGTGTAGTTGTTGCCAGGAGGAGAGCTTATAATTGGACTGTGTGAACCCTATACAAACTACAGGGTCACACAAACAGCATGGAACACGGGTATTGTCGCCTTTCTGTTCATCCACAGGTGGGAGCCAGAGGAGAGGCGCGACGCATATACAAAAGAGGGAGACGACTGCTGTGTACCACACTCACGGGCGTTTATCACCACCTCGACGACCAGCCCCCTACCTGGAGGTCATGGCTCCACCACTACCACCACCCCAGGGGACCCCAAGATGCAGCCCTCTCGGTCAGTCAACATTGGTCTACCCAGTGGACCCCAGGACGGACGGACCCCAGTGGACCCCAGGTCGTTCTGCAGACGACCCCAGACGACCCAGTAAAGATGGAAGAGGAGCAACAACGACTCCAGTCTGTCCCACCAACATCGGTCTACCCAGGATGGACCCCAGGACGGACGGACCCCAATGGACCCCAGGTCGCTTGTCAAAGACCCATGGGAGGAGGAAGAGAGAAGAGAAGAAGAGAGAAGAAAGAAGAGAGAAGAGAGAAGAAAGAAGAGAGAAGAGAGAAGAAAGAAGAGAGAAGAAGAGAAGAGAGAAGAAAGAAGAGAGAAGAAAGAAGAAGATAAGACAAGCTGAGTGAGACACGATGCCTAGTGTCCCTCGCTGGTGTCAGCATCATTGCATGGAGCGTAATTGCAAGACAGGATCGTTTGCCTTGACTGGCCGCCCCTCCTGCAAGCAGGTAGCTCTGTTGAGTGATTCTTCCTGTGTCATGCAGACTTGATGTGGCTGTCAGAAGTAGCTCTCTGAAGGAGGCGTGCTGGAGCAACAGGGAGGAAGAAGAGTAGGATGGGATTTCTACTGTTGGCAACTATATGAAGGTCTCGAAACTTGTAGTCCCTATAGCTGTGAAGAACCCCAATATACGTCTCTCATGGTGACTGACGTAGGGCCAATTACAGATCAGCTGGGACAACCGAATTCCACGGTCCTGTGCGCAGTTCAAGTAGTAACGGCTTTCGGGTTGACCAAGTGTTGTTGTGCGTTAACGACGGAGAAGCGACGGAGGCAGTTGTGTTGAAGAAATGTGGTACAGGATTATCTACAAGACCAAGCAGTGACGGCGCCCAGCCAGAGACAATGGACGTCTGTCTATATATTTCATTTTTTAGAGTAGGATGTTGTATATTTGTTTAGCTAGGATGTATTTTTTTTTCGTTAATAAAGTTGTTGCACACAGCTAGCTTGCTTTAGCAGTGTTGCAAAAACTTTATTTCGGGGAGAAGGGGAGATGTAACACTGTAAAAGTGTTTGGGTTAGGTTATTTAAAATATATATAGAGTACATGAGTCACAGACAAGGATCTGAGAGGCGCCAGTTGTCTGCCTGAGATCTCACACCTCAAAGCGTTAATGACCTCAAGTGACCTGAGGTCAGATCATGAGAATTTCACCTTGCTTCCGCTAAGCTCTTAATTGTAGTCTGGTAGCCTTCAAACAAGCCGACGTTTAAGGAGTGGCTTGGTAGTGCCGGAGGCTATCTATTTGTGGGCGGAGTTAGCTACTAGGTTCCCCAATATAAACTCGGAGAGCTATCCAGAAAGAGCATTAACAGACAGAGCAGCAGACGAGCCAGGAGAGCAGAGAGAAGACAGCCCTACCAGGGAGGCTGTCGGCCGGCAGGGCGGGAGTCTCTGTCAACTACAGACCCCCCCCCCCTCTCTATTCAACTTAGACTCAGTCCTCGGTGAGTGAACATTAAGGTGACTTGGTCGTGTTTACATATGTTGTGTGATGATCAGGGGCAGTCAAGTTGTAGGGTTCTCGAATTCTTGGATGATGACTCACTTTGCATATTAAACTGGAACATTTTAATTGAATTGTTAAATTATGATACTTCATGGGAAATATAATTATGAATTTATTATTTAAATTGTGTTTAACTTTGTTCCCTAGAGCTTTGAGTTGAGGTGAGAAAGCCTCTGTGGTTACTGGTTTCATGGTTTAGAATGAGTACATGATAAAGATGGGAACTACTAATAATGAACTCATGATAACATCCTTTGAGAATTTTGTGATACAGGCAAGTTCCATTCCTTGTCTTGTATGTAATGATCATGAATGGATGGTGGCAGCATTTCGTCTTCTACTATCTACTCTTCTACTTCTACTATCTACTCTTCTACTTCTACCTATCTACACCTCTCCCTCCACCCTTCTCTAAACTCTCACTTTCAACTAATGACCCTTCTCGCTCCTCCCACCTCTCTGCCTCTCACCCCAAACCCTCACTAATTACTTCACTATTCATTTCTTTCCTTTCGTTTTCTCTTATACGTTTGTGGCAATGATTCTGTATTCTAGAGTTCTCTCTAGAGTTTCGGGTAACTGATCAAGTGACGACGCCTTGTAGTCTTAGCACCTAGGTAGTCGAATACCTAGGTTACAAGGTGTTGAACGAGAGAGGTTGCCTTAGGAACTCTGGAGGTGCTCTAGAATAGTTAGCTAACTGGGGACGGGATAACGGACTAGAGAGAGCTGTTTCCCCCGGCCTCGTTAGTTAACTGGGGGGTGGAATAATGGACAAGATAGAGCTATTTCCCCCACCCCCCGTTACAGCTTTGGCTCTTTGGTCGGCCCAGTATATTGGAAATGCTGTGAGCTAATGATTACCTAAACAATAATATATATATATCTTACCCAAACGGCAAACTCGTCTGACTTCCAGTAACCTCTGGCGGGGCAGGAGCCAGACCTTCCCAAAGTCACACTAGGACCCAGTAATGATCCGCCAACTCTAAGCCAAGCCAGTGCCAGATATACAGACTTCCCGCCGCAAAGTTTGTTGTGGTGTGGAGGAGTGAGGAGCCAGAGCCGACACTCGGACCACTGTGTTGTGACGCTCTCCCTGGTGCTGCCACCAGGCGGCCGCACCACATCTTACACTACAGAAAATGGTCCCTCACGCTAAACTATACAATATTACACATTGACATTATTGCTATATATATAATATAAACAAAATTAGTAAAGGGGAGGAATAAATAGACCTAACTTACCCGGAGTCACGATGGGTAGGACTAGATGTCAACCCATGTCTTGCTATTTTCAAACAATACTGTTTGTTGACCAACTTGTTTAACTAATTTAATTAATTTAATTAATTTAATTTTAATTAATTTAATTAATTAGGACCTGCCCGAAACGCTGCGGGTACTAGTGGCTTTACAAGAATGTAATTACTATGCTATGTATCCTCACAAACCCAATGTACCTTCTTGTATATAAATAAATAAATAAATAAATAAATAAATAAATAAATAAATAAATAAATAAATAAATTGCTGATTTCTGGCATGTCATCGCGCCTCTCTTTCAACACAATTTATACTTTAATCTCAATTAGTATTAAGTTTAAGTCTAAGTGTTTTTTCCTACACCTTGCCCGAAACGCTATGTTAGTGGCTTTAGGTATTGTATGTACTAGCTCTATCTATAAATCCAACAATATGTTTGTAATTCATCTTCTATGTATGTACTTTTACCTGAATAAAGATTTGAATTTTGAATTTGAATTTGACAGCCGTTCCGTCCGTAATTTTAAGGCCAGACACGACAAACATTTCGAATTTCAAGATAGTTAAATATCAAAGCAAACAGATACAACAAGATTAGTAAAGGGGAAAGGAATAAATAGACCTAATTTACCCATAGTCACAATATGTATAAGACTGCTAGGCCGGGGCCGGGTCCTAGCTCCTGGTCCCCGGCCGGAGGTCAGCTAGGTCGGGTCACTCGCGCGCCTCACGTCCCCTCGGGCTGCCGTGCTCAGCTCTCCCCTCGCTTAACAGGTTGGTTTAAAGAGTATTATTACGCTAACAATGTCAAACTCATTATATTCATTACCTTGAGGTCATTATATGTTAATACATATCCATCCAAACGGCTGTGCGTAAGTAATGTATTGATAAAAATATACAAATGATATACCTATTCTAAGTAATCACTGTAATCTGGTTCTCATTATTTCAGACTCGGGCGCATCCGATCCCACGATCGTCGTCGCCCCTAAATCAACACAACACATTATTTCAGACGAATAAATTAGTATCATTAAGTAGTAGTAGTATGATGTAGCGATGACATAGAAGGCTTTACTTCGGATAGTTCTCAAACTACTGCAGCAGGGCTCATTGATCTCATACTGCCTACTGGAGTGCCCAGGCACCGTAATACCCAGCTAACTACATTAGACCTATGGTGTGTTGGGTTATTTGGATGCAGGTCAAACAGTTATAACAGCCTTGCTCATATAGTGCATGATCTGTGATGCTATATAATGCGGTTCCCATTTTTGGGGGATAGAATACCTGACACGAGGCTTATGCCAGTAATAGGCCTTATGCAGCTTCATTACTGTAGGTCCAGAAATCAGTCTCTATCATTGCTACACTTTAAACAAATCAAACCTAACCAATCCTATCCTATCGTATCCTAACCTAACCTATCTTATTTTATCCTATCCTATTCTAAAATAGGGCGGTTGCCCAAGCTAAGGGTGACTTTGCTCTTTTAGAATAAAGATAAGATAGGAATGTTATCTTTATTATTCCTAGGGTTTGGTTAGACGTTTTTTTTACTGCAGCTCCCATATACTGTGCAACTTTCAGTGAATAATGAATTCTGAATCAAATTTCTTTTTCCTTCCTTACTGTGCTGTAAGGTAATGTTGCTAATTTATTAGTTGTGAGGAAGATTAGTACGTCCCCCACAAACAGTGGCTTGCATTTTTCTATATTAAAAAGCATTTGCTAGTCTTGCGGCCATTTGTGGAGTTCATGTAGATCTCTTTGTAAGGCCTCAAGCTCATTTTCACTTTCATCTTTACTATAAATCTTTGTTATCTGCAAATTTGATGATGTGGTTTGTTATATTCTCATCTGTCATTGATGTACAGTATATGACAAAAAGGGTTGGCCTCAAAATGGACCCATGCAGTACCCCACTCACCATATTTCTCCTGTCAGATTTATTTTCGTTAAGGACGACCCCATTCTTTCCCATGGTACATTGATTTTAATAGATTGTTCACTGTGAGATGGGGAATGATTCCCTCCCTTACAATTCTCTCCATGAGCTTGCAGGCAGATGTGTGAAGTCAAGCTGACTGGATGGTAGTTTCCTGCTAACATTTTTCTGCCTTTTTTTTTTAAATATGGGTGACATTTGCATATTTCCAATTTAGGGGAACTATTCCTTGGTCCAGAGAGTTTCTGAAAAAGCTGATGGGGTTAATTTAACTCTGGGCCCATGAAAAATCTTCATTTACAGTGACTGTTTCATAAATTATTGTCTTGCCAGTGACACTCTAAAACCTAAATTTAAAAGTATTTTTTTTTTTTGTACAATGCATGCTCTATATCAATTAGGTAAAGCTTGTGCATTAGCTGGATGGGTGATAACAGTCTAGCCCCTGGCTAGGATGACTTTGTTGAGCCTAACATATTTCTTGTAATAGTATCCAAATATCTGTGATATTTGGATATCATACAGATATTTGGTTGACTGCAACATAACCAAAGCAGAAATACCATGCAAATAAATGAATCTAAATTGCTCATGACCTCTCAAGGAAGATTAAAAGATGTTCTTCTCTAAACCAGTTTAGAAGAGAAACTAAGAAATACCTAATTAACATCATCTAACAAATTTCACTTACATTTCCTTATCCTAAATAATTTAATTTGTATTTTACTGCTATTGTAAATATTAAATACTATTGTGTATCTGTGTCATTGCTAAAGTTACAGATTCTAGAATAAATTAGTTTATTCCTTTTATCATTAAGCATTGCAAATTTTATATAATTTGCTAAATTTCTTGAACAATTCATATTCTTTAGCATACTTTACATTTCGTACAGTATTGTGTTACCCCATTAAATTCATAAATAAATTAACTAAATTATCTCAGGTTATGGCCAAAATACTTTGCATATTAGTGACTTTATATAATACTGTATGCAATTTCTGTATCTATTAATTAACCATTGTAACATATGTTCTTATGTATATTTTATAAATAAAATTAATAATTATAATATTTATTATTATTATTATTATTATTATTATTATTATTATTATTAATATGGTATTATTAGTATTATTAATATTATTATTATTATTATTATTAATATGGTATTATTAGTATTATTAATATTATTATTATTATTATTATTATTATTATTATTATTATTATTATTATTATTATTATACAGTACCCATTTAATATATAATTAATTTAGTACCTATAAAGGGTTCCGGTAGTACACTCGGGTTCGTTCTCGATGCACAATTGAGAATTTCGGGTTCGAATCCCGGGCAGGACAGAAACGGTTGGGCACATTTCCTTTCACCTAATGCATCTGTTCACCTAGCAGCAAGTAGGTACTCAAAGAGTTAGACAGCGTGTTGTGAGGCTGCATCCTGGGTAGGGTCAGTAATTCGGCCTTGGGGGGGGGACCCTCGATAAAAGCCTAATTTGTATGAATACACTCTGGCTTTCTGTCCCCCGACACAGTAAATTATATAGTACACATAATTAATAATTCTCAGGAAAAAGCTTTACGCCAGTACTGTATGACTTTATAATACTATATAGCACATGAAAAGGATGTAAGGACAGGGCAAGTGCTGGTATATTGAGGATGGAATGAAGGAATGGTTCCCACCCTCTTGGATCATAAAAGATCAAATGCTGACCTTGCAAGAAGTAGAGCTCTCACTGTAATGAAGTATACAGTAGTTAGGTGAGTACAGTGTTGTGTACAGTATATGTATTACTGAGTTCTCAATTCAGCTATAATGTTTCTAATTTTTATTGCAGATTTTCTAAATCAACGTAACCTTACCGAAGTGACTGCAACTAAGTTCTCTGCAGAAAGAAATCAGGTATCAAGCATAAGCATCAAGCATAACACAGTAAAAGTGGTTATTGTATTTACAACAGTGTACTGTACTTATTGTCAAAATCTGATTGCACTACAGTACTAGAACAAATTTCCCTATTTCTAACTTCCTTCTTGCCACTAGCAATGCTTTTCTAAACTACCAAGACTAGTAAGGCTAAATAAGGTTACATTGTGTTCGATTACATTTACATAGGTTAGTTTCTTTCAGGAGTAAGTTGGAGAAGCATTGCCTGTCATGAAAACAATTAATATAGCTGAAGTATGTTATTAGTTGTATCTCCTGTTCATTGGTCTGAGATCATCGTGGCCTCTAGCACTTCATAGACCAACCGTGCAAGTCTAAAATAGCCCCTTGGTCTCCCCAACACTATCCAGCATAATGATTTGATACTGGTGCACAATAAATTAGCTGCTAATGGCAGCTAATTTATTGTGCACCCCATCTTCACTCCATGAGCAGTAGTGCAAAAGGATTAAAATTTTTCAGCATAGATTTAAATATAATGATACCTAGTACAAACTATTCCCACCTAGATATGCAATGCAAAATTTACATTAAGACTAAAACGGTACTTTTATCTCTTTCAGACAAAGTATTAAATAACTGATTGCCTGTATATCAGTGACTTGCTATAGATTAGAGATAAACAGAAGATCATACACATATTATAATATAACATATTATGTGGGATAATATACACACTTGTTATCACAAATATTAATTATGGCAGTTTAAATGCTTTAAAATGCAGGATTTTAATAGAAATCTGTTGTACATTCATCTTGTATTTACCAGTATTTGTGCCATATAAGCTTCTATTTCACTATCACTAGTATAATTTCTATGTAATAATAAAAATAATTTTTATTACAAAAATATACAAAAAAGTAATACTGAATACAGTGGTTTAATAATTGATACAAGTACGTATACTTAATAAGGCCACTAATATGCAAAGTGAATTTAATCTTTGTATTTTTTCGTGTTAATTCCTCACCTGCAATCATAAATGGAAATATATTTATCTAGCTTTATGGGTAAGGTTCCATATCAGAGCTACATCATATGAAGAGTGTGCAGTATATGTGTACATGAATTTGTGAGGATATACTATATACAGTTTGAACAAGTTGTGACTTACGGGTTTAATATATTCAGTCTAGTCCTATTATTTTGCAGTATGGAACGTTGGGCTGGTCGTGTTGCTCTGGTGACAGGAGCAAGCTCGGGTATTGGGGCAGCTGTCTGCAAGAGGCTTGTTGAGGCGGACATGAAAGTTGTTGCAGCTGCACGAAATGAGGAGAAGCTTTTGGTATGTTGATTAATTAATGTGATTATTTAACTTTGGGTACTCACTATGCCTCTTAAATACCTGTACAGGTTTTTGTATAGTAAATCAATTTTATTTAATGTACATTTGATTGAAATTATGGTTACTATTTGCAGACGATACTACCTTTGTCTATTCTGACCCCAACCCCCACACACTAAATAATATTGTCAACGGTGAATTAAAAAAAAAGCACACTTGTGGATGTTAACCAACAAAGTTGCTCTAAACATAGAAAAGACTTTCTAGATTTTATTTGGTTGTAAATCATCAAATCAGATTCAACTTCAGATAAGCAATGTTAACATTACCAATAAAAATGAGGGGAAGTTCCTTGGCCTATACATAGACAAGAGACTGAATTTCAGCACCCACATACATCACATAGCCAAAAAAGTCTCAAAAACGGTCGGTACACTTTCTAAAATCAAATATTATATTCCCCACTCTGCTCTCCTCTCATTAAACTTCACACAAATCTATCCCTTTCTTACATACAGTATCTGTACATGGGGCTCAACCATTGCAAATTACCTCAAGTGTATCATCACTCAGCAAAAATCTGCTATCAGAACTATAACAAACTCTGTCTTTAAACAACACGCAACTCCTCTATTTAAGTCCCTTATCATGCTAATCATACACTCACTCCACACATTCGCATGCGCTATCTATATGTACAAAACCTTGTTCCTAAATGCTAATCTTGATCTGAAACTTTTCCTTGATAGATGTAATAGAACCCATGAGCACCACACCAGAAATAAATTATCTCTTTGATATCCCCAGTCATACTAAATCTGTGCAAACACTCCATGCAAATAGAAGGGCCCAGTCTTTGGAACTCACTCCCTGATGAATTAAAAAAATTGTCTAACCAATGTCCTGTTCAAAAGTAAAATCAAAAGATATCTAATTTCATCCTCATAGTTTCTTACCTTACGTTTCAAACTCACACTGTATCTTGTACTACCCACTTCCCCCAATATTAGTACTTAAGACATACTGTATATCCTTACCAGTGTAATCACCTCTGTCAACTTATGTTGTAGTTATTTGTTGATATAAAAACCTTGCTATAATGTACCCTCTCATTTTACCTGATATGTTTAGATTAAGGACCTGCCTGAAATACTATCCGTGTTAGTGGCTTTGCATGAATGTAAAAATACCTGTCTTATGTAATCTCACCAAACCATTGTACCTTCTTGAAAAAAAATTATTATTACTGTATTATTATGGTCCAAGACAATAAACAGAAGATTGCACATAGAATTTTAGAAATGATATAAAGAACTGTTTTTGAAAAGTGTTATTAATGGATTATTCAAGGCATTTAAAGAATTTTGAGTTAGTTTCTCATTTTTGGTTTAGCTTTTAAAATATCCCTATATTTATTGTTTTTGTATGATATACTTTGCATTTCTTTTATTTCTTGTTTATAAGAAAATAGCTTGAAAGGATTTACCTGATGCAGTAACATATGTGTTAAAGTTAGTTAGTTAGTTTAGTTCATTTATTATGCACCCCATACCCATCTTGTGGGCGGTAGTGGAAAGGGTTACAGAGGCACATAATGGGCTCAGGGACTGAACCCCACAATTCATTTAGCTAAGCAAGTTACAATCTTGATGAGCTAGTTACAAAATTCAATATAAGTCGTCACATCAACAATGGGTTCGAGATCGACCTCAAGTACAGGTTCTAAATTAAGCAACTGACATATGCGAATAGCTAGTGTCAAAATTTATATGCTTGTCCTGCACACCACCCCCCATCCAGTGGGCAGCGGTGGATAGGTTACAATCACTCAGTTACTACCAACAGTTAGCAAACTGGGGATATTTGGCTAAAATTTCTGGTAGCAGATCATTTTGAATGAAATATTTACACATCGCTGGAACATTGGTTATAGAATTGTCTCTAAATTCACGTATCTTTTTGCACTCCATCACATAGTGACGGAGGGTGTGCAAATAATTTTGTTGACACAGTTTACATTTGATCAGGTCTACATCAGCAGATAATGAGAATTCCCAGAGATACTTGTAACCGAGTCTAAGCCGAGCAGTAGTAACATCTAGAAGTCTGCTAATTTTATTGGATGATCCATAGATGTATGGCTCCTCTTGCATGATAGTATGATGATAGATGGAATTACTGGTGTCAATTTCACTTTGCCTCAGATCTACAAGATCTTGTTGAAGTTCTCGGTGTACTGTTGCTCTCAGATTGCTCATTGACAATCCAAGGTTACTCTCAACGGCTCCTTTAAAGGCAGATTCTTTGGCTAACTTATCAGCTCTATCATGCATTCGGAGGCCAACATGAGATGGAGACCACATGAAATGGACTCTGTTACCATCCTTAATAATTTTGTTGTATTTGTGTCTAGCTTCGGACACGAGCATGTTACAGTTATGTCTTAAAGAGTTGAGAGCATTTAAGGATGATAAGGAGTCACTTACAATTAATGTATCAAGTTTGGAGACTTGTACACATTTCAGTGCAAGGATCAAGGCAAATAGTTCGGTCTGAAGGGTAGAGGCCCAGTTGTTTATACGAACTCCCCACTCAAAATACAAGCCATCGCCCATTGTCAGAACAACTGTACTTCCAGCTGCACCCATGGTGCGGTGTAGGGAACCATCAGTATATATGATTTGAGAGAAAGAATGCTCTGTGGACAGAGCATCAATATGGCTTAAGGCGTTGAGCTTTGCTTCAAGACGAAGCTTGGGCTGATCTCTAATTTGCTTCTTGGGTGGAAAGGGAGGGATTAAAACTGGAAAGGGTGTAACCTCCCACGGTGCAGGAAAGTGCCGTTGTTGTTTCTCTTGGTACAAATCATGAACCTGATACATTCTGAGTTGAGTTCCAGTTTTTGTTATCCATTTGGAACAATGCTGATCTTCAATAAAGAAATTCTGGAGGGCTTCTGTGCAAGGATTAGGATGAGTTAGCCTAAGCATTTTTATACCAATTTGACAGTTAATTTCAGTAACACGATCAACAACGCTCAGAAAATTAAGTTCCTTTCTCATATAAAGTATCTTTGTGGTACGAGAGCACCCAAGGATTATCCTCAAGGCTTCGTTCTGCAATTTTAAAAGTGATGGTTATTACATATCCGTGCATGCTAGGCCTTAGATAAGATATACATACTGTACTAATGTATTTATCATACCCTGACAAGTAAATTTATAAATAACTAATGTTTTTAATACTTATTTCTTTACATGCTAATATGATATTACAAATAGTTTTGAACAACACAATTAAAAATATTAAATAAATGGAAGAATATTGTAAAGATATGTTATATAATAATACTAATAATTTGTATTCAGGTAAAAGTACACACATACAAAATGAGTTACAAACAGAATGTTGGATTTCTAGATAGAGCTAGTACTGTATATACTATGCCCAAAGCCACTAATATGCACAGCATTTCCGGCAAGGTGTTATGCTTGAATTAAAAAATATCTTTAATCTGCATTTGACTTGATATGTGTGCAAGGTCTTTGCAGTACGTATATTCTTTTGCAGGCTCTTCAAAGTAAATTGGCTGACAGCTCAGGGGAATTGATCACAATGAAATGTGATATCACCGATGATGATGAAGTTCTCAATGTATTTTCCATCATTAAGAAGGAATTTGGAGGTGTTGATGTGTGCATCAACAATGCTGGCATGTCTCACAACCGTTCTCTTTTGGGTCTGTATTTCATATAGCAAAATATATTTTTCCTTTTGTACTGATATTGGCCTAATTCATGAAAAATACAACTGTGGAAGAAGTGAAGGGAGTGCCCTTTCTCCCATTGTTGGTCCCACAGTTGCCATAGTGATGAAGAAGGCCTTTTCTTGATTTAATTGATTAAATAATCATTTAAGAAAGTTATGATTATGATAAGCCTGTATTTGATATTACTTGCATAGAAACATTATTTCCTCTTTTGTCAACAGAAGGATCACCAGAGGACTGGCGTGAGATGCTGAATATCAATGTTGTGGGCCTCTCTTTGTGCACACGTGAGGCTGTGTCATCCATGCGTGAACGTAATGTCAACGATGGCCAAATCATTCATATCAACAGGTAAAAATATATTTTAATGCTTAAATATTTGCAACATGAACATAGCTCGGTAGAATAAATCAAATAAGGCTATGGAGTATTTATGTATATATTTTTTCATGTCTAATACCTTTAACCCTGATGGCTTAAGATTTAGTTCAAGTCACAATGTAACTTTTTTTTCGTCCCATTCATTTGTATCCTCAATTTTCTTAGTGAACATAAATCAAAAGTATGTAATACAGTGTACAGTATAGAAAAGATTGAGTAATCATTGAAGGAATTTGGAAGAATTTATAAGCAAGAAAAATTCAATACAGGCACAGTATATATATAATTAAAAGAATGTGCCTGAGAAAGTTTGCATAATACGTGTACTAGAGATGAGGGTAAAGATCTGTAGCAACTAAATCAGAATTCAGTAGCAGTTACAAATGGCATCCACATATTTCTATGGATCAAGCAGTTTCTTCTCAACCAATCAACAAGCAGTATTAGTTCAAACTAAGTCAGGTGGATGGGGGATTTATTATTATTATTATTATTATTATTATTATTATTATTATTATTATTATTATTATTATTTTCTACCACAGACGTGGCCACACATTTACAATGCTAACCAGCACATATACGTTTTGTTCTGTCCTCCATGGACAAGGTTAGGGATCTGTTAGACATATAGTTCAGCGATTTATTGAGCAATCAACCATAAAAGGTGATTGTAGTGCTTATAAAATGCTAATCTAACCTACATAAATAAATAAATAAATAAATAAATAAATAAATAAATAAATAAATAAATAAAATACACAGATTTAAGTTTGCCCTACGTAAACAGTGTTCAATGTTTCTTTTTTACATAATGTCATTAATGTGCATTTACAAAGGTGAAATTAATGACATTATGTAAAAAGACTCATTGAACATTGTTTATGTAGGGCAGACGTTAATCTGAGTATTTATCTATTTATGTATGGGGCGATATAAGGCCACCTGACCACAGCATTGGGAGCATTCTCACCACAACTCAAATAGCAATACCACCTCTGATCTGCCTCAACCTAGTCATCCCACAAATGGACTTAGTTACAGCCACCAGTTAGTTTAGTTCTTTTATTATGCACCCCATACCCATCTTGTGGGCTGTAGTGGAAAGGGTTACAGATGCACATAATGGGCTCAGGGACTGAACCCCACAATTCATTTAACTAAGCAAGTTACAATCTTGATGAGCTGGTTACAAAAGTCAATACACATCGTCACATCAACAATGGGTTCGAGATCGACCACAAGTACAGTTTCTAAATTAAGCAACTGTCATAGGTGGAGCAGCTGTCACCATCTGTGCTGCCATCTGCACTCTATAATTCCACCTTACAACTTGCCCTGTCACATTACTGTCATATCATATAACAACCACCATTGTAACCATTTACATCAAATATGTATCTATCTACCATATTGTATTCTTACTGTTTAACCTGTTGGGGGTATTTATTTATTTATTTATTTATATATATATACAAGAGGGTACATTGGGTTTGTGAGAATACATTGGATAGTACAGTATTTACATTCTTGTAAAGCCACTAGTACGCGCAGCGTTTCGGGCAGGTCCTTAATCTAGCAGATAATTTTAAGTAGGTAATTTCTATCAGAATTGATAAATGATAAAGATACATTGCAAGAGAAAAATGAGATGAGAGAGCTTAGTAAGTATATTAAAGCACATTGTTATATTAAAGCTCTGATTGATTACATTGACAGCTACATTGACAGCTGTATGTAAAAGAGTTTAGACAACTTAAGTCTGTAGTCTAAATATACAGGTGTTTTATTCTTAACTAGCCATACATAGTTGTCTTAATAAGAAACATAAATTACTTCTTAACAAGCTATAAACAGTTTTCTTCCTAATGAGGCATAAATAGTTTTACTCTTAGCAAGTCATATAGCTTTCTTATTAATAAGTCACAAATAGCTATCTTCTTAAGCCATAAATAACTTTCTTCTTAAGAAGCTATAAATAGCTCACTTCCTAACTAATTATAAATATCTCTCTTCTTAACATGCCAAAAATAAAGTAAAAACTCACAATTTCATCTCCCTTATGGTATGAAAAACCTTCATCAAAAACAAGACATTTTAAAAAAGGAATATGATAATAAATTATAAAGGGTGAATGGTAGTGTAAGCAAAGTCAGATCACAAAGGTTTCTTCCATATTTATATTTTACACTAAGTCACTGTGGTGCAGTGGTAAAACTCTCACCCGGCTCTTTGCAAGTGCTTTGGTCTGAGTTCGTATCCTGGCCGGGAAGGATTGACCAGGTGCCAATCCTTAACTATAGCCTCTGTTCACCCAGCAGTGAATGGGTACCTGGTTGTTAAATTATTTGGCGGGTTGAATTCTGGGAAAAATCGGGATTAAGGACTTGCCCGAATGGTTAAGCGTGCTAGTGGCTGTTCAAGAATGTAAGAACTCTTGTATATATAAATAAATAAATCAAAACTAAGGTATAAGAGAGGATTAGGACATTGAAAATGGGGTGGCATTTAAAATTGTGGTTTTTATCTTGGTCTATACTAGAGAAGAACTTGACAGTTTGCTCCAAGTTGAACAAATTTATAGTAATGAAGACAAAACATTACATGCTACAAACCCTAAAGATTTCTCAGCAGAATTTGACTACTGAAAGCTTATTATTTCTTCAAACTCTGGCAGTATGTCGGGTCATCGTGTCATATCCAATTCTGCAGTCCACTTCTACTCTGCCACCAAGTTTGCTGTGAGAGCCCTTCTTGAAGGGATGAGGCTGGAACTCCGAGATTTAAAGTCACACATTCGAATTGCGGTAAGGATTTACTAGAACCATAACTGATAATGTAATTTAATGCTTGATGGGTTTGATGCTTCAGTTAAAAGTGATTATTTGATAAGTTGTTTAAGGAGGGCATAACTTAAAAAAGAAAAGGAGAAAATGAACATGTGTTAAGGGGTAGTACTTAAATGTTATATATATAAGATATGGTAACATTGATGGAGTGTTGAAAAATATGAAAATAGTAGAACAATTGTACAGGAGACATTTATACAGAATCTGTACAGTATATTCATTTATAGGCTGTTAGCCCTGGTCTTGTGGAGACCGAAAAATCCTTGAGACTGTATGAGGACGAGGTAAAGAAAATGAACATGAAGTCCCTGAATGCAGATGATGTTGCTGCTTCGGTGATTCATGTCTTGTCTGCTCCACCACATGTCCAAGTAAGTTTATTGTGTGTTCAAAATATTTATTGTGTGTTCAGACATACTGTACCGGGATTGATAATTTTACTTGGTTTAAAATAACTCAATTTGTCAAAATTCATACCTTTTAATTTTTTACATTGTCAAAAATAAGAAACATACTACATGTGACTTATTTTAGTATGCATGTATTTAACATGACTGTGTTTTTAATTTAGTTCATTTATTATGCACCCAATACCCATCTTGTGGGCGGTAGTGGAAAGGGTTACAGAGGCACATATTGGGCTCAGGGACTGAACCCCACAATTCATTTAGCTAAGCAAGTTACAATCTTGATGAGCTAGTTACAAAATTCAGTATACGTCGTCACATCATAAATGGGTTTGAGATCAACCACAAGTACAGTTTCTAAATTAAGCAGCTGACATATGTGGAGAGCTAGTGTCACAATTGATATGTTTGTCCTGCACACCTCTCCCATCCAGTGGGCAGTAGTGGATAGGTTACAGTCATTTAGTTACTACCTACAGTTTGCAAACTGAGGATATTTGGCTAAAATTTCTGGTAGCAGATCATTTTGAATGAAATATTTACACATTGCTGGAACATTGGTTATAGAATTGTCTCTGAATTCACGTATCTTTTCGCACTCCATCACATAGTGATGGAGGGTGTGAGAATAATTTTGTTGACAAAGTTTACATTTAGTCAGGTCTACATCAGCAGATAATGAGAATTCCCAGAAATACCTGTAACTGAGTCTAAGCCGAGCAGTAGTAACATCTAGAAATCTGCTGATTTTATTGGATGAACCATAGATGTGTGGCTCCTCTTGCATGATAGTATGATGATAGAGGGAATTACTGGTGTCGATTTCACTTTTGCCTCAGATCTACAAGATTTTATTGAAGTTCTTGGTGTACTGCTGCTCTCAGATTGCTCATTGACAATCCAAGGTTACACTCAACGTCTCTTTTAAAGGCAGATTCTTTGGCTAACTTATCAGCTCTATCATGCATTCGTGTGCAAGCACAATGCCGTCACAAAGAAGATATGGCATATCTGGTTAGTTTTCCAAGACTTTCTTGGAAATCTGTCATTTATAACAGTTGCATAAATGAACACTGGCAACAAGAGTATTGTATTTTGCTGTTGTGGACATGGAGCTTTAGGCTTATTGAGATTCTCCTAGCCAATGATTCGCCATTCTCCAGGATTCAATAAACAACCGTTGACTAACTCCTGCATATGAATTTTATTACCCTATTCTTGCTCTTTTCTTATGAATTGAGATAACAGAAGAAATAATAATTTTAAGCATTAGGATCACCATATTATACCAAATTTGTTGTGTCTATTATTTTATAATAGAAAAAAATGGCCCAACTAGCCATAATACTTGGGCAGATGTAGCACATACAAGGGGCAATAGCTTTAAACCTCAACAAGCTGTAGTGTACGATTTTCACCCATTGTGTTATAAACTTATGGAACCCATTTACCCACTGAAGCCATAAATGACAAGACATTATTTCAATTTAAAATCCAGTTGGAAAAAATCCTCTAACACAGCAGGGTAGGGGAGATCTTTGACAAGCTGCCAGTTTCCTGTCCCTATTGAGAGATGGTGCCCCTTTGGGTAAATTCAGGTAAAAGGTAAATACAGTAAAATATTAATCTTAATGTTTTACCAATAAAGCAGGTTTACTAATCATGCTAAGCATGATCAAAAGCTAAGCACTAATCAAAATAGTGTAAATTTTAATCATAATGAGGTGTATTTGTGATAGAGTGGATGGTGACAGCATGGGATGAACAGGATTTAGCAATGTAGCCACCAGGCATTTGTACATAATTGCATTCAAGTTTTTACAGTTGTTCATTTGAATATTGCCAATGGTCATAGTATATGAACATAGATTTTTCTGAAAATTTACTAATGTCTGTTTCTGTTAAGGTCTTCAGGAATATTGAAATTGTTGCAAAATAAGTATAAAATCTGCAGGTAATTATATTGTTTACACAAATTGAAATATGCTCATAATAAAGATCTTTAATCTAGCCTTTAAAATATCAGAAAGAGTCGTCTTGACCAGGATGCACTTTTGCACATTACACTTTTTTGCTCTCGACTACTTATTTATCTTTACTTTTTTCACAAAAAGCCATCATATAATATTTCATCTTCACTGCCTATGGAAGTCTTGATCAGGAAAATACTTTTATAGTACTAGTACTGTAATTTGAACCGACATGTGGGAAGGATGTTTTAATAAGTTTTTGATAAAGATACTATCCCTGGAAGTTATTGTATGTCATATTTATAACTAGAAGATCACTTACATGCTGTTAAGTATGACTGTTCAATGCTGGTGAATTATATCTTTGCATTTTATGTAAGTCTTCCCAGCTTGGTGCCTTCTTTTGATAATTACTTACTTTTGAAAAATGTTTATAAGTTATTTGCTGCACATACATCAGACCTAAACTGGAATGTGCAGCTGGGTTATGGTACTTACACTTGAAGAAACATAAAAGATACATAGAAAAGGTCCATAGACTTGAAATGAATTTCATTGCTATAATATAACCAATATAACTGTTGCTGGATATCACCAATGGAGGACAACAAAATAAAAGGGAGACATGATAACTACCTGCAAGTCTGTTTAAGTACATGAGAAGACAGACAAAGGAGGGTTTATGAAGCTGTACATCAACAACGTGAGATGACACAAGAAAACAATATGGTTCAGAAAAATGGCATAGAAACTTTTCTTGACAAATAGTGGCAGTTTGCTGGAATAAACTTCAGAAGGTATTGTATTTACAAGACCACTTGTAATTTTACATATATTTGATAAAATATACAAGGAAAAATAGGAAATGATAAGCACAGCATTATTTGTTTGACTACAGAGGTAATTACAAACAGACAGGACACCATGAGGTTATCCTCTACTTCCACAACTATCAATAGATAATAAATGCATTCTTGAATGCTTGCATTTAGAAAGGTTTATATGCATTTATGTTTGTATGTATTGATGACCTTTTTTTTCCCACAGATTCATGACATCCTCATTCGGCCAACTGACCAGGTGTTATAAGTTGCATGTGACACAGACTGTGACCATAGTACTTACGGTACTGTTTTTTCCACAAACTCTCAAGATGACTTTTGGAATATTCATAACCTATGAAAACATGAAACTGTTGGGCGGAACATTAAAAACTTTTGTCATATACTGTACCGGGTAATTCAGGATTGTGTAAAAAAGAAAAACATATTTGTACTTTTAATGACAATACAGTAATAAAGGAATTCAAAATTTTGTTCCTATGTTTTCTGCTTGGATATATGGTTGAAAGTCAGATTGTTTAATTATGAGGTATGATTTGTGATATACAGTAACTAGCATTGAATTTATAAACACTAATATGATTAGTCTTTTTCTTTTCTGCTAATCTCTTTTTTTTTTTTATAATCGTTAACAATTTCTTAACTTGTCGTGAAAACACTATTTTTTGTTTTTTGCTTTGATAGACAGTTGAATGTCAGATTTTTTGCTTGTAAGGTATGATTTGTGATAGAAATACCATTGAATTTATAATTGGTGTATTGCATGCCTATTTATTGAGATCATAGCTAGCAGCAAGACACATGCCACATACATAGTACATTAATAAAGTGTTTATTTAGGGTGCTTGAAACCTTATCCCTTAACATTGGAGAAGGATGTTTAAAAGGAATTCTATAATTTACTTACCAAAACATGACTTTAAAAATTTCTACCTCTACACCTATTATGAGCTTGGTTCAAGTACAGTACAGCTATTTCTGCTCAGTGACAGTACAAATTAACAATGCCTAAATATTCATTCTGTTATACACTTGCTTGAACTTTAAAATGATTTAATCACTTTAATCACTTTGCATTTACAAAGCAGGTAGATCATTCATCAGGTATAAACTTACAAGCTATATGTGATGAACTCAAATGACTTTAAGAGACATCCTCTTCGAGATTGCTCAGTGGAAAGATAGTAAAAACATATCATGTACGGTTTACAGTGTAACCCTGATAGACTGGATTAACTGATGACTGGAAATATTCCCGATATTGTTGTTCTATTCTGTCAAGGATTTTTCAGTTTCTTTGCCATTTATCACAAATTATTTGGGTGTTTTCTTAGCACAAAGGATAGAATATATCTTAATCTATTTATTTTACACAGCTAAACAATTAATTGAAATTTAAAAATAAAAATATAATAAACACTACTGTATTTGTTTTTCTAGAGATTATCCTTATCTTATTGAAACACTTTTAAACTGATTGATAATGTTCATCATAATTTGAGCACTTGGAAATTTTTTCTCTGAATCACTTCCACCTGGACTTCCTCTAATGGCAATTAAGCTCGAGAGTGAGAGTGGCTTAGGAATAAAGCAACCAACCATTGCTTTCTAGGAAATAAAAGTGGGTATCCATTGGAATAAATTATGTTTTTTTAATTGTAATGAATTAAAATTAATTTTAATTAATTAATTAAAATTAATTTTAATTAATTAAAAAAAAAATTTAATTTAATTTTTTTTTTAATAAATTGTGTATTTTAGACAGCATTGATGAGTAAATCTTTGAAAATTCTGTAGAGACAATTCTTGACCTATACTTCTTCTCAATTATTATTATTATTATTATTATTATTATTATTATTATTATTATTATTATTATTATTATGTGCTCTCACCTGGACTACTGCATAAAAGTATAGAGATATCTGGAAAAAAATACAACCACACTGGAAAATGTTCTTTGCAGTGGCAAAAATAATCTTGGTTAAGGGCTCTAGGACAAGCAACTACAAACATACCACAACTGGCTTGATCTCATTGAAGCCTTTAAAATACTAAACAAATTAGAAGGCATCTAGACATCACTTCTTTAAAAGGTCAAAATGTCTAGTATAAATTGCACAAAAGCACAACAACTTCTAGTTAAAGAAGCTTGAGTAGAAAACTCAATTTTCAATCTCTCCCTCCTTATCCCTCTCCACTCTCTTCTCCCTCCCACTCTCTCTTTCAGCTGAACTCGAGTTTACACAGGGCTCCTTGTAGTACAGGGAAATCGCGGTATAAATATGCTGATTTTGATGTCTGTTACTCCAGCATCGGGAGGTGAAGCTATTGTGACAGTGGAGTGTGGGGTAGAGGTGGGGTACACGATGGGAAGTGTCGAGGTAGCTGAAGGTGTTGTTGGAGCCTTTTCAGCTGCAGGTGGAATTGCTGAAGGAAAAATAATTGCCTCTAAACCAGAAGTAGAACTGCTGAACCTTGCAGGTTCAGTAGGTCTGCCGGGAAATAGTATAGTCTTGAGCAGTCCAGGGTTGTCAATTGGTTCAAATGACTCCAAGATTGCAGGCAACAATGAAACCTCCTCCTGTGTCTCCTGTAATACCTCCAGTGCCTCCTGTTGTGTGTCCGGTGCTTTCTGTTGTGACTCTTGCAGTGCCTCTTGTTGTGACTCTTGCAGTGCCTCTTGGTGTGACTCTTGCAGTGCCTCTTGGTGTGACTCTTGCAGTGCTTTTTGTTGTGACTCTTGCAGTGCCTCTTGTGACTCTTGCAGTGCCTCTTGTTGTGACTCTTGCAGTGCCTCTTGTGACTCTTGCAGTGCCTCTTGTTGTGACTCTTGCAGTGCCTCTTGTTGCGACTCTTGCAGTGCCTCTTGTTGTGACTCTTGCAGTGCCTCTTGTTGTGATTCTTGTGCTTCCTGTGGTACATCTTGCAGCTCCATCAATGATACTTCATGTGGTGCCTTCTGCAGTTTATTCTTCATTGCCCCTGACAGAGCCTCCTTCGTGATGCTGAAGGATGATTTGGCCACCTTTGATTCACCTGAGGACTGAAGTCTCTGAGGCACGAGGCCTACAAGAGGTTGGTTTCCTTGAGAGTTGTCTTGCAGTGGACGTTGTTCATGAAAGAAAGGGGAGCGGAAAGAATCTGGAATGAGAATTAGCTTCCTCTGCATACCATCAACATTAAGCAGGGATGAGGAAGTAGTGGGAATTGTCTGTGGTTGAAGTGATGCATGGGGAAGATTGGACGTTGTAAAGAACAGTGAAGTGCTTGCGTGAGGGAGTAGAAAACTGGCATAGGGAAGCGGAATCTGCGACACATATAAGTTGTTGTTCCAAATGTGTATAGGCTGCACTGTTACTTGGCTTTGCGAGGTGTGTGGGAATGGTGCGGACCACGTGGGTGTCCTCTGATTGTCTAAGCTGTGGGCAAGAGTGTTGCTGGCGACTGTGGAGAGAGAGAGAAGACAGTCATTCTCAGAGTTACTATAATGAAAATAATTTTGCATGCATTCATCAGTAATATTTGTTTATTAACTACAATATATGGTAGGTAATATATGCAATTTTTTTCGTGGGTACTTGTCAAGTTATCTTCCCCTTTATAGAATTGATCCTCAGGGGGTGTGAGTGCTTCAGGTGCTCCTGTTAGCAGAGGCAGCAACAAAGTGTCCGGTAAACTGCCTTCATTTGGAATTATCACGTCGTATTTTGACGTATTTTGACGTATACTTTGCCCAAGGCCAAAAACTGTCGTACTAGAAAATGGTAGCGGCTCACGAAATTGACATAACGGCCCCAGTTTTTATTCGGTTCGAGATCGATCACAAGTACAGTTTCTAAATTAAGCAACTGACATATGTTGAGAGCTAATGTCACAATTGATATGTTTCTCTTGCACACCGCCCCCCATCCAGTGGGATAATGTAACGATGTGTATTGAATTTTGTAATTAGCTCATCAAGATTTAACTTGCTTAGCTAAATGAATTGTGGGGTTCAGTCCCTGAGCCCATTATGTACCTCTGTAACCCTTTCCACTACCGCCCACAAGATGGGTATGGGGTGCATAATAAATGAACTAAACTAACTTTCTGTTCGGGGGGGGGGGGGGGGTTTCTGGTAGATTAGGATAAGGCACTTTAGTACGACAGTTTCTTGATGATGGGAAGGTTTGCGAGAACGGGCTGCTGGATTAACACTTCCATAAGTCGATTATAAACGATACGTCACAAGAATAACTAGGACATATCCTTAAATTAATAACTTGTGTTACTTGGGGCGTATATTTAGCTACATATATTTATTAATTAGGATAAACTTGATTATGCGTTGACCTGAACAAAATCGAATCGTCCGTTGAACTGATCCAGATTGATGCCCATCTTGGTTCCGAAAACACGAAAGTCGTGTTTTTGTGTTTACAAGACCACATCCCAAAAGTATCAGTGTAATTTTCGTGAATTAACAATGCAATTTTCTTAAATAAACAATATTTTTTTCAGAATTAACAATGTAAGTTCCTTAAATAAATAATGAAAATTTTCGCTGAATTAGCAGGGTCGGGTCCCACGTCAAGACAAAATAGTCCAGTCACTATACTCTCATTTTCCCGTGATTCTCACCTGTCGTACCGTCCTGCTGGTCGTTGTGGCCATCATCGAGGTGTAGCGACGTTCCCGAGGAGAATGACAGACCGCCTTTCTGTTCATCCTGGAGGCCTGCAGCAGCAGCGACGGTGCCCCCCTTGGGGCCTTGCTCGTCCTGGAGGTCTGCAGCAGCAGCGACGGTGTCCCTCTTGGAGCCTTCCTCGTCCTGGAGGCCTGCAGCAGCAGCGACTGTGCTTCCCTTGGGGCCTCGCTCATCCTGGAGGCCTGCAGCAGCAGCGGCGGTGTCCCCCTCGGGGCCTTCCTCGTCCTGGAGGCCTGCAGCAGCAGCGACGGTGTCCCTCTTGGAGCCTTCCTCGTCCTGGAGGCCTGCAGCAGCAGCGACTGTGCTTCCCTTGGGGCCTCGCTCATCCTGGAGGCCTGCAGTAGCAGCGGCGGTGTCCCCCTCGGGGCCTTCCTCGTCCTGGAGGCCTGCAGCAGCAGCGACGGTGTCCCTCTTGGGGCCTCGCTCATCATGGAGGCCTGCAGTAGCAGCGGCGGTGTCCCCTTCGGGGCCGTGAAGTAAGACCAACAAAACAATGGTGATCAGTCGATCGGGCCGCATAATTTCACGCGTCGATACAAGTTTATGAGATACCTGCTTGATGGGCCTCTGGGAGTTCTTCTACTCCCCAAGCCCGGCCCAAGGCCAGGCTTGACTTGTGAGAGTTTGGTTCACCAGACTGTTGCTTGGAACGGCCCGCAGGCCGAGGGCCTGTGATTATGCCAGATCAGACCCTAGTTCTCCATTTAGTACTTCTACTTTCACTTCTACTTTTTTTTTTCCCACAAAGACCTGGTCACATTATTAGAGCGAATAACTTATTTTTCACGTAGACTTGTGGATTATTTTATCTGGGCATTTAAGTGTGTATTTTATTAATGCACACGTAACAGAAGTGACACGTTTGTTGCCTAGTAAGTACTTTTGTTGTCGTTTTGAGAAATCAGCTCTCACTCGAAGCCAGAATTTTGTTAGATTGAAAATGGGAAGCCGTTCTTAGTGTCGTATACTACAGTTGAGTAGTATCTAACCGCACAGTTGCGAGATCCTCTACGGCATATTGGATCCAGAAGAGTCCCCTCAGGAGTAAGGTGAACGGTAGGAGTTGGAAGGGACGACTGGCGAGCTCTGTCCACTGAAGCAGGGAAGGTCGACGTCCCCAGCATGTGGTTGCAATGTCTTCTCTGAATATTATGGTCACTGGAATGACCTCATGCGGACCATCCGAGCACAGCATTTTCTAGCAACATGCTAGAAAAAGATTCGAAAAGTATAAATATGAAACAAATACGTCCAATTCTAAAAAAAAAGTATTTGTCTCGGTTTTGACAAAAGGAGCAGCTGTTGTCCTTGAACGAATACTTTAAATTACGCCTGTTCGTCTGACTGTGTGTTTAGCTTAACCTTCTGCCTTTGGACATGTTTGCTTGCCACTGTGTTCACAGGATCAACCCGTGACAAGTGGCCTGGGCTCGTCCCGCCCTCCCTGTCTGCCTCGGCAGTGTTCAACGTATCTGGGAGAGGAAGTATACCTGGTTGATACCTGGTTGATGGGGTTCTGGGAGTTCTTCTACTCCCCAAGCCCGGCCCGAGGCCAGGCTTGACTTATGAGAGTTTGGTCCACTAGGCTGTTGCTTGGAGCGGCCCGCAGGCCCACATACCCACCACAGCCCGGTTGGTCCGGCACTCTTTGCAGGAATAAATCTAGTTTCCTCTTGAAGATGTCCACGGTTGTTCCGGCAATATACAAGTTCTGACTTAATATATATCTTGGCTCTTACTACAGACACAACAATGTACTGTATTGTACTGCCCGAAACGCTTTGCGTAATAGTGGCTTTAGGCATTGTATGTACTAGCTCTATCTATAAAGCCAACAAACTTTGTAAAATCTCTTTATGTATGTACCTTACCTAAATAAATTATTATTATTATTATTATTATTATTATTAATATTATATTGCACAAATATGTTTGAAGTGGGTGAATGACTAAGATAAACATGTGTGCATATGGATAAATTATTTCACTCAGGATGCTCGTATATTTTCACAAACTTAAATAATGTTATATAACATAATTATATGTTACATAACATAGGAGTTATTTATTATATAACATATAAATTTGATATTACCTCTCTCTTAAGATCAACCATGCCCTCTCTGACCAGCCACGCCTCTCTCCCTATCCTATCCCTCTCCACTCTCTTCTCCCTCTCACTCACTCTCTTTCAGCTGAACTCGAGCTTACACAGGGCTCCTTGTAGTACAGGGAAATCGAACACATGACAACGAAGGCAGGAAAAACAGATGATATCCACTGGAAGATTCTATGATATATGAATATGAGGATTGCGCCGAATTTTATTCTGTTCAATAAGAATCATTTCACCATTAAAACAAAATAAAGTTAAATTCAAAGAAAGTTGTTATTCATAAACTTAAATAATCTCGAATATTGCAGATTTAGTTTCTTAAATTTGTATTCAGTGTACGGAAACATGCGCAAGCACACCAACCAACACGAAGATAACATAACCGTGAACCTGACTGACTAGTTGCTCTTGAGAAAGCACAGGGTCAAACTGACACCTCCAGGGTGTCGGCTCTCTGCTGCTGCTGCTACTGAGAGAGAGAGAGAGAGAGAGAGAGAGAGAGAGAGAGAGAGAGAGAGAGAGAGAGAGAGAGAGAGAGAGAGAGAGAGAGAGAGAGAAAGAGATAGAGAAAGAGATAGAGAGACAAAGAGATAGAGAGACAAAGAGATAGAGAGACAAAGAGATAGAGAAAGAGATAGAGAAAGAGGTAGAGAGAGAGAGAGAGAGAGAGAGAGAGAGAGAGAGAGAGAGAGAGAGAGAGAGAGAGAGAGAGAGAGAGAGAGAGAAAGAGATAGAGAAAGAGATAGAGAGACAAAGAGATAGAGAGACAAAGAGATAGAGAGACAAAGAGATAGAGAAAGAGATAGAGAAAGAGGTAGAGAGAGAGAGAGAGAGAGAGAGAGAGGGGGGGGGGAATAAATATGCTAGCTGATATACAAGTGTAGAATTGATTTGAAATGTTCCATATACATTATTAAGCATAATTTCCAACCTATAGAAGACAATAACAATATCAAATGTAAACTCCGTGCTTTAAGACCTTCAATTCTCACATTAAAGAGTGACCCTCAACAATGGCAGCGAAACAGCACGTGTAGAGTCTTAAGAGACCCAAATATTATTGGGGAGCTAGACAAAATTTCTCTCCTTTTCCGGGTCCAGAGAAACTCACGCACCTGGGTCACCTGGTCAGGCGAGGGACTGCATCAGAGGAACAAGCTCCCCGCACGCCTCAGACATCTCCCTTCAGTTATATAAAAGCTCAGCACACAGGAAGTCACAGCAGTTACAGCCCCCGTTCCTGTGCCAGGTAAGTCCACTACGGGCTCACCATAGCCCGTGCTACTTGGAACTTTTTGTTCCCAGTAGCTGAATCTATAACAACAACAACAACAACGGAAGTCACAGGAATTCCGGGCTCACCATAGCCCCGTGCTACATAGACATTTCGTTCTGAGTAGCTAAATCTATAACAACAACAACAGGAAGTCTCTGACGGGTTCACCATAGCCCGTGCTACTTGGAACTTCATGTTCTGAGTAGCTGAATCTAAAACAACAACAACAGGGGTCTCTACTGTTGATACAATTCTCGTGGAGTTTATCGACAGTGTTCTGTTACACCGTGTGATGTGATTTCCCATAACGGCACAAAAGGATATGGACTACACACGTCTCCTTGCTTTTAAGTATGCGTATATACATTGATATTCTCCAAATAATATAATCTACAAGTGTATGTAAAGTAAGTTATTCACTCTTAAGACTGTGTGCAGGTCTATAAGAAGAAAACATATATAGAGATGAACTCAAGTAGAAGGAGAACTAGAGTCTGATCCGGCCATCATCTCATAAACTTGTATCTTGACGCGTGAAACGATGAGGTCCGAACTAATCACCATCGTGCTGTTGGTCCTACTTCACGGCCCCGAGGGGGACACCGCCGCTGCTGCTGCAGGCCTCCAGGACGAGCAAGGACCCGACGGAAACACCGCCGCTGCTGCTACAGGCCTCCAAGACGAGCAAGGACCCGAGGGAAACACCGCCGCTGCTGCTGCAGGCCTCCAGGACGAGCAAGGACCCGAGGGGGACACCGCCGCTGCTGCTGCAGGCCTCCAGGACGAGCAAGGACCCGAGGGGGACACCGTCGTTGCTGCTGCAGGCCTCCAGGACGAGCAAGGACCCGAGGGGGACACCGCCGCTGCTGCTGCAGGCCTCCAGGTTGAACAGAAAGGCGGTCTGTCATTCTCCTCAGGAACGTCGCTACACCTCGATGATGGCCACAACGACCAGCAGGACGGCACGACAGGTGAGAATGATAGAAAAGTGAGAGTATAGTGTTTGAACTATTTTGTCTTGACGTGGCACCCGACCCTGCTAATTTAGTGAAGTTTTAATTGTTTATGTAGGGAAATTACATCGTTATTTCTCGGAAATTACATTGTAAATTCAGGTAAATATTAATTATTAATTGAGGAAAATTACATTGGTAACCTTGGGACTTGGTCTTGTTAAAAGACACGATTATGTTTTTTCAGAACCGAAATGGACATTGTATCATAATCTGAATCAGTACACCGGGCAGACCAATTTTGTTCATGTTAATACATTATTTTAATCAAATTAACCCTAATTAAAAACAAATAAATGATACTATAGCTAATCTAGATATATATCCCCAAGTAATACAAGGCATTAATTTGACGACATAACCTAGTTATTCTTGGGACATGTCGTTTTTAGTCGACATTTGGACCTGTTAATCAAGAGATGTGACTGTAACTTCAAGCAGCAAATCTCAAATTAAAGCAGTTTACCGGGCACCTTGTTGCTGCTTCTGCTTACAGGTGCACCTGGTCGGTGGCAGAGCACCTGGTCGGTGGCAGAGCACCTGGTCGGTGGCAGAGCACCTGGTCGGTGGCAGATCACCTGGTCGGTGGCAGAGCACCTGGTCGGTGGCAGAGCACCTGGTCGGTGGCAGAGCACCATCACCTCCAGGCACTGACGACCGTGGCGTTGCTTCTAAATATATATAAATACATGAACACGTGTATACATTTAAGTAGACAGACTCAAAGACAAAAAATATACTTCACAAGCATGTGTGCATCGTTTTTATTAGCTCATTTTTTTAACTGGCTAGGGTTCATTAGGAATTGTGCTACAGTTCTTCATGAAATTGCAACCTAAGTGCTGCTACATCAGCTCATTTGAAGCCTGTCCCTAGAAACTCCACAAGTAAGCATAAAATTGCATAACAACTGCTTACTCTTCTTGGTCCTAACGAGGACAACGGTGCCCATTCTTATTGGTCCCAACAAAGACCAGCATATACGTGTGAATGGACCATTTCTTGGGTCTTGAGTCAGTACTCCAGACCGAAGGAGACAGGAAAGTATATATATCCATAACATGACTGGCTATTTGTGAGCAGTGGAGTCCTCATGCCAAGCCAGCGGGGGATATAGGGGTACTCCACAGACTGATTATAACATCGTTAGAAAGGTTCGATGACGCACAGGTAAACTCTGAGACCACTGGATTCTTGGGTCCGGGCCAGAACTGCTCGGCCACCCCACACGCACATAAAAAAATGGCCACGTGATGCAGAAACATTTTATCTGAGCCTGAGGCTCGTTTTCTATGTTGCTTACCTGGTAAATCCGGTTGACCACGTCACTCCTACATGTTGTTTCAGTGATGTTTCTTATATTTGCTGGCGGGAGGTTGAAGACGAACTGGCCTCGTCTGTTATGCAGTATTCTCTAATTGTGCTTATGACACCTCGACTTGTCATAACATATCTTCTAGTATGTTGTAATATTATTGTGCAGGTTTGAAACCTGATTTTCCAGTATTTTCCAGAGAGTACAATTTGAATGCTTCGGCGCGATCTCTGTAGATAATGTGGGTTGTAAATATTTTCTGTTATATTGTCTATCTCGGAATTATCGTCTGCCTTGAAAGACTTTGCAGGTGTTTCCGTATATTGTAATTAATAAACACATATATGAAAAATCCTGCATATGTGCAAAAATTACCTTCGTTATAGTAACTCTGGGACCTCTTTTTCTCCACAGGTGGCAGCAACACTCTCATCGTCAACCCAGGCGCACGGAGGTCATCTGAGTGGTCCGCGCCGCCCCCACACACCTCACAGAGTCAAGTGCCAGGTCAGGTTATACACACCTGGCACGCCAACCTGTACATGTCACAGGTTCCACTTCCCTACGCCAGTGTGGGCTTCACTCTGCCAAGCTCTACACTGCTCTCTCCCACGTCCACTTTTCAGCATGCATTGCTTCAACCACAAACAATTCCCGCTTCTTCCTGGGCTCCGCTTAATGTTGATGATATGCAGGAAGAACTAACAGCTGTTCCCAGTTCTTCCCATTACCTTTTCCTTCGTGATAAACTTCCGGCGAATCACATGACTCAAGGAATCCAACCTCTCGTTGACCTCGCGCCTCAGAAACTTCAGTCCTCGGCCAGTTCGTCCTTCAGCATCACGCAGGAGGCCATGCAGGGGTCACTGCAGAAGAAACTCCTAGAAGTACCACGTCAAGCATCGTTGGAGCGACTGCAGGGCTTACCATGGAAAACATTGGAGGAAGCACATCAGGAGGCACAGGACACATTGCAGGCACAACCGGATGAACTGGAAGTAGTACAGGAGACACAGATGGAGAAGTCTTCATTGTCTCCAGTGTTCTTAGAGTCCTTCATGCCTTCTGACGAATCTGTACAGTTCAGGGCCATACTATACCCTGGCAAACCTGTTGCACCTGTCCGGACAAAGATAAAATCCTCCAAAACCAACATCGTATACCCTCAGAAGCCTTTAATTTCTGGCTCAGAGAAGATTGTTATTCCAACGACACCTCGGCCTTCGCCTTCAGCTGTGAAGCGTCCAATCAGACCTCCAGCTGATCCGTCCATCCCAATCATGTTCCCCACCTCCACCTCGAACTTCACGGTCACTACACCATCACCTCCCGACGCTGGAGTGACCGACACCAAAATCAGCATATTTATACCGTCTCACTGTATTCAACCGTGTGCTCGAATACCCGTCTGATATATATATATATTCCTTCTGAAGATGTATTAATATACGAAAGTACTTAAAGAAATTCCTGTTTCAATTCTTCCTCCGTGGTCTGACACTGTCACATTTTTCATCACGTGTTAATTTTCATGATTTACACACACACACACACATTATATATATATATATATATATATATATATATATATATATATATATATATATATATATATATATATATATATATATATATATATATATATATATATTGTACCTAGTAGCCAGAACGCAGTACTCGGCCTACTATGCAAGGCCCGATTTGTCTAATAAGCCAGATTTTCCATAATTTATATATTTTTCTATTTTTTTCTTATGAATGATAAAGCTTTTCATTTCATTATGTATGACTTTTATTTTTTAAAATTTGCGTTAAGCTAACGTAGATATATGACCGAACCTAACCAACCCTACCTAACCTAACCTATCTTAACCTAACCTCAACTAACATAACTAAGTCAATAATTTATGTTCTTAATATAATATAATAATAATAATTCAAATAAACCAATTGGAAACATTTTGTTGAAAGTAAAGAAAATCACTCGGCCTATTAGGCAAATCGGGCCTTGCATAGTAGGCCGAGAAGTGCGTTCTGGCTACTAGGTACGATATATATATATATATATATATATATATATATATATATATATATATATATATATATATATATATATATATATATATATATATATATATATCTGACATATGACCGTTTTAACACTAATGTGGGGCTTTACAGTTGAAGTATATTGGAAACTTAAAAAGTGTTAACAGTGTGTATTCCTCCTAAGTCTATTGGTCTATTATCGTCCGACTAGGTTGGGCTCGTGCATCAAGGCTTGAGCCTCTTGACAACAGGGTAGGCCTTGACGACGAGGAGAAGGTTGGTCAACTTGTCTAATGTGGCGTCCTGAGCCTCTCTGTCATGCCAGGAGTTGAGGAGCTCGTAGGCACGGTCGACGCTGCGGGTGTTGTCAGCCTCGAGGTTGTCGATCTGACCCGGGGAGAACCCCATCAAGCGGCCCAGGGACTTCCAGGTCGATCCTAGGTGTTCGCTAACCACAAACTTGTCGCGCTCCTCGATCTCCCGCCTGCACCTGGGGTACACACCACACGCTGTCACACACATGAAGACAACTCCAGCAGGAGCACATCCTTCGTCAAAATGAAGAATCAGAATAGGATAAAGAAACAGCGTTTACATAGAAGTAATAAGAGATCGTCTGCATCGTGTGTTGAACTCAGGAAGCAAATTAAGAAAAATGGGCTTTAGGGTATACTGCGACAAAGTTGATGAACACTTTTAAAATGAATGAAAGTACTGTTACGTTTAAATCAGAACATAGGCAATAAACCACACATTCGTCTACGAGAGCACCACAACGGCTTACCTCCGTAGGGCGTCCACGTCTTTCTGTAGAGGCATGTCCTGAGGGCTGAGCCGGGGACGCTGCTGGGACACGGTGTGGTGGATGACGGGGCCAATGTGGACACCCGTGCTACCGGTGATGTTGTACACCAGCGGCTCCTGAATGAGGCTATCATTTACCACTCAACCCAGTCATAGTAATATCATTTACACTATGAATGAGCAGTTACATTTACATTATGCTATTCACAGGATTTATACTATGAATGTGCAGTTATGTGATTTACACATTGAGGATATTCACGTGATTTACACAATGAGAATATTTACGTGACTTACCTTCCTCACAGACTGCAATGACACACACACACATATATATATATATATATATATATATATATATATATATATATATGTCGTACCTAGTAGCCAGAACGCACTTCTCAGCCTACTATGCAAGGCCCGATTTGCCTAATAAGCCAAGTTTTCATGAATTAATGTTTTTTCGACTACCTAACCTACCTAACCTAACCTAACCTAACTTTTTCGGCTACCTAACCTAACCTAACCTATAAATATAGGTTAGGTTAGGTTAGGTTCGGTCATATATCTACGTTAATTTTAACTCCAATAAAAAAAAAATGACCTCATACATAATGAAATGGGTAGCTTTATCATTTCATAAGAAAAAAAATAGAAAAAATATATTAATTCAGGAAAACTTGGCTTATTAGGCAAATCGGGCCTTGAATAGTAGGCCAAAAAGTGAGTTCTGGCTACTAGGTACGACATATATATATATATATATATATATATATATATATATATATATATATATATATATATATATATATATATATTATCGTTCTATGTATAGTTGGGCGTAGGTAGAGTTAGGTTAGGTGTTTTAAGTTTTTTTTGCGAGTACTTGTGATTTTAATAAGTGGGTGAAAGTTGCGATTCAGGCAACCCGTCCTCGACTCAAGTCCATTACATCCAGCGGTCGACCCCACAGACGCATTCATAAATTTTTACATGCTGTTCATTCAAAACGGGAATTTTCTCAAATATTATTTAATATAATAATATATTTGCATATTGTGCATATATAGGCACAGGTTAGGTTAGGTGTTTAAGTTCTGTTGGCGATTATTTTTATTTGTAGTACGTGGGTGAAGCATTTACAGCGTTGTGGTTCGAACAAAATTCGTCAGTGAAGCACTTGTTCCGGAATTGTTCGGACCTCATTAGTTGTGAGTCGTGTGTAAACCGTTTTTCATCCATAAATGAGGGGGGGGGGGGGTTGGCGGGTGCATGGAATGGACTTTGGGTCTTTGTTTAAAGGACGTGCTGGTGAATGATACAATTAACCAGTGAACCCCACCTCTCATAACTACTGAACCAGTGAACCCCACCCGTCATGACTACTGAACCAGTGAACCCCACTCATGATCCACTAAACCAGTGAAGCACACCTCTCATGAGCACTGAATCAATGAACTACACTCACCCGTTGCAGGTTTCTACTTCCTCTCAGTTCATCGGATCTATGATTGGGTTGGCTGCCCATGGGAACAGCATCGGTGGTCAGGTCCCCCATAGTGTAGTGTGTGAGGGCGTCGTCCGTGTAATACCGGTAAGCAGTGGAGGTGTTACGATAAAGACTTTATCCGCAGAGTGCTGTATAACGGAGTATGCTCAAATCGTAACCAAGACGATTCGACAGAGCTCGTTTTCTGTTTTTTTAAAACCGTATATATTGTTAGATTAAGATGGGTAAAAGGTTTCAAAATCCGTTGTCTTAGGTGCAATATGACTTGTATCTTAAGTAACCTGGAAGGTAAAGAAAACACGGGTTGTTAGGGGGTCTACTATCGTACTGTTGCTTCAACATGACCTAGTTGTGTACAGCGTGTCCGGATGGGAACGTTATAGGAGAGTTGCCCCTCGGGTGGCCAAGGTCAGGCGGTGACCAGCGTTCATATCTTGTATACTTTTTATAGGCATTTGCAGCCGTTCACAGTCTGATATATGTATACCCTTGGAGACTCTAGCATATCTGTCTATATACAGCCAATCGTAGTATTAACTAACAATAGTAATATTAAATAAAATAAATTAAGTCTAATAGGCTTCCTCCCCCTCTCGCATGTACACAGGTATGAAGACCTTCTTACTCAATGCACCTGTTGCTTAGGCCCATATTACACCTAAGTCTTTTTATTTGTTCCAAGTACTTTTATGTTATTATGTTTATCTTATATTTTTCACTTCAGATATTTAAGTGTGGGGGTCAACGTTCTAACACGAGACAATGCAATATATCGCTGTAATGTAAGTGTTTGCAATTTACAAACTGGCAACTGTGTCATATCCGGATTCAATGTTGCCATGTTGCCAATATAATCACACGCTATTCCTATATTACATACATATACATATATATATATATATATATATATATATATATATATATGCGTATAATTTCTAACGCTTTATATTCAGTGTTAAAATAATGGCTTTAATACTTAAAATTGGTACAGGAAATCCCTAGGCACGCGTTGATATTGGGCATCATAGAGCACGGGGCAAGATTACGATTTACTCTGAATATAAACAATCATGATTCCTGCCTCTACACTTGTCTTGGTGATGTTTACTGAGTGCCGTGGCGCCAGGCATGTGCGCCATAACACCCGCTCACTACACACGCACGCCAGGGTAGGCAACAACGACGCCAAACTGTGAGACTGGAGGTGGAGGAGGCGGCAAAACGGGCACTGACAGCACTAGGTGTTGTCACCTCAGGCGAGGGAAGGGCACTAGAGGCGGCCGTCCACATACGTACACTACCACACATAGTGTACACTGGATACGTAATCCTGTGGTCCGGGGTTCGATTCCCGGCGCCGGCGAGAAACAATAGGCAGAGTTTCTTTCACCCCTGATGCCCCTGTTACCTAGTAGTAAATAGGTACCTGGGAGTTAGACAGTTGTTACGGGCTGCTTTCTGGGTGTGTGTGGAAAAACAAAAATTAGTTAGTAGTTAGTAACAATAGATTGCTCTTTCGGCCCGCCTCTCAACTGTCAAAGCTCAACCCCCCGCAAGCATAACTAGGTGAATACATATTCATACACCATTAAACTAGAGAAGGGGACCATTATATAAATACATATAACTTATAAACCGTTAGAATGCATAGATTACTAGACCGCCTGGACTGTGACAGAAAAAGAAGATGGACTCAGACAAGGGTGACGATGACTGAGGTTGATAGGGATGACAGGTATGAGGAGCGTACAAGTGGTGGTTGGACTTCATGTCATGGGAGAGAAACTCTCCCGAGGCTACACCAGTGGAACAAGCCACACCTGACCCACACCTGAGAGGGAGGGATACGATGCCTGCAGGACGGGAAGGCGAAATTGCAAACTGAGTCCTCCAAAGTTGATTAAATCCCAGGTACCTATTTACTGCTAGCTGAGCAGATGCATTTGTTGAAAGAAAACGTGCCCAACATTTCTGTTAAGACCGGGATTCAAACCAATGATTTCCGATGATTGTGAGTAGAGAAGGAACCCAACCGAGACACCCCATCCTTTTCTTGATAACCTTGAACGACTGCTATACAGCCTAATTCCTTCCTTGTCGTTATCTGTAGGTGATCTAAATTATTTATGAAGTAAAACATTAAAATATACATGATTGCAAATAACTGTACCTGAAGTTTGGCCCAAATAAATGCAAGGTCACGAGGATGGGAGAAAGTTGATGATGGCGGCAGTGGCCGCTGTGGCCGGGTGAGGCTGCCAGCACCAGAACACCGCACGGAAGTAAGGCCGGCCACCACACCATGCAGACCTTTCTCCCGTACAGAGAAAGTAAGTGGTACATGTAATGCTGGCAAATTCTGAAAATGAAACATCAGAAATCTAAGCAAGAAATTAATGTAAACGGTGCACATCACATAGTGATATCATTACCCCTATTGGATGTGTTAAATCTTACCTATATATTGAGATCATTGAGCACGATGCCATCTCTTCCAAGGCACATGCACATACAAAACCATCCAAGATCATCATATACTATGCAACATTTGTTAATGAAAATCTGCCATGTCTTTATAAACAACACGAAAAGCCTGTAGAAAAACTGGAGGTTGCAATGGGATCCGACCTCTTCTAAAGGAGGTCAATGGGGCGAATCCCGATTTGTCTATGACAGTCCTCCTATCCAACCCCTACCAAGTTGAGAGAGGCAAGCCCCCAAACGTCTGGCTTCCTTCCTCAGATGAACAGACATCTCTGTTCAGAGTACCACCTCTGGGAGTACCAGAGGTGGTACTACACATGTATATATATATATATATATATATATATATATATATATATATATATATATATATATATATATATATATATATATATATATATATATTTATATATATATTTATATATATATATATATATATATATATATATATATATATATATATATATATATATATAATATAAAATAAGGGGTACCACCTCTGGTGCAATTGCAGGGACCCACATCCTCGAAGAAGAAAACAAAAAGCATTCAGAGAAGACTTTGTGGATTCTCACTGAAAACTTTAATCTTTTTTCCTCTCCTACCATCCCTATTATTTTTTTGTATGTTTTGTTATATATATATATATATATATATATATATATATATATATATATATATATATATATATATATATATATATGTGTGTGTGTAATATATTTTATTTATTTATATATATACAAAAAAGTACAGTGAAAGTACATTTGTTGGTGATTAAGTGGTACATTAATTGGTGGAGTTCATAAATATACAGTATCAATTATTTTTTACATCTGTCTTTTAAATTTGATTAATACTCCTCGACACATATTATATCACTTAAATTACATACGCCAGTTGTCAGTAACTGCATTAATGTGGTGCAAATAGACTAATACTCTCAGAAGAAGTATGGGTTGCAAAATAATCTATCACAGGATGAGTATGGAATGCATAATAACTCCTGCTTAGATTTGATTTGAATTAAATAATTAGTTATAAAATATTAAAGTTACCCATTATATTCTGATGGATTAAAATTTTCTTCAATAATAATTCTTCATAGAAAACGAAATGGTAGGCATATCTAATAATATTTAAATGAACATTAAATAAATAAATAAATAAATGTTTATTTAGGTAAGGTACATACATACAAGAAATTTTTACAAAGATTGGTTGACTTATAGGTAGAGCTAGTACATACAATGCCTAAAGCCACTATTACGCAAAGCGTTTCGGGCATTACATATTCTATTGTTGTCTAGTCACCCATCCACATACTGGCCAGGCCCAATGGTGGTGAGTTCCGCGCATGTCATCCACTGCCACAGTTACTGTACAGAATATGCAAGCTCACGTGGTCATAAATACCAGAATTTACTTGAGGGGTCACCATCTTCGGCAGCCTTGGCAAGGGACAGGAAGCTGACGACTTGTCACTAGTCAGCTTCTTGTTCCCTACCACCATTATCTTGCCTTTATGTTGGTTAAAGTCTAGAAGCCATTTTCTTGTCCATCTTTAATGCTTATCCAAATCATCTTGCATCTTTTGACTTTCTCTGCAAAATCCGCGACATTGGTGTGAATTCCTCCTTTAAATCATTCACATATGCCAGGTATATCACAGGTCCTCGTGCTGACACTCCACGTGAGAGAGTGTGAGTGTGTGTGTGTGTGTGTGAGTGTGTGTGTGTGTGTGTGTGTGTGTGTGTGTGTGTGTGTGTGTTTGTTGTTTGTTGTTTAATCTGTAGCCACTGACCACAGAATAATGAGATGTGTACATATTACATTCTCTCTCTGAACACATAAGTTGGTCGGCTAGGCATCGTCGAGCGAGCAAGCAGACAGCCTAGCTGCATGGGTAACGATGCATGATAATGTATTATTAGGACTCGCAGCAGGCCATTTGAGAAGGAGATCAACAGGTTAGGGGGAAACCATTGGGTGAAATTCTCATGTTTGCTTCTTGTTCAACCGTGCAGTCATAAGGGAAAACATCGATTAATATAATATATTTTTAATTAGTTCACGATATTTAACGTAAAGGATGAGATTTTGTACTAATGAGTCAAATAATTTTTTAATTTGATTTAATGTTTATATTATATTGTTGTGATAAGATAGTGATATCTAGCTCTAGAGCCCCGCCTCCTAGCTGTTGAAATTTGTGCATTTGTGCCGCCCGACGCACTGGTGTCATTATAGGTGCTCTAGGAACTGTGGCAGGTGGTCGCTTCCACCACCTCTGGTTCTTGAAGCTATGGTCATTGAACCGCCTGTTGTTCAAGTTCACTCCGATTCTTTACCAGTCTCACTGTATACTAGTATTTACTAATATTTTTTCTATCTAATCTGTTTCTCCAGCTTCCACCAGCCCTTACTCGACCTCTCGGTCCTCACCTGAACATGACTGCTTCAACATTTAGTTTATTTACCTCAATATCTTGAACGATATCATTTAGTTCTATGAGACTGTGTTCATATGTTGCCTCTCTAATCTCCGGTACTTGTATATGGTCCCCATAGTCGGCCCCAGAGAGCCTGATAAGCGTATCTTGGTCTTCCTGTGTGTGTGTGTGTGTGTGTGTGTGTGTGTGTGTGTGTGTGTGTGTTGGAGGGTGTATGTGTGTGTGGGATTGTATGTTTGTGGGGGTGTATGTGGGTGTGCTTAGGGGGGAGGGGGTGGTGTATGTGTGAGTGGGTAGTGTCCTGCAGCCTCTCAACCTCTATCTACATTTTCACATTTTGGTGTGTTCCTTTCCTTCACAAATATCTCTGTGGCTTAATTTAGAACTTAGTTTCCACCTGTATCCCCTTGCTAGTGTAATATCCATTAGAAGTAATGTTCCTCGTCTACCCCTGTCTATTCCCCCATGGGAATATTATTTGTTGTAATAATGTCTCCCTTTAACTCTCCTTCCATCTTAACTTAGACATCTTAACACTGGTGTTAGTTTTATGGTATTCCTTTCTTTTCGTGAAGTCTCGTTTTGTGTTTAGCAACGTAAGGACTCCACGCTGGGGTTGCATACTTTCAGACTTGGTCAGACATGTGTGGTATACATGACCATGAATATATAAATATTTTCAGATTTCTAAATGCAGTTCAAGTGTTGGTCAACCTTGTCTCTGCAGATGATGATATCTGTTTGATGTGGGCTTTGTGGGACAAAATTGGTGTGATATCGACCTTCAGGTCTTTTTTCGATATCTGATTTCAGGAGGGTTGCCTCATCCAGTTGATACTTTGAACTTGCGTGATTATTAGCTCTAGTAAACACACATTGGGCCAACCTTTCAGTTTCTTCAGGTTATCTTGCAATTTCTTACAATCGTCCGACATACTTGTCCTCAATATCAGGAAACATTTAAAGGGCATCTCTTCT